AAAAAAAAAAAAAAAAAAAAAAAAAAAAAAAAAAAAAAAAAAAAAAAAAAAAAAAAAAAAAAAAAAAAAAAAAAAAAAAAAAAAAAAAAAAAAATCGAAGGAGTGGTCACCCACCAGGCAGACTGCCTGAATACAGAGAAATGGCTCTTCAATGTGGGCAAGTTGAGAAGGGAGAAAAGAATCCGCGGAAAGACACCGCACACGCACAACCACCCCCCATAGTTAGTATCCACCCATTACAAGCCACGGTCGGGAAATGATCCATAAGGGGATGTGATCCAACCAGCCGGGAAGCAACGAGTGGATATTTAGTGGGACTTCTTATTGCACCGGAGGAGTCGGGGAACGCGGAGCCCCACTCGGCGCAGGCCCGTCCCTACTACCCGACAAGCCAGCCATGGGTCAGGACCCCTATAAGCCAGTAGAAATTATGTTTAGTGAAGGATCGCTGAACGGAATGGGGCCATTCTTGCACTAGGGGAACTGCCTGAAGGACCCCCGAATTGGCCTGACCCCCGAGCCACTATTAACAATTTAGCATGCCACTAACTGGTGACGCCGTTTTATTCCTTTGGAATTCCAGAAGGTTTAAGGAGGTTCGTAGAAACGGCAGAGAAGGAACTAGAGGCACAAGATGGTCCTTCTAGCTGCTTCGTAGTGTCGACAAGATGGTCGTATATTGGTCAGCAATCTGACTAGGTTCATTTCCGAGACCCGTTGGAACAAACTAATTGCGATGGTGTTGCCGTGTGCCGTAGAGGATCACCAAGATATCCCTCGTATAACATGGTTAAGCGTGCTTCTGGAACAACCGTAGAGATCGCTGTCAAATTGCCACCTGACGTATTCCATAGGAGATCAACCGTTGCCTTCTGCCGCGAGGAGACCAGAGCGCAGCGCAGCGCGCTGGATTTCCTCGATGATCCCGCAGGACCATCGATTATATTATCTACCCGCTACCAAGGAATACAATCCAGTCTATCTTGGCGTAGAAAGGGGATGTGATTGCTCAATCCCTCAATTTGCCTTGCAGTAGGCCGAGGGTATCTGCATTGATTCCGCCTGAGGTGCATGTCAGATCGTTGCTTGGGCCCCTGGTCGTGTCAGTTCAAGATAATTTCGAAAACCCGACGGAAAGGGTCAACAAAAAAGTACCTCCTTTTCGATGGATCCCTCCTCTTTTCTTTCCCACAATTTCTCCCAACTGTCTCTTATTTCACCCCATGGATATTCATGCACATCATATTCCGTACTGTGTACAGAGTAGTCCATATCGCTATCGCTATCCATTTTGAGACTAAATTATCGGAGAAGAAAATCCTTGAACCAGCTCGGTTATGTAATGACGCTATATCTGCATAGCCATCATCATCTATTTGAAGCCTCCATGCGGTTGGGCAGAAACCGCTCTGTACAATTCCAAAAAAAGAACACCGAGAAAACCTCTGTCATGACATTGCCCTTGTGTAATATCATCATTCCTAAGTTGGCAGGTCAAACGATAGGGGCAAAACAAAGCACAACAGGAAAATATAAAAGAATTTCAATTAAAATAAAATTAAATAAGATAAAAATATTCCGATTCGGCTCCTCAGGCTTCTCTCGATTTCATCAAACCTCAGTAAATGTAATATTATTGCTCAGTACCTACTCAGCCATGGACACTAGGACCTTGACCCAACTTAGGAAACCTCGAAGAGTGCCAACGGGCCGTGCAACGTTCTTCCAGGTAAGCCATCGAGATTGTCGTTTCTCCTTTACAATGGCCGAGTCCCGAGTCTTTAGAAAGATCATGGAGACTCTCGTGTTGTCCTTCAATTAGTGAGATTGATCATGCCATTTCTGGTCAGGTGCCGAAAACTCATGTCCCTGTCATGGAGTTTCCACCAATATTGATGCTGTATAGTCCCTTCGCCACTATTCATGGGTGTCCGTCTTTTTCGATATCTTTGCACCAGAAGTTGCAACACTATTCTTCCATAGACTGACTATGTTCATTTAGATTAGGTTATGTTTGGGTTGGCATATGTAGTAACCATCTCAACCATTTGGCCGTCCTTACTGGACTTTTAGGTGATCGTCTGCCCTGCTTCTCTCACAGCATGGAAGACATAAACTCGGGTTGGCCTAGTTCGCCAGTCTCACCCCCTGTATTGCCACATTTCTTGCATTCGGTGAGGGCTACATGCAGGGCTATTTTGTCTTGTGCTCCCCGACTCCAGGCCAAGCAGGCGCCGCAAGAATTCGGGTTGGTTGGGTTATAAGATAATAGTATAGCAGGCTTTTGTTTTGACAGAAGAGCATGATGGTAACTTGGGGGCCTATCAATTATCGTGCATGCACAGCAGATGATGCCTTGGGACAGATACTACTCTGTTGCTTACCCCTAGTATCCAGCCAATCGCCAGAGGAAATTGTCCGGTCGCCAGGGATTCCATACCCGCCAGTTTACCACTTTCCGTTCAGTAGACTTAGGTATGGCATGCTGGGAGCATATGTCTTCCAGATCATTTGCAAAGCACTCCGAGAAATGGTCTCTACATGGTGATATCGCTTGAACTCCTCGGAAATCCACATGTTAGCTCGGCATATCTTAGAACGCAAACTAACGACAAAGCAGGTGAACGTTCTGTCTATATGAAAGAACCAAGCCATGTGTCGGATCATACTATTCTCTAGACATGCGCCTCAGTAGCCGTTCCTATCGATTCCCGGCCACTGACCAACTGTATCATCTGACCCCCAATCCCCGTAGCCCTTGCAGTATATACGAGGCGTGCAACGTCAGCCCATATGTCAGCACACGCGTGGCTTTGGCACTTCCTTGAGTCATTCATCATGGCTGAATTTTCCGATATGCATCTACTGCTGTTGTGAGTAAATGTTCGGGTACGGGCTGGATTGAAGGGGACTGGATCACTTCATACAAACTCTTTGGATTTAGTGACTGTCAGTGGAGATTGTACATGCAACACAAAAGAATATAAAAGATGCATGTCAACGTTGAAGGTCGTGCCAAGCAGATATGGACATCGACCCACTTCTTCCAGATGGGCTCTGTACTGACTGTGAAACCAATGGACGGCAATAACACTAGGCTACACAAGTTTATACAGTTTGAGAATCCCACGGAGGTACTGACTTGTGTATATCTTGTTCGACGGAAAACATAACAAGCTTTATGCTTTGACGTGCCATCAGCATTCAGGGCAAACACATCAGGAGTTCACTTGAGGCAGACAGAATTCGACCCATCTTACCTTGTTTCCATACTCTCAATACTTTTACTTCTCGAAATAACTTTATCTGGTCTGTAAATGGAAAGCCTCATTTCCACTGCAACGAGTTGCAAAAACAAAGCCAAGAGTTATTGGGGGCTTCTGAGTATACTAGTACTTCCTACGACGCAAGACGAAACTACAGATCGTAAGCAAATAAGGCGGTTTAACTAACATTCAATTATTTATTAAATTGTCTTTTTTCAGATGCATACATTACTCAGTCAGAGCCAAGTCTAACTGACCTACCACAAGAGTACTAATCTGGAGCTCATACACCAGGTATTCTGCAACTTAATTATCACGACATACATACTAGTAGTAGTGGGCGTATACCTCCCGTTTGGCATACTTGTCACACAAACACTCCAAACAATATTGGGACCAGTAAAAGGTTGCCATGGGCAGAACAAAAACAGAGTGAATGCAACCGGAGGCGAGGTGAATCTTGATACTACTCTCACACATCCAATCCTTCTTCTCTTCTCACTTTCTTGACAAACTTCTAGTCAAATAAATACTCTTTGATTGCTCTTTGACAGTGGTCTCTAATCCTCACCTTGAGTGGGCTTATTGTGATCTTTCAAACTTTCTGTGAAACATGTCTATTCTCTACGCAGGTTTCTTCTAGTGTCCTTAAGTCGCATATTTCAACTCTGAGCTCTGCCTCCACCCTGCACAAACTACACTTCCCTCATCTTCAGCACTTTTACATCAGCTCCCCAGCATCACTATCAATCTTGTCCCATCATCATCGTCTGATACACTGACCCTTTTCACTTCTTCCGGCTCCACGCGTATTCCCCTCTGATATCCGTCCTTGTGTTCCACTTATATTACGATGGGTGACAAAGTGAGAAACGCATATGCTGGTGGCTATAGCGATGCTATCAAGAGACAGTAAGTTGATCCTTGTCTGCGTACCGGATCCATAGGAAATGGACTTACTTGCTAACAACACTAGGCTTGAGAGGGTGGTAATCCCCGACAGGTTCGACTGCTCCTTCATTATCTAGCTGAAGTTTACGAAGCTTATAGTCATTCTGTTACAGAGTCAAGTGCATGGCATGCAACAAAATGCGCATGCAGAGCGCATACTCCAAGAGACAGCTCGATGTCCTGCGAAATGCCATAGTCGTCCAAGGCGGTCGAGCCCTCACTGGTCGTGGCCACGCCAAATGCAGAGAATGTGTGGGTGGTCAGACTGTGGAGCTCCGGTGCGTTATTTGCGACGAAACCAAGGGTCTTGAGGAGTTTGCAAAGAACCAGAGGCATGATCGTGATCATGCAGTAAGTCTTTAGCAACCTTCCTGCGTATAGTTTACAAAGCTAATGGTGACTTTCCATAGAGGTGTTTGGCTTGCGTGCAGAACCATACGGAAACTGAGCCTGTTCTCGAGGAACAAAAACTGCTAGCAGAAAGCGATATGTCCACCGCTCAAGATACTACCACGTCTGTAAGTCCTTTGCTAAGATTAGCCTATCTTGCATGACCAAACTATTCGTCGCATTAACGAACCCGAAGAGCCAGGCGGACGACGGTTACGCATACAGTACTGCGTACGGGGAAGAGGATGACGATAACGATTACTACTCCGTAGGGGGCGGGGTCTGGGTTGAGCCCGAATGCCCTCAAGGCAACCCTCCCACTAAGAGTAAAGAGCGTGAATATACTGGTTACGACCAACAGGGTATGCCCCATCGCCTTAGCACTCCTATCGCGGCGCCGAGAAGCGTGCACTCTGGCTGGGCATCTTGGGGGATCGAGGCTAGTTCTGTGCAAGCAAATACTCTTCGGGCCGGCAAGCCCTCAGCTTCGGCGCAGAAAAAGACATCGAACTTCGCAAAGATCCCGGTAAGGCTGATATAATTGACGCTACAATGGTTTAGAACTGACTCGCACTTGTGTCCAGAAAATGAGAGTCGAGCGAAGCGATCCCTGGACACCACGCACACCCGCTCCTACCAGAGAGAATTTGGCATATGAAAAGGGTGAGCATGTTGACATCGAGGATTTTCTCTGAGTTAGCAAGAACCGTGGTTGAGTCCGGTAAGGCCCCACTGATTCCATATGGGACATTTCCATGGTTAACCTGCCGAGCCCCTTAGGCACCTCCTGAAGGACCTCATGACATTGCGGCTCGGCCAGGGCATATGATTGTTGCTAGGGGTGTCATTTGAATTTCAAAATTTCATGCCCGTGACATTCTGAGGGTCTGAAAGAAGTTTTAAATCGGTCTTGAAAGGAGTTTTCGCGCTGATATCTTATCCCTAAGGATCTGAAAGGCAGGTAGAAAATTGTAGAAATTGAAGCAGTTCAGGCAATTAAAATCGCTTAGGAATGACTCTATTTAGAGCTCTGAAATCAATTATAATATCAATATCTAGGCGGTTGAGGCCTACGGCCCCCGCCAAAAATTAGATATCAGTATTAAGGGTACTCCGTACTACTAACCTACCTGGGAGTCGATCAAGCCCAGCTGACCCACCAAGCCCCTGCCCTGGTTACCTGATTCGCTTATTCTCGGACCCACACACGCGATTCCTCCAATCCTCTCCCTCCTTGCTCCTTCCTTCATACAGAACTACTTAGTACCTAGTAGGACTACGCAGGACTACTATACTACATCCTAAGACAACATCCTCATCAAGCGGGTTGTCTGTTGGTAGTAAATCTGTCTCCCCTCCACTATTCCTCCTTTGTCTCTGTGTCTCATCTCCTGACACCGTTGCTACTCCTGCCAAAACTCGCGGCACTGATCTGCTCTGAACCTTCCTGCTGATCTGCTTCCTACCAACCTTCCAGCCTAATAACCTACTGCATGAGATATGGTGGTCTGCGTTCATTGATCCGAGGATCACTTGCATGGTCACATCTTTACTGTCTTGACGGACTGCAGTAGCAGACGTCACTCACCCGTTCGGTTGTCGACACCTTTTGTGTTCCCTTAACATCATGGCGTCAGAAAACACTGCTGTTGATGCTGATGCTATACCTGAGGTATCAGACATTCGCCGACGTGAGCTGATTGAAAAGCTCGGCTCAATAGTGCCGGAAGTTGAGAGCACAACTTGGGCACTGTTGTGGTTATCCGATATAGAACAACTTGAGGACTTCTGTAGTATGAAAAGAGGACCACTTTTACTGGCATTCAGGGCTCCCACCCGTCAGATCTTAATGCAATGTAAGTAATATACCCTTCTACCTTTTGAGTACATATATACTAATCTATGCCAAGGGGCCAGTCGTGTGCGTAATATAGACCCAGCGAAAACACTAAAGAGAAAACGCTCGGAGTCTATAAAGGAAACGGTAAGGTTATATGTGTTATTTGTCACAGTATACATAGAAGCACAGCTAACACTAGTTAGTGCGTCATACGGGATAGATGTTGTGTACTCACCGGTAAAGAAGAGCCCATTGAAGTCGCACATATATATCCGTACGGCATGATGGGCAAGCCAAAAACCGAGCACGAACAGTTTTGGCAGTATCTCGAATCCTATTGGGATCTAGAGAAAATCCAGAAATGGAAAAATGCTGTTCTAGGTGAAAATGGAACGGAGGTATTACAGAATGTTCTGTGTCTCTCTCGGGACTCACATGGTTTATGGGGCAAAGCTCGTTTTGCTTTACAACCACTCGAAGTATCTGTTGACCATAAAATCTTAACAGTACGGTTTTTCTGGATCCCGATATCAAAATATATGAAGACGATGGATCTTAAGACGATGCCATCTATCCCATCGAATCTCGGTCATACCGGAAAAAGAATCAAGCTTTTCAACTGCGAATCAGGAAAGCAAAATTATTCAGGTGATATTATAATAATTACAACACCTGATCCTGATGAATATCCTCTGCCGTCTTTTGAACTGTTACAAATGCAATGGCTCTTAACTCGAGCATTGGGGTTGAGCGGTGCCGCCGATCTTGATTCGGAAGATTGGGACGATAGTGACTCCGAGGAGGAGATGGAGCTGGTGGAAAGGCCACGAGGTCGACTACACAACTTGCAAGAAAATGAGCCCCCTTCAAGGGCCCATAGCAGAGCTTCCAGCAAAGCAGCGACAGCCTCTCGCAATACATCGCGCAATTCATCTCGCAACATTAGCATGCCAGTTGCAAGTCCTCGGCGCTAGGTAGTACATTGATGAGGGTCAAAGCTGAGGAACAAAAAAAAGGGAAAAAAAAAAAGGGAAAAAAAAAAAAAAAAAGTACGATGCATCTGGGGATGTGCATGGGCGGTGACGTATGGCTGGCGTTGGCGGCTGAGATCGAATTAGTTCAATGTTTAAACTCTTTCTGTTCCTCGTGATTTTTTATATGATTATTATTTCTCTTCCACCTCTATCGGAAAACAATGCAATGATCATTTTTATTGCTGCTGCTTTGTTATCAGACTTTTGCATTTTACGCTTTCTCTAGACAGCTGCAACTGTGTGATTGTTCAAGACCATTTATTCATACACCACACGAATTGTTTCACGCTCCACTCACTCCCCACAAGACCCCTCCATATCGTCACTTGCTCTTTGTCACTCTGCTCGCGCTTCTTTTTCCTTTGTGCGCACAAAAGCCACTACAACGAAAAACGTTGCCACTTGCGATTTGGCCGTAATTTGTCTCTTGATTCATTTATCGTTTCCCTTTTCTAACCGTATCGATCACTACCACTCCGACCACCTCGCCGAGGGAAACCCACGACAAGCGACTCGACGCCCAAGACCATTTTCCTTATGGCTTACGATGGATATCAGAACAACCCAGCTCCCTTCTATCAACCGGGCAATGCGAATCAAATGAATCCCAACGAGCCCCGCACTTCGTCTTACACGCCGCCTTATCCATCGCAGTATGGCCATGAGCGCCACAATATGCCGCAACCTCAAGTTCCTCCACCCCCAGCAAATCCATACGCGGATGTTCAACCTCCCCCAACGCAGCTGCCTACCTGGCAACAGCCTTACAATGGGAGGATCAACGAGGCTGTTAACTCCGCATTTCACAAAGCTGACACATCTACCTATCTATCCCCGGAGGTTTTGACCCAGATAACGGCGAATGTCATCCAACAGCTCAAAGAGACGGGTTTGGAGAACCTACAAAGCGACCAACACCAGCCCCCGCAGCCCCCGCCTCGGCCGCCCAAACAATGGGCAACTGCTGCGCATACTACGTACTCCAATGACTTCGCCTCTTCTCCGGGCATGGCGACACAAGATACTTCAGCCTCGTCGTCCCACGTCGCCTATGATAATCCCGCTTATCAACCACGGCCACCGTCTACGGGATACTCCGGCAGCCCCCATCTCCAACCCAGAGCATCCCCGGCACTGCCATCAGAAAGACGAGGATCTCCAGCTAGTCAGATGAGTGACCATAACCAGAGAATGGAATCCCGACCAAAACCACCGTCGAGAGAGGCCACCATCACGGAGCTGACGACGCTAGAAAGAATATGGGGGACGCTTTTTGAGGATGGAAAGCCAACTAAGAAACTGACTCAGTTCTTGCGTGGGATTGCTGTTCACTTGGTGAGTATTACTCTATGTTGATGAATCCTTCATCTAACCTAAGGCCAGATCGAAGACTACGAACCCAAGAACAGTCTAGTCATACTTCCCGCAAAGCTACAGAAGTTTTATGAAGACACCAGAGTACCAGGGGACTATTATCCTTGGAAATGTAAGTTGGATTTGGTACTCCTTTGTGAGCGGGCACAGATAACCTTTGCCACTTAGATATCTTCGATGATGAGACGTCGCACGTTTCGAGGTTGTTCCGAGAAGTCAAAGCCGAACACCATCTCGTGCAGGAAGAGAATCAGCTCCATGATAGACCATATATTCCTGGCCTCACGCCGCGAGGCTTTGAGACATGGGCTACCTTGATGATACAAGTCAACCCCGAGACGGAATATAAGCGACTGCAGAAAGCAGTGCTGAACATGCCTATTAGCAACCCAGACAACAGAAAGGAGAGGTTTCCCAAGGAGATCCCACAATCGTTATTCCCTTTCGAAAAAATACTAAAGCCTGAGATGCAACAACATATAAAGGAGTGTATACAGGAGCATTGCAGAGTTGACTTGGATAAGGAGTTTGAGAAATTCAAAGCGCATCACGAAGGCTCTGCCACATCCACTGCCGCTCCGGGTCCTTCACACAGTGAGCGAGAACGAAAGCCATACCAGGCGTCTGTTTCCACGGTGGTAGACAGTGATGATGAAGAACTCGACATTCCTTCACGCCCCATAGAACGACAGAGGAAACCATACACCGCGCATCCGGGAGGTGGAAAGGAGTATGGTGACTTTCAAGAACCTACCCATCGGCATGCATCCTCGTTTTCCGCAGGCTCCGTTCCAAGGGATACTTTAGCTTCCTCGGAGCCCAGAGCTTCCGAGTCTCAGGGCCTTGATCCTACCTACGTTCGACCAAGCACTACTCAGCCTCCTCTAACCACGATGAGGCGGTCAGGGAGCCCGCCACGAGGATCCAGGGTAGGTAGTGAATACAGACACTCTGAGGGTGATTTGCTGGGGTACAATGGTAGCCCTGGATACGGAGTCGACGATGTTCACTATTACCGTTCTGGCGCCTCAGCCAGCTCAGGAGACATACTTGAAGACAATCGATTCTACCGAGACTCTAGCCGTGATGAAGACCAACGACTGTACGAGTCTCTCCGAGAGCGTGAACGGGAGCGCGAGAAGAACAAATATAACGATTACATTCCCCATCGAAGCAGTTGGGATGGAGAAGAAGGCTACTATCGCGACGCACCCGGTAGCCAAGGAGGTCCAGTTGGCAGCGGTAGTGGGTATGACTACAAGACGTATACCTATAAGTGATGACCCGAAACGAACCCCATCGTGGCTTTAGCATCTTGAGTTTTCTTTTTTTGTTTCCCCCTGTACCTGTTCTGCCACGATTTGAAGTTTTAAAGTGATTCCCATGATGCACTCTTTCTTTTTTTATATTTGTTGTTTGCTTTTGCGCCTAGCGAGTCATTTCTTGCAATGAGTTATGTGTCACGGCCATCTATTTAGTTCCGCTTCATGTAACATATCATTAAGTTGTGCTTTTCTTGGCACTGCGATACCTCTGCTCAAGCCATGTTGAGTCTATAATATATTTTTCGGTAGGGTTGCACAACACAGCGTTCAATACGACTGCTTCAACTGTGCTATACTTTTCTTTCTCCGAAGTCACGCATGAATTTTGCTCCAGCATCCCGGCTATGCAAAGCCTCCTTGGCTCTGAGTCTCTCTTCTCGCTCCCATAACTTCTGGATTCTCCTCTGGTCCTTCTCCTCCCGCTCGATCCGTCTTCGCTGCCGTCTTTTTATCCTCTCCTGCTCTTCCTCAAGTCTCTCCTCTTCATCATCCGCCTCGTAGCGCAATCTCTCAACCTCCTCTTCCGTCAAACTCCACGGCACGGAAAGCACCTCAACAAGATATCGACTCCGCTGATCCAGAAACCGCATTTCGGCGTTTGTATCCTGGACCACAGAAACCCGCTCCAATTGAATCTGCATTGTAGCCCGAAACATCGATAACGTCCCCTTCACCTGTGCCACGACGCCCGGGACCAAGGCCGTTGTATCCACGGTTGTCTTATTTGTAGCTGCGACATGTTTAGTCGCACATGCAGACTGCAGGTCCCCTCTTCTGCCGCTTCGAACGGACTGGTCACCATCGTCATCGGTAATTGGGGCTTTGAGGACAATGACGTCGATTGTTGCGCCACTGCTGTCGTCGACCGTGAGGATGGTTAGTGTGGGGTATTCTGTCCGGGCGACGATGATGCCGACTAGAGAGACGAAGCGGATAGGGTGGTTCATGTAGAAGAATGTGGATTGGTCTAAATTGGACGTTAGACGTAGTCTTATATACCTATGTATACTACGCGAACCGCCGAGCAATGAATTGAATCCTTAACATGAGATATGGAAATCCGGCACCCTGAACGAATAAGACCATGCATGTTGCGTATACTTTCAACTGAAGCGGCGCCGTTCATCTGGGATACAATTCAACAATCCCAACTAAATAAACGAACACACCCTCTTTCCCCAGGGAAACAATCCGAAACGAACATAAATGCACAGGCTCAAAGCAAAGCAATAAACCAGTAAATAACCCACAGAAGTTTTGAAAATAACAGTAGTACCATACCTTCAAATCCACCCCTCCTTTTAAGTAGATGCACATCTACTGCTCCCATCTTTACCCAGGCGAAATGCGTCGGGGATGCTCGGAAGCAGAATGCTGGGTAAAAGACGAGTTCGCCATCGTCGACTGTCGCCATCGGATCATTTTTCCGGCTGTGGATGCTGGGAGATGGACTGTTGAGGTTCGGTTTTGGGGTTGTTCATTGTTTGCTGATCATGCTATCGGTTGGTCACGTGTATTTACTATCGGGGTTGTTTTGTTGGTGCCTTAGGCTGTTATATGATGTCAGATCTCACCTACTATTACTTCTGTATATGTGAGCTTCTTGTGGAGATTTGGGTGTTATACGCGCTGAGTGGATTGTGACTTAGATTTCTTGAGGGAAATTTTGTTTAAATGAGGACTAATCTAAGGTTTTGTGGTTTTGTAAGCTGAAGGATTAAGTTCGTGTTCGTGGAAGCCTATGATATATATCTCCAGGAGCTTTGGAATATCAGCCCATAGCAATTAACTCACCGTTGAGCTTTGGATCATCATTGAGCTCTATTTTTCTGATAAAGTCCTTTTCTTCTCCTTTCCCTTTTCAAGATAAAAAACTAGACTAAATTGCTACTTTTCAATAGTTGATGCTCATCAACCGTCATCAAAGAGGAGACTCATTCCAGTCGGAGACTTTCAATGCATAGTGAAAGATAGATAGGGCGGCGGACAGAGGGAATGAATGGTGGATCTTAATATAATCCTCTAGCTCAATAAGTGGAGCTGAATCCCAGTTTATATCAGGATTGCAAGGAAAAGCTCAACAGTGCCTTGGTGATCCACAGTCAGAGCAATGCGTCGCAGCGGCAGATACAGGAAGACGCTTGTCGATCCATAACCAACAATTCTCACCAAGTGCTCAAAGAGCCACTTGCACACGCCGATCGGGCGACGAGGGATCATGTGGTCCCACATCTAATCTCCCATACGACGCGGGGTAAAAGCTTCCATTGATCTTCCAACTGCTTTCATGTCCGCGGAAAACACAAATCCAGTGAGCAATTTCGGATAGAGATCGACTATATTCAGTACAATGCATTCGACTAAAACGATCTGCATTGTCGGCGTTACAGGGAATCAAGGTGGTTCTGTTGCTCAGCGATTCCTCCAAGACCCCACTTATCATGTCCGGGGCCTAACGCGCAACCCCTCTTCGAGCAAAGCCCAGGAGCTCGCCGCGCAGGGGATAGAGATTGTCCAGGCTAACCTCGACGATGCGGCTAGCCTAAAGCCAGCTTTTACGGGCGCCAACGTTATCTTCAGCGTCACCAATTACTGGGAGCCATTCTTCCGAGCAGACTGCCGACAGAAGGCTGCTGAGCTGGGCATATCCTGTCGCAAATACGCCTACGATGTTGAATACCAACAGGGCAAGAATATTGCTGATGCAGCAGCGGCAACTGCCGACACTTTAGATGAAAATGGGTTTCTTGTGTCGACATTGAGCCACGCTGGGAGGTGTAGCGGGGGCAAATTCGAAGAGCTGTACCATTTTGATGCCAAGGCAGACGTCTTCCCAAGCTACGTGCAGAGTAATCACCCAGAGCTGTCTCGGAAGATGTCTTGCGTGCAGACGGGATATTTCATGTCCAGCTACAAGCTGGTCCCGGATGCTTACTTCAGGAGAGCTGAAGATGGCTCCTTTGAGATGACGTTCCCTACTGCCCCAGACGCAGCGGTACCTCATTTCCATGTCAATGCGGATATGGGGCATTTTGTATATGCGGTGGCTAAGATGCCGCCTGGGAAGAGTTACATAGCTGAAGGCACGACGTGCAGCTGGGCGGACTATATGAGATTATGGAGTGAGGTGAACTCTGTGCGAGCGTCCTATCGGCAAATCTCGTTGGAAGATTTGATAGATCGAACACCAGACGCAGAGTTCGGTCGGGAAGTGGGGGATATGTTTGCATATTCGACCGAGCCGGGGTACGATGGTGGTGAAAGAGAGCTACTGCATGCGGCAGATATCCGAAAAGTAAGTTATACCATGCTTCTTTCCAATCCTCGAGCTCTTTCATGCAATCAATGCTCATTTGTCATGTGGTTAGGCCGGAATAGACTGTCCAATGACTAGTTTGGAACAATGGATGAAAAACGAGGACTGGTCGAGCGTTTTGCAAAAGACCTAAGCAGAAAGTCAGAAGAAGAGAGCAACATCTAAGTGTTCGGCCCTGACTGTCCCGAAAGAATCCATGTTTACCCTGCCCACATCGTCGGATTCTCTTGTCTGTTCCCCACAGATGCGCGGGGTAACAAGTTGATTAGTGGCTTTATATTCATCCATAAAAGGCAGTCCCTTTTTAGCCTGAATACCCATGCCGATGTGCGTCAATTGGTTAATGCTCTGGATTCAATATCAAATGATCGGCAGTAACCCCAGTTCCCCACAATTTACAGCCAGGTATAAAAGCCGCTGATAGATCATGCGAGACATGCACCAACCATGGACTAGTAAAGGCTTTTCGTGCATCATGCGGTCCCTTGGATTCTCAGTGTTGTCCTTTCTAGCATTGGCGACTTCCGCCCTTTGCCAGCCAACTGGACTTTCGCCATACACGAATCCAATCCTGCCCGGATGGCACTCTGATCCGTCATGTGCCTATGTCGAAGAAGAAGACACAATCTTCTGCGTGACATCGACGTTCATCGCATTCCCCGGGCTACCAGTCTATGCCACAAAAGATCTCCAAAACTGGAAACAAGTCAGCAACGTCTTCAACAGACCTAGCCAAATTCCATCCCTCAGCAACACCACAAACCAACAAGGAGGGATCTACGCACCAACACTCCGCTACCGCAACGGAACCTTCTACCTGATAGTCTCCTTCCTCGGCCCAGAGGTCAAAGGCCTCGTCTTCACCTCATCAGATCCATACAGCGACGCCGCATGGAGCGACCCACTGGAATTCTCCGTCCGAGGCATCGACCCGGACATCTTCTGGGACGACGACGGCACCGTATACGTCACCTCAGCCGACGACGCCCGAATTCAGCACTACTCCCTCGACCTCCAAACCGGAGAAACCGGCCCCGTAACCTACCTCTGGAACGGAACGGGGGGTGCCTCGCCCGAAGGACCCCATCTGTACCGCAAAGACGATTTCTATTACTTGATGATCGCCGAAGGAGGCACCGAGCTCAACCACGCAGAGACAATGGTCCGGTCCAAGAGCCGCACCGGACCGTGGGAGCTCTGTCCCCATAACCCAATCCTAACGAACAGGAACACAACCCAGTACTTCCAAACAGTCGGCCACGCCGACTTGTTCCAAGACGGGACGGGAAACTGGTGGGCCGTGGCCCTCAGCACCCGGTCTGGACCCGAATGGAAGAACTACCCCATGGGCCGCGAGACGGTTCTAGCCCCTGCCACCTGGGACGAAGGAGAGTGGCCCGTCATCCAGCCGGTGCGAGGCCAGATGCAAGGACCGCTGCCGCGAGAGAACAAAGACGTAAAAGGCGATGGGCACTTTGTCGGCGAGCCGGATGATGTTACTTTTGCTCCGGGAGACTCGATCCCTTCTCATTTCTTGTATTGGCGGTATCCGCAGACCTCGAACTTCGCTGTATCCCCACCAGACCACCCGCATACCCTCCGTTTGACGCCCTCCCTCTACAATATCACGGGAAATGCCTCCTTCACTCCAGACCAGGGTATCACCCTCATCACCCGTCTCCAGACAGATACCCTATTCACGTACAGCGTGGACGTCGCATTCGACCCCCAGGTCCCCGACGAAGAAGCCGGCGTCACCCTCTTCCTCACCCAGGCGCAACACGTCGATCTGGGCCTGGTATTACTGTCATCACAAAACGGGACGTCCTCTCCGGCATTCCGACTCCGGGTCGAAGGCCAGGGGAACTATGAGGGCTCGCTTCCGGGGAAGATCGTGCCTGTTCCGGAGGGGTGGAGGGGAGAGCCGATCCGGTTCCAGATCCAAGCCGTGAGCGATACTCAGTATGAATTCTCGGTTGCGTCGGTCAAAACGCTAGCGAAGAGGGCCGTTGTTGGATATGCGGATTCGAGGATTGTTAGTGGTGATACTGGGAGGTTTACTGGTGAGTCTCCTTTCCTCCTTTCTTTGTCTTGGGCTACCGGGAAGGCAAACGATGTACTGATGGCATCAGGTACGCTTGTTGGCGTTTACGCGACGAGTAATGGTGGATTGGGGACTACGGAGGCGTATATCAGCAATTGGAGGTATGAGGGACAAGGTCAGAAGATTGATTGATGTTTATCTCTTTTGTTTCTTGCACACTTTGGTATATATACTTTTGCACAATGCATCATGTCTACATTGAGTCAATAACCGTCCTATACTATACATCCTCATACGACAAGTCAAAGCACCCCGTGATTCCCGGCCTCATAAGCCCCGAATCCATCCATCTCCATCCACCCCAGCCCATACAACGACCCAAAATCCCACTGATTATCGAACGAAATATCCGGATTCGAAAAGGGAAGAATATCCGGTAACAACTCCGCGCCACCCATACTCTGCATTGCTGGACTCCTCCCATCGCCTTGAATAGGAAGTGGTTTCCCATCTCCACCCTGCTGCAGGTGTAGGTGCTGCTGCTGCTGCTGCTCACCGCCAACAATATTGGTCCCCCTTACATCACCATCAAGGACCTTCGACACCGACTCCTTACATTGCGAGATGCACATCGTCGCCAGATCCCAGCCGTCTTGGGCGGCTGTTTGGAGCTTGGTCCAGAGGTGTTGGAGGCTTGTTTTGCAGGTTGAGATTATAGTTTTGTCGGTGGATTCGATGGTGCAGCGGAGCAGGATTATTACGGTTAGGATTAGGTGGTGGGCTGTATCTGGATTTTGGGGTCTTGATGTCAGGGGGGTGTATGTGGGAGGGGGGTTTTTCAAGGGAAAGTGGAGGGGAGTGTGGGTGTGTAGTACATACATGGAAGCCAGAATTCTTGTAATTGGACTTTGCTGAGGGAGCAGACGTAGTTTACGATTTCTTGGGCGGATTTGCGGAGTTGGGAGAGGTGGTAGCGTGTTGTTTGGAGACGGTCGATGTCTGTTGATAGGGCTGCTGCCTTAATTTTGTCCACTTTTAGCTTTCTTTTCCATGGAGGCTGTGTTGAGCATGAAGGGGGTTACTAACATGTAGAGAAATTCGGTTCAGCAGTAATCGGACGGCAAGATAGCTTAGTTGTAGACTGCTCGATCCAGATACTCTGGTGTTCTCGTTATTGTTTCGGCGGAGGTAGTTCGGTAGACGATCCTCCCATTCGTCTAGGTCTGTTTCGAGACGGCGGATCTGCTTCCAGGTCTCTTTTGGGTTGGGATTTAAGTCATAGACTAGTGGTAGGACTTCTCCCAGGATTTCAGTGAGGGTGCAAAGGTGGATGAATGAGTTTGCAGCTTTGATGCGCGTGTCTGATTGGTTTGAATCTGTGATGATGTCCTCCAGCATAGGGATAGGCACGTCGTATCTAGATTTGGTTATGGTGGGACTGATGCCATGGGCAAAGCTTGACCTGCAAGTTTGGTTAGTGGGAGCTATCACCGAAGGCGATAGAAGCTCACTAACCAGCGGTCATGGATGACGACTGCCCACCAGAGACGAATGCGCAGCGACTTTTCGCTCTTGGGCCGTCTCCAATTGGTCGGGTCACGGTTTAGCCCTAGAGTCTGAGCGAGGGTAACTGCCCGGCCGTTGTTGATGGTGTTCACGAGCATGGAATAGATAGGTCGCCCACCCATGTCCAATAAAACCGAGTACATGGTCGACAACGCAGGCGCTAGAAAGTCCTGTTGCAAAGCCTCTACAGCCAGGTTCCATATAAAATACACGTCCGGCTTCGGAAATTGCCTGAGCATAGGCGAATGATGCCAAAGAACTAAGGACACGGAAAAGAAATAGCAGACTAGGACAGGCGACAGCTTGTCGCCGGCTTTATACAGCTCCATGAATAGTTGCTCATCAAGGAGAGGGAACGCCGGGTGGATCTCTTCGAAATACCTTATCAATGTGAGTGGTGCAATAGATTCAAAGGGGTAGTTGACTTACAATCGGACCAGCTCATCGGTATACGGTTGAATGACTTGCATCACTATCTCTTTCTGGCGCTTCCCCGGATTCGCCGCCATCGACAGGCCTTCTCTCCGCCGGGGAGCTTTAAGGTACACCATCGGAGTATCCGAGGACCCACTTCTTTCTCCAGGAGATAGCGAACTGGTTTTAGAAGACATGTATCGCTCCAAGATTTTTATGTCTTCGGAGATGACAGGACTGGCAAACATGGACAGTTCGACCTTAGAATGATCTTGACCTGGAGAGCCATGATAGTCACGCCCGATATGTTCTTGGCCAACTTCACCATCGGCCGGAGCCGGTGAAGGTACTTTATCAATGGGAGCGGAGGGTGCAATTCGTGATGTTTGGGGACGTCGCTGGTCATGCTTCACTCCACGGCGGGGCCTAGAGGACGATCTAGGGCTACTAGATATTATACAAGGAACTTCCTGTAGGTTGCATAGCACACAGGGCTGGTCTGGAGTTCCACCGGTACATCGACGCTTAAATCGGCGACAGCGTTCACACGCGGGAAATTTGTGGGAGCGGTATGGTCGTCGTTGTTTTTGCATGATGTAGGCCGCTATGACTGTAATTTATCTCTGATTTCCATACACTTAACCTGTCTGAAAGTATACGAGACATTGGGGACAATATCTCAGTCGTATCCAGCGGAAATCCTCGGAGACGCCTCTTTCCGGCGGAAAAGATGTGGGGTAAGATAAGATAATGGCGACTGCAGCTCAACCACAATCTATGCCATCAATGCCAAGAGAAAGCTGCAGAGAACTAAAATCCTTCTCGGCGCAGGGATAACTGCTGACTCTGGAGCTTGGAAGAAAGGCTGGCAGGATTTTTGAGGCATGTGACTGCGTTTCACGCGAGGGGCCACCATAGCTGCGGTATCAGGAAGGTATGTATGTATGTATAATACGTTATCTCTAGCATTCATGATCCGTCATATTGCATGTATCTCGTGCTAGGACAGCTGGATCAGCCGAGCAAGTTGGCTTCCACCATTCTTTTCTTGGGATTCCTTTGCGCTTCCTGCTGTCTGCGCCGCTCGTCATCACTGATGTCATCTAGGTTGGTCTCAACTGTGTCCAAAGCGGCCTTGACCTCCTCTTCGCGATTATCATGCCCAGCCACCGCCACCTCCAGGATATCCCTCTCCAGCCCATTGACCACCTGCCAATCAATCCCGGCAGCTGTCAACATCTTACACCCCTCTGAGCCACCGACAAATGTCCCCGGCTCCTTGACCCCGAAATATACCTTCTGGATGCCCTTGCGATCCCCTTGACGAGTCCGGATAATCCTCTGTACACATGGTAGATTGCCCGACAGTCGCTTCCCGCATGGCTCCATTGTGACGTACATGACTAGCTTTCGATCTGGTTCAGATGGCAATACCTCCCACACGCGGTCTTCTGGCACGGAATGCACGGCGGCGTAGTTAGACAGACAACACTGTTCGGCGTGCGTATTACCCGCGAGTTCCATTGTGTAGCCAGTCGAGACAATCCGGTCGTCTTCAGTCTTGTAATCGCCTTCTTTGCGGGAGACGAGAATGGCGCCGACGCGAAAGTTGGTCGGGCGGGGTGGGGATTTTTCGGCCAGAGAGAGGCATTCTCGAAGATATTTGATATGTGGAGATTGCATGATGGTAGTATACAGAAAAATATAGCAATGTTTCAATGAGAAAACAACGATTTAAGGTATCAAGCTGGTATATACATCAGAGAACCGAAGTTAAATCAATTTAAGTGCGAAAGACTAAACGGAAATAGATTAAAGATCAATGACATCGAAGGCGGGGAGAGCTCCATTGGCCGGTCTAACCCTCTTGGGTAAGTAAAATGGTTTTCCCAATGGGCGCGTCTCAACGCGTCTCTTGCTGTGAATCAATTCACTTCAACTTTTCTGTTAGTGTTTTCTAGCCCTTTGCTCCTATTCTTTCTCTGCGCTTTCTGTCTTACTGGATCTTTGGAAGGCGGTGAGCTGTGATCATTTCTCTATTATCTGATTTTCTTTTCACACTTCTTTCTACCTTTCATTATGCCACACGAAGATGACGTCCCCGATATCCCTGAAGAGGCTCCCCTTGAGACCGACCTCTATGAGACCTTAGGGGTTCAAGGGGATGCGACAGCAGATCAGATCAAATCCGCGTACAGGAAGCTGGCGTTGAAGCATCATCCCGGTGAGTAATGCCCATTTACATACGCTTGGCTAAGTGTACTATATACTTGATACTTCAGAATAAGAAAGCTGTGAACAATTGACCCGATTCTAACAACACAACAGACAAGGCGCCGGAGGATCAAAAAGAAGAAGCAAACAAGAAGTTCCAGCAGATCGCCTTCGCCTATGCGATTCTGTCCGACGAGCGCCGCCGCCGCCGATTCGACCTGACAGGGAGCACCGCCGAGGCAGTGGACGAGGATGACGACTTCAACTGGACAGACTTCTATCGTGAACAATTTTCAAGTGCAATCGATGTAAAGGCGCTCGACAAATTCAAGCAGGAGTACCAGGGCTCGGAAGAGGAAGAGAGCGACCTGCTCGCGGCGTTTGAGAAATACCGAGGCGATATGGACAAGATCTATGAGTCGGTCATGTTGTGTAACGTGCTTGATGACGATGAACGCTTCCGCGCCCTCATTGACAAGGCGATTGCCGATGGCAAGGTAGAGAAGTACAAGAAGTACTCCGAGGAGCCGGAAAAGAAGCGACAGCAGAGACTCAAACGTGCGCAGAAGGAAGCCAGAGAAGCCGAGGAGGCTGCTAAAGAACTGGAGGAGAAGGACGAAGTCAAGGGGACTACAAAGGCGAAGAAGGGAAAGAAAAAGAAGACCTCTGCTATGGATGACAACGATCTAGTGGCTCTGATTCAGCAGCGACAGGCTTCCCGTGCCGAGTCATTCTTTGACCAACTGGAGGCGAAATATGCCCCTGGCAAGAAACGAGGGGCGAAGTTTGAGGAGCCTCCCGAAGAAGCTTTTGAAGCCACTGCAGCTCGACGCAGCTCGAAAAAGAAGAGGGCTACATAGGTGATGCGCGTGGACCGAACTCTATTGGCTGATTTTGCACTTCCTCTTGCTTCTTTTTGTTCGTTGATACTGTCTATTGTTTTTCTGGTGCAGGAGTTCTGGGAGACCCCTACGGATATTTCTTGGTCCTACTGCTTGTTTTGATTTTAGGGAACTACATCGTCATACAGCGAGATTCGAACGACCTGGACTTTTCATGTTACAAGACATAGGTCATAAAGACGAAACTAATGACTCCTTTTTTTTTTTGTGTGTGTGTGGTAATTCTATTGAAGGGCATCTTAACATTATGATTAGCGCACCGTGAATCCATTGTTCTACATGTACATAGAGTCCCGACAGTTGTAGGTAATACGAGTCAGCAGTACCACCCCTGGTCAATTATTAGTATCTAGATCCTGCTTGGAGAGGCGATGATTGGCAATGGCGTGAATGAACCATTAGGCTACAATTGATTCTCGTGTAACGGCGTTGGTACCCATTCAAATCCGAGTAAATTCACTGGGGTTAAGCCACCGTCTCGTCTTCATGCACCTTGTGATAGACGCAAGGGATTGACAGCAACACCAAATGGGGGAGTGATACTAATGACATCGCCGGCATAGAGTTCAGCCCTTTTGACATTGGATCTTCGTTTCTTTTTCCTTATTTTTCCTCTAAATTATGTTTGATTCCTTCCCCCCTCCTTCTGTTCTCCTCTCAGAAGCTCAGATCAAATCCCTCTCTCTGTTGCCCCGCCATAAATGCCCGAGCTCTTGGTGAGTGCCTCTTGAGTTTTGTGGGATCCTTTTTTTTTTCTTACTTTTCCTTTTTCTTTGCTTTTTTGTGCTGATCCCCTTTTTTGAAGCGAAACCTTCTGTCAGATATCCTTTGCGGCATCGACTCTGGTTGCTGATCACTACGAAGTTTCTTTGATTTCATTCTGTGGCCCGACGGTCGTGAAAAGTGGATTCCTCGGGGACAAAGAAGCAGAAGAAGACCCTCTGGACTCTGGAGAGCTCCTGCCGTGGGTGCCAACTGAAAAAAGGGTCCCTTGCAGACCAACTTGCGAGCTTAACAACGCCCAATAATAATTGATTATATTGATTATAACCCCTCTTCCTCCCTGGACTGGACACCAATCGTCCGTCGCTTCGAATCACCACCACCGCAGTGGCGACGTCCCTCCCCCAAAACAAGCCCTCCCAAGGACCATTGTGATTCAAGCCAAAACAAAGTCTCCTCTTCTTGGCAGCGACCGGAGAGAAACTAGTGGAAGATCGCCCGTGATACACACGGCTGCCTACACGTGGAAGAGGAGTTGTTAAGTTTTTAAAACTACCGACTAAAGACGGTGGTGAGATTTGGATCGACTTGACATTTTCTTCTTCTTCAAGCAGCCCACAGGGTGGTTTTGTTGATCTTCTTCAGCCCCCCATTTGCACACTATACGGTTTATACTAGAACGACCAAACAGCGGCCGCCGCCGAATGCACAAGTGCGGACGCCCCCGTCCAGACCCGAGCTAAAGCCGTCATTAGGCGGTCGATCTCCACATTCCACAGCTGTTTGGCCAGCCTCGTGATTCTGGTACGACTCGGTTCTCCACAGCTTATCAACCGCCGCAGGCGGCGCCACACACGATGCAGCACTACTACAGTAGGAAACCCGCCGCAATGTCGCTGGAAACCGCTCTGGAAGAAGAGCGCCGTGAGCTTGTTCATGAATATGAAGGTCGCAACGGCGCAGGCTCGCGGCGGAACTACAGAACAACCCCGACGGCCCCGGCGCGGAGCCTGCTGGATATTGCTCCATCGCCTGGGGCCCTGCCTCCACGGCATGGGTCCATCGCCGGCATTGGCGTCGGCGTGACTCCCCCTTCCGCGCGACGCAGCTGGCATGAACCTCTAGTTACAACGACATCTAGCACTGCACCTCCTCCTGCCAAAAAAACTTCCACCCCACGACGCACCACATCGGCCGTTGCTCCCCCGCCAATCCCGCAAAAGAAATCTTCCGCTGATTCCGAGGACGCTCCCCGCAGATCCAGCGACCCGCTTTCGGTCACCAAGGATAACAAAACCGATAATATCAGACCCCGGCCGAGTATTCGCTGGGACGATTCGGTCACAATGCCGCCTAGCGTTCTCTCTCAACGGCGTGCGAGCCAGGCACAGGAAAAACCGCCCACCAAGGCTCTGCAGGGCAGGAACGCCATGGCAGCGGTGATGTCTGGTCTGGATATACGGGTCGGGTTGCCGAGTTTTACCAGAGGGAGAAGCTCATCACGGAACAACTCAGCGCGTGGGACTTCGTTGGACTCGCGCATGTCCCCAAAGAATCGCTGGCTCAGCCCGAGCTCTCGGAGCCCGGCATCCCAGTCGACCAAACCGACAGTAGAAAAGCCGAAGCCGACAGAGATGGAGAGTACTGGTAAACAGCAACCTGCTAGACCGGCAGCTCGCCGCCAATCATCCGACGACGATGTCCGTTCGCCAACGCTTGGAGATGAACGTTTGGAGAAAGACATGTACGACAGCGAAAACAACCTAATTGAAACCAGTGAAGAGGAAATTGATGATTCTACCTCGAGCGATGATGAGGCTAGTTCCGAGCGTGGACGAAAGAAAACCTCTGACCGTGCTCCTCCTATCGGGGACAATGAAACGAGCCTCTCAACGCCTGATTCGAAAGAGCGTATGTGTCCCTCTGCTCGCTTTTATCTCTTATAATCACTAACATAGCAATAGAAGCGTCGGAGGATAGCCCCGACGACAAATCTGAGAAATCGGAGTATACTCATTCGGCGAAACAGGGCCCAATCCCGAAGAAGCCTGAGGTTCATCCTCGGACAAGCTTCGACACTGCTTCGGCGGCCAATACCCCCTTTGGATCGGAAGATGAGGCGGAGTTGTCTGACATCAAACGGGCGCAGAAACTCGGAATCCAAATGTCCGCCATTGACAGTTCCGTGCACAATAGGTCTATCCGGACTATCATCCGCGGCGACTATACCGGCCTATCAGAACAAACGGAAAGTGGTCGTCGCCGCCAGCGCAAGTATCTGGTAACTACAGACCTCAGTGAAGAATCCGTTTATGCCCTGGAATGGACGATCGGCACGATCCTTCGAGATGGTGACACGATGTTTGCCGTTTGTGCTATTCATGAAGAGACCGGTGCGCCAACCTCCGTTCAAATTGGGGAGGGCGCCAAAGCTATGCAGGATGCTGCGGCCGTTGTGGGGTCGCAGACCGAAGAGACGGTGCAGCAATCGCAGAACGACTCGTCCACCAATTTATCTCGTGCGCTCTTGAGCCGACTGGGCTCGGGAACAGACAGCAAACCCAGCTCTGTAGATTCTCGGGGGATGTCCAAAGCGGAGTCCGAACGCGTTCATGCGGTTGAAGTTATCTCACAAACGTGTGTCCGACTCCTCAGAAAGACTGTGTTACAGGTACGGGTTGCCGTTGAGGTGATCCATTGCAAGAGCCCTAAACATATGATTACCGAAGCTGTACGTGGTGCAACTATGGACCTTTTCCCACCACTCTCTACTCGAAGCGACTGACATATTTTTTGTTTTCTAGATCGACGGCCTTGAGCCAACTCTTGTCATTGTCGGTGCCAGGGGCCGGAGCGCTTTGAAAGGGTAATTATTAATCATCCTACTCGAAAGAATCTACAAAAGCTAATGACTTGCAGTGTACTTCTCGGGTCATTTTCCAATTACTTGGTCATGCATTCTTCGGTTCCGGTCATGGTCGCGCGGAAGAAGCTGAAGAAGCAATCCAAGACCAAGAAGACAAACATTCGTCTCTCAAATAATCTGTCAACACCCAAGAAACTAGCAATGGCAAAGGTAGATTAGGTTGACAGACAGCACACCTCTCGCGTTTTCATTTCGGATAGCTGGACGGTTTCTAGCCACATGGCGCATGTCTTTTTTTCGCTACAGTTTCTCGATCATTTACCTTCAATTCTCAACCTGTATGATTATGAATTATTGTTGCCATGATGGACGAAGGTGCCCGTTTTGCCTATCTTTCTTTCTATTTCTCTTATCAACTCACGAAGGCTGCTTTTCTCTTTTCTTTTCTTTTCTTTTCTTTTTTTTTTTTTTTTGAATGACGCCCCTACACGCATTGTTCCATGTGGTTTAGGGATCAGTTTGATATGACAACGATCAGCACAAGGATATCCTCATGACACTTGAATATCAGAATAAAATATAATAAGTTGGGACGAGTCCCCTAGGCCGCTAAAATTGTGTTTCATATGTTATGTAACTATGTGTACTGCGCAGTATGTTTGTAGACGATGTCATAGCTCAAGCTGGTATCACGTGCATGGGTCACCGCCCAACGACTGCGGAGACCAGCCATCATATCGGACTACGTACGATCTCACTTGGCCCCGACGTCAGGAGCTCCTCTTCCTTCACTCCCCACCCTCTCCTTCGCGGCCCCCTCCTGTATCCATTCTCGGAAGCTGGTCAGGAACTCTGCAGCCATGGCGTCCGAATTCGTTGACCCCAGAATGACTTCAGTCAAGCCTCGTATTCGCTACAATACGATCTCAGGTATTAACGGACCGCTGGTCATCCTGGATAATGTATGCCCCTCCACGGTTTCTTAGATGGCAAGCTGAAGAAGCTTGCATGTCAAGTATTTATGCTCACAATGGTGTCGGCTTAGGTTAAATTTCCCCGATACAACGAGATTGTATCCCTGACTCTTCCTGATGGTACCGAACGGTCTGGTCAGGTCCTTGAGGCTAGAGGTATGTTGAGCTTATCTAGAAGAGGTCCATGCCGGATCGACCAGAGAAGCTAACTCGGATATTCGGTGAACAGGAAACAGAGCCGTCGTTCAGGTGCGAAATACTCTAGAGCTTAAGTCTTTGATAACAGTTGCTTTCGGGCGGAGCATTAACGTGGCTTTCCGGTTAGGTGTTCGAAGGTACTCCGGGTATTGATGTCAAAAGGGTATATTACAATCTTGGGGTGGTTGCACACCTGGCTGGATCGTCATGCTGACTTTGTCCTAGACCAAGGTCGAGTTCAGCGGCCACAGCTTGAAGCTGGGTGTGTCGGAGGACATGCTGGGCCGTGTATTCGATGGTTCGGGTCGCGCCATTGATAAGGGCCCTAAGGTGCTGGCGGAGGATTATTTGGATATCAACGGCCAACCTATTAACCCTTACTCGAGAGTACGCGCACGCTATACCCCGGTGGATTCGATGACGAAGCTATAGATCGCTAACGGGATGGTGTAAAGGTGTACCCCGAAGAAATGATCTCCACCGGTATCTCTGCCATCGACACTATGAACTCCATTGCTCGTGGTCAGAAGATTCCTATTTTCTCCGCTTCTGGTCTTCCGCACAACGAAATTGCTGCCCAGATTTGTCGCCAGGCTGGCTTGGTTGGCAAGCCAACTAAGGACGTCCACGACGGACACGAAGAGAACTTCTCGATTGTCTTCGCAGCTATGGGTGTTAACATGGAAACTAGCCGTTTCTTCACCCGTGATTTCGAGGAGAACGGCAGTATGGAGCGTGTCACGCTGTTCCTGAACTTGGCCAATGACCCTACGTACGTTCACCATCAAATACTCGGGGTCCTTCTACATTTATTATACATGCGATACTGACTATTGGCTTCAGCATTGAGCGTATCATTACCCCTCGTCTTGCCTTGACAACTGCCGAATACTACGCTTATCAATTGGAGAAGCACGTCCTGGTTATCATGACTGATCTTTCGGCCTATTGTGATGCTCTTCGTGAAGTCTCCGCTGCCAGAGAAGAAGTGCCCGGTCGTCGTGGTTACCCCGGTTACATGTACACTGATTTGTCCACTATCTACGAGCGTGCTGGACGTGTAGAGGGTCGTAACGGATCTATCACTCAGATTCCTATTCTGACTATGCCTAACGATGGTTTGTTTCCCTCCTTCAATCACAGAAACAGTCTGTTGACCTTGTATCAGATATCACCCACCCTATTCCCGACTTGACAGGCTACATTACTGAGGGCCAGATCTTCATTGATCGTCAGCTGTACAACAAGGGTGTCTACCCCCCAATTAACGTCCTTCCATCTCTGTCACGTCTGATGAAGTCTGCCATTGGTGAGGGTCGTACCCGTAAGGACCACTCTGATGTGTCCAACCAGCTGTACGCTAAGTACGCTATTGGACGAGATGCCGGTTAGTCACCCCCAGAATGAGTCCCAACGAGCCATACGGTACTGATGAAAATTATCACAACAGCCGCCATGAAGGCAGTCGTCGGTGAGGAAGCCTTGTCCTCCGAAGACAAGTTGTCCCTCGAATTCTTGGAGAAGTTCGAGAAAACCTTCATCAGCCAGTCCCCCTACGAATCGCGCAGTATCTACGACTCCCTAGACATTGCCTGGAACCTGCTCCGCATCTACCCTAAGGACCTCCTCAACCGTATCCCTAAGCGCGTCCTGGACGAATTCTACGCTCGCTCCTCCCGTAAGATCGCCAACAAGGACACAAGGGACAACAGCGCTCCTGAACAAACTCAGTCGTCGACTGGTGATCTCATTGAGACCTAGATTCGATTTCATCTTATAAATGAACTGAATTACCGAAGATGAGAAGAAGGATGACGGCGGCGGGCGGTTTTCTTTTTATCCCGAGATATCTATTCGTGTTTGCTTTATCATTGCATGTTAAGCTATTCGTCTGTCTTTGTCCACTACGAACTTTGCATATACTCTTCGTCGTAGTTGTATATCATATAGCTCATATTTGGTCATTTCCTGGTTCATCCTCTCGATGACGCTGGATACGTATGTAGGGAATAATCTACTGGTACCGGTGGGATAAAAGAATGAAGTGATAAGGAATGGAAAAAGGAAAAACAAAAAGGATAATGAATCTAGACAACACCTAGGCTGCATGCTGGATATCCAAAACAGATCTTAAATACAATGAACCCCGAAAGATGTCATAATAAACGCGCTATGTAAGGAAAACTTTTCTCTTTATTTTATCATTGCTCATCAGCGAGCGTCTATCGAACCAATCGACCGTCGGACGATACGAAGCCCGGATATCTAAAATAGATCAGACCGATAGGTGTTTTCAGTCCCGCGTTTAGCACGCAAGCTTTTTTAAAAACGCAGATCCCAGCCGATCTGAGGACCCAGGCGGGGAAGTTCATCGGCAACGCTCTGGACATCCTTGTCACCTCTGCCGCTGAGGTTGAGGACGATGTTCTCGCCCTTCTTCATGGTCTTGGCGAGTTCCATGGCGCCGTGGATGGCGTGAGAGGATTCCAGGGCAGGGATGATACCCTCGCATTGGGCGAGGGCGCGGAAGCCGGCGAGGGCTTGGGCGTCGGTGGCGGCGACGAACTGGGCGCGGTCGCTGTCCTTCCAGTTGCTCAGTTCCGGGCCGACACCAGGGTAGTCGAGACCGGCGGAGATAGAGTGGGTCTCGGAGATTTGGCCGTGCTCGTCCTGCAAAACGTAGGTGCGGACACCGTGCAACACGCCCTTGCTACCGCCGGAGAGGGTGGCGGAGTGTCTGTCAGTGTCGACGCCGTCACCTCCAGCTTCGACGCCCAGGAGCTTGACGCTGGTGTCCTTGGAGAAGGGGTAGAACATGCCGACGGCGTTGCTGCCACCACCGACACAGGCGACGACTGCGTCGGGCAGCTTGCCGATTTGCTCCATCATTTGCTGCTTAGTCTCGTCACCAATGACGGACTGGAAGGTACGCACAATGGTGGGGTAGGGGTGAGGTCCAATTGCAGAGCCAATGATGTAGTGGGTGGTGTCCAGATCAACAACCCAGGCACGGAGGGCCTCATTGACGGCATCACGCAGGGTACGGCTTCCAGCATCAACAGCCACCACGGAGGCACCGAGAAGCTTCATACGGAACACGTTCAGGGCTTGACGGCGAACGTCTTCTGCACCCATGTAGACAACACACTCCATGCCGAACTTAGCGCAGACAGTCGCAGTAGCAACACCGTGCTGGCCAGCACCTGTTTCAGCAATGATTCTCGTCTTACCCAGCCTCCGGGCAAGGAGGATCTGGCCGAGTGCGTTGTTGATCTTGTGACTTCCAGTGTGGTTGAGATCCTCACGCTTCAACCAGATGTTTGCGCCTCCAACATGCTCTGTAAGACGGTTGGCAAGGTGAAGGCTGCTAGGTCTGCCCATGTATGGGTAGTAAGAACGGTATTCCTCCCAGAACTTGGGGTCGTTCAAAGCCTCTGCAAATCCCCGCTCCAACTCGGCCAGACAGTCCATGAGGGATTCGGGAACATACTGTCCACCGAACTCACCGAAACGCTGCGGTTGTGCAGAGGGGTTTCCGCCATTGAGAGCTTCAAGCTGATCGGCCAATCCCGGGCCTGAAGGAGCATCAACATCAGTGACAACGGCCGTGGGCTGGGAGATGGCCGGCTGCTCCTTCTTCTCCACGAAGTCGATCACATTGACCTGGCGTACAATTACGCCCTGCGCATCCCTCTCGAGTTTGCGACCGGTAACACTGGAGAGATATTCCTCGGCATGCTTAGCCGCCTGACCAGCAGGGGCTTGACCCAAGACAGTGATAATCTGGCTACCAATAACACATCCCTCAGCCAGATCCTGCACAGTCAGGAAGTGCTCGCGAGTACTGACACCGAATCCCAGTGCAGCAGGCACATTGCCAGACCAGTTGTGAACACGAGACAAGAGCTCGGGAAGGTTTGCGCTGAGCTTTCCGGTGGCACCGGTGACGCCCATTCTCGAAACAACATAGATGAAAGAATCGGCGATCTTGCACAGGAGCTTCATGCGGGACTCTGACGTCGCGGGGGCAATGAGGGGGACGAAAGAAAGGCTGTGCAACATGTCAACACATTGCCATTTGAACAAGCAAACAGGGGATATCATGCGAAGACGTTCACTTACCCATTGCTGGTGCAGTGTTCTCTGAAACGCACAGCTTCCTCGGGGGGCAAATCGACCATAATGAAGCCATTGACACCAGCCTCCTTGCAGTCCTTGAGCATACGCTCCTCCCCATAACGCATCATAGGGTTGTAGTAGCCCATCAAAAGGATCGGCACTTTGAGACCTCTGCGGCGGGCTTCCCTAACCTTCTCAAGGACAATCGTGACTGTGACACCGTTCTCCAATGCTTTGGTGTTAGCCTTCTGAATTGTCGGTCCGTCGGCGATAGGGTCCGTGAAGGGGACTCCCATTTCGATAATGTCTGTATACATCGCCCCATTGCGTCAGTGAACTGCATTCCAAAATGGGGTTGATAAGTGGCGGGGTATGGGGGAGCCTTCACGTACCGGCGCCTCCATTTTCCAAGCCAAGGAGGATATCCACAGTCTCCTCAACGGTGGGATATCCGGCCGTTATATACGCGACCAAGGCGGCGCGCTTCTCCTGCTTAGCCTTGGCAAAGGTCTGTTTGATGCCTTCCATGGTGTCGGTGGTGAGGGGAAAGGTCCAGGGACACTTGACTTTCCGAAAAGGCAGGAAGATAAAGGGTGAAGTGGATCCCCGGGGTGTCAGTTAGGTCAGTTAATGAGTGGAATATGAGGGGGTAAATGGAGAAGGAGGAAATGTAGTCCCGGTCAAAGTCACACTGCGTTTTGAGTCGTGGATCATCTTGTCTCTGTATTCAAATTGCCATCGCCGATGTCCCGCCGAGTCAGGTGATTTATGTGGCGATAAGATAAGCTCGGTCAGGAATTCTCTTCCCGTACCGTATGTATCGATTGTACGGTACCATCGGAATTACGGGATAGGGTCCGCGATTAGGGCTCGAGTTATCACCAAGTGCATGAAAGAAACAATCAGCTATTATTAATGGGCGGAATCTGGGTACTATACTATAAAACCATTCTCAAGTCAATCAATAACACAGATGTGGGTTGAATGGAATCGATCAAGCAACAAGATCAAAAAATCAAAAATCAAAATATAGCGGTATTCACAGACGCCAAAGCTATGCATATATAGTGGAATCTCACCCAATCGAGATCGATCCAAATAAGTAAAAGAACACAAAGTCTGCCTGGAGTCTCACGGTGCTCAAGGCACAAGTGAACCACAGCGCATCAGAAAAACAAACAAGACCCATTGCACACTTTTCCTTCGCCATCCCACCCACAAATTCCAAATACCCAGACCTGCGAAACCAAAAGGAACGACAGCAGCGCCATGCTATGCCAAAAATAATTGTACAAATTCCGGAAAGGAGTGAAATCCCAATGCCCCTATATAATGCAAATGCTGGAGGGAACGGACAACAGATCGTCTAAAATGCGTCATGTCAACAGGCTTTAAATGACGAAAAGAATGGGGCATTAAGACATGAAGTATGAAAGGAGAGACGTCGATCATCCGAGTGATCATCATAGAAAACGCTGAAGCCAACTCGTAAGATATGTTTATTGACCCAGCGCCGTGGCTTAAAAAAAAGGAGTGACGATAATGGATATCAGGAAGGATAAGTTCGAACACACAAAAACCGAAAACGCCGTGCAATGCGATTGAAAAAGGGATGACGTATTATAAAGGTCCCAGCTTAATGAGACGGGTCTTGAACGGAGTATGACATTGGGGTCAAGTAGTTGTAGGTGGGGCCTCCATTTGTACCAGGAGCGTTGATGAGAGGGTTGATCTCCCAAGTTCTGCTAACAGGTGCAGTGAGACCAAGTTGACTCTGTTGTTGGCAGACCGCTGGATAAGAATATGGGGCAGGCATAGGATGATAGGGTTGGCTAACAGCAGGTAACACAGCTCGTAGCGCATGAGTGCCGGCCATGGAATGCCCAGGGTGATGTGCCGGAGGGGAATAGGCTGCGGCTGCCACAGGGGCACCATAGGTAGTTGATGGACCAGTGTCAGAGACAGACTGTGGGGATGCCGCGTTCGGAGGTTCGGTGCCAGAGTCCGATGCAGCTCCATTGCTGGTATAAGTTGAGCTCATGGGTGTGGGAAGGGCCCCAGCGGTCGAGGAGTAGCTTGCGGACTGTGACCCATGTACGTCAGTGTTTGCCTCAACGATGTGCAGCATAAAGAATCTACCACTTACGTATTTACCAATGATCTTCTTTAGAGCATGGCCGAGTATCCGCCAAGGGAATACCTTGACATCCTTCTCAATATTGCGCGGCTTCGGGGCAGGGAATCCCATGATCACCTTGAAGAAGTCCTCGCTATCGGCTTTTGATTTCGAAACAGTAAGTGGCCTGAAGCCTTCCAGGTTCCTGCGGATACGATTCTTCTCTTCCACGGTGAATCTCACACCAACAAGGGACTCAAGGAGGTAGATGGTATCGACACTCGTGATGAAGCATTCATCTTTGCCATCCCAGTAGATGCAACTAATGCAGATACTGTTGGGAGCACGATCTTCAGGAGTAACTGGGTTAAAGTCCGCATGGATGGTGCTCCCACTTTGCATACGAGTGAATTGAACCAAGCGCCGCTTGGACTCGCGCTCCTCTTTAGTCCAGCTTTCTGTCATCGAGTCCAAGCTGCCATTCAGCTTCAAGACAGCCTTCGAGGGATACATGGCATAGGGGTTGAACGACTGAGTGTGATGACTAAGGCTGCTTGACTGTTGCAGTGTGGAGGTGCGAATAAGCGTTGGGTTAGTGATCCGCGCGGGTGAAGTTGGCTTTTGGTGGCGGAGGCCGTGGGCATAAGCGAACCCAGGAGCTCTAGAATCTCCGTGAACAGTCACGTACGAAGGACTCCATGAAGGAGCGAGGGGCGAGGGTGCTCGGATGTTGGATTGTGACGTTGCCGTTACAGTCGAGTAATGCGCTGGAGCAACTCGGGGTGATGAGGTCGAGTGATATGGAGCGACAAAGCCATTCATCGCAGGCAAAGATTGCAAATAAGGCGAATAAGAGTAGGCTGGCGGCTGCTCTTTGCCATGGATTGGCGGCCCCGTCGTCCTCTTGCCTGACCTAGGTTCCTCCGAGTATGACACGATCCTCTTTCGAGACTCATCCGATGGCGAGGGATGGGAAGCGTTCTCATAGGTATACACACCAACCTGAAGGGTAGTGGAAGGACACTCGTTTTGGGCATTCATCGCCACTTGCAAGGGCACAGCGAAAGATGGGGAGCCCGTCGAGATGAATGGAGGGGTATCCACCGAGAGGGCATACTGAAACAAAGAGCCCTGGAAACCCAGGAAATGTGGCACACACTCGCACTTCTTCGAACCAAAAACCAGGTAAAGAGTTGCATAAGATGAAGTGTGAAGGTCATATGGGGACTGGATTTGCACAAACACCCGAGTCCCTTCTGATCCTCTTTGGGGAGAATAAGAGATCACCTCTGGTAGTTGACGGGATTCGCCACCTAGCATGGGTGACCGACTGTCTTCGTAAGAGCTGGCATACTCTTGATTTCCCATGTATGGGACACAGTCGGATATTTGACTCGCATGGTCGGCCATGGGGGATGGCACCATTGGTGTGCTCGTCACGTATGGGGCCTGACCGAAACTGGAATAGGAGGCACCATCTTGTACGGACCTAGCAGATTCGTAATCTAGATATATAGTCAGCAATTTTGTCTCAAACAAGAAAGGGTGGCGCCACCAGGTTTCTCCAAATGAAGCACCGGAGGACCAGTCCGACCAAACTTACCGAGCAAGGCAGCCTGTGGAGGCTTCTGAAGAGTAGACATAGACAGGATGGGTTCAGACTTGGCCAACAGGCCGTCTGATAGCGAACCGATAAACCGTGACTCTTCAGTGTCTGATAAATCTAAGGATTCGTCTAGAATCAACGGGGTTTGGAAATCAGGGTCGAACTGTGAAGGGAAGATGTTAACAAACGTCCAGTGTTTTTCGAGACAACAGGACAATTTGGAAATCTCTAGCGAGACTGGAATCTCACCGAGCTTCTTAAACACAACAGAAAAAAGCAAGGCAAGATGGTTGGAACAGGGACAATTGGGCAGCAAAAGGAGAGACAGGACGAAGTATGTCGACGTACCAAAACACCGTGTGCCTTCGAGTAAGCCAGCTTGAAGGTGTTGCAGAGACTGCAACGAAACACAACCGCTTAGAAGCGAATGACAGCGAATTTAACTGGGAAAACGATAGGATGGCGGAGAGTCTTGAATTGCTCTCCGAGACAAAACGAGTGACGACACGAAGCGGCTGTCAGGCTCAACAAGGAATACGCAACAACGGGCTTCGAATCAACGGCCAGCATCCAACGACGGAGAGTGAGACCGGAAAGGATGGCTGCAGGACGAGAGCTAGAGATAAGCCACGCTAACAAATGCTGCTTGAAAAGCCACCTATAGGGACCCAGTTTGCATCTGCGAAGGACGTATGCTAATCCCACGGACAGTCCAGGCTGGCGAGACACTGACTGAATTGCGCAGGCCAATCTCAACGAGCGAGTGGTATCAAGTCGACGCAGACAGAAACGAAAGAGGTTTTACTCTTTGGAGCCGACTAGACCCAGGTGAACTGAAGGACAGCTGGGGCCACGAACTACCTAGCTAATGAGTACGAACCGTCCAGAGGTGAAAGGAATCGGCTTGCTGCATAAGCTAGTAGGATTGACCAAGAGTAATAAAGGATTCAAAACCGCAGGCGAGGCTAGCGGAAAGCTATTATGCAACGTTCACCGTCACCAAATATCTGACGAAATAGCCTACGCCATAAGAATGTCAATAACAAACATCCGGGACTAGGGGAGCAAGACCACTCGGGGAAATGACAAGCACCTGGGAAAATCCATCATGGGTGCTAATTTTCCTTGGGGCCCTTGTGCCCCAAGGGCACGACCTGGAAGAAGCAAGGAGCCCAAAAGGAAGGGGACGGATGCAAGGCACCATGGCATCAGTGGCAAAGGGGATAATTAAACTAACCTTAAGAGATTACACCCTCCAGCGAATTTAAAGCCTTTGGATTCTCTAGGAGCTCACTTGAGAACTTTGCTGGGACTTTCGTAATCAAATGGTGCTGTTAACCGAGACAATGATTCACGATGCTGTAGGCCCAGATCGAAATAGGACGAAGATTGGTAGACGACCGGATAGAGGCCCACCCTTTGAAGGAATCGAGACCAGACAAAGGCTTGAGTACGAGAGTAGATGACGGAGGGGAGTCGTGGACTGGGGACACAACTTGACGATCTTGATGTCCCTCCCGGAGTACAAACGATGTTGCGGGTCCTTTCTCTATAGCTTGTGAGCCTTTTTGAGACCCGACAAACGGCAGTTGAATAGTGCGCACGGAATAAGTAAAAATGATTGTCAGTCAATCAAAAGTCAATACTCCTAGACAACCTTTCCTTCTTGTCGAAATGAGATGCCAAGGATGAATTAAAGGTCCGATTTGCACGGAATCAACGTCCAGGCAGAAGCAGGCAAAGCGAAAGTCGTCGAACGAAGAGCGAGCGCGATATCCCGTGATGGCCCAATAGTATATAGAAGTGCAATTAAAAACCGTCAATGCGTCCACTTCCTTCTTTTCCTTTCCCTGTAAACCTGATCTTATTTTCTTTTTTTTTTTTCCCCTTCGGCTTCTCTTCCACTGTTTCTGATTAGACCTTCTCGTATTTTCTTTTTCTTTTCCTTTTTTAAAATTGTTATTCTTCTTCGTCAACCAACGTAGCGAACGTTATATAGTTTCGAAAAAAACACAAAGCGAGTGTGGTGCGATGAAGCGAGTGTAAAAACGAAAGTAAGAGAAGCAGTAGTCGAATCCGTTCAAGGTGCCATAACAGGAAACCAAGAGGGGAGGGGGGAAAGGATAAGTAATAATAATAAAAACGGGGAAGAGGAGGTGAGAAGTTTAAAGGGTTTAAAAAAAGAAAAGGCCAAACCAGACAAGGAACCAGTACGAGGTGACGAGAGATATATTATTTTTTTCCCTTTTAGCACTAAGGCCGAGGGATGGGGTGGTTAAGGGCACTGGAAAAGGATGCTGGTCCTTAGTCTTAGTGTGGCGGGGATGCAAAGTAAGAAGGAACAGGTAAAGAATCGAGGGTGGTTATAGGCTGGTCAAAAGGCAGCAGTAAGATGTAGTCAGTAATACTGGGGCTTGAATGAGGTTGGTAAAAGTCAAGTCAGTATGATTCTTCTTATTATAATTCGAATTTTTTTCTTCTTTTTTACTTACCTCCATATTCTAGTTTATATAGATCAAGTATTTTTATTTCATTCTAATTTTCCTTCATGGCTCTTGCTTCATAATTTTTTTTAATATCTTTTTTTTAGATCACTTACTATAATCGTATTGAAAGATGGGTTGTTATAATTACCAGTACTATTATTGTTATGATTTTAATATATTTTTTTAATTCGTTTAGTGATTTGAGTATTATTGATTCTAATAATTTATCATTACCATTGCTAAACCAGATATCCATAGGTATTTCCGTATAGTAACGGAGGATGTATTTATGGAGCATGACCTCCCGGCGGAGCCCATTACTAGTATAGTTAGTGATTCTGGTCGGATTGAAGGATAGTAATTGCTGGGTTTTTGCTCCAGTCGAAGGTTCTTGGGTTTCCCTCCTCCACACCACATCTGAACCGTTACCAGTCCGTCCATGGAGAGCGTGAGAATGGACAGTCTCCATAATATTCTTCGACGAAGTTTCCGCGGTGTCCGCTTTCCTTTCGGAGATCCACAGAAGGCAGAAAGCAAAAAAGTGACCTCATGGCGACCCGTTTCCTTTCTTTTTATTTCGGTAGTATTGTCTTATTTTTTAGGATTTCTTTTTCGGTTGTATTCACTTATCCTTTTTTTTTTTTCGGGTCACGTTCTTTTAACCGCCCTCAATTTTGTGGTTCGGGATAACTAAGCTACTAGTCTGGATATATTCCATCAGGACGGAAGATAGCGTTGTTATGGGTAGTTGTCGGAAGAGGTGGGAAAAGCATACCAGCCAAAAAGAAAGAGGGAGGAAGGCAAGAAAACAAAAAGCAAAAAAAAGAAAAACACAAAAAACAAAAAAACAAAACCAAAAAAAAAAGAGAGAGAAAGTGGAGGGGGGTGTTCTTGCTGAAGGTAGGTTAGCTCAGGTCTAAAATAATAACAGATGCAAATATGATTCGAAGGAAAACCCTCAATACCCAATCCAAATGCAGAAGCCTACTAGCAAGGGTGCTAGCAAAGAATAGCAGCAGACACCGTTCGGGCGGTCCACGCCGCCTTGAGCCTGTGGATCCACCTAGAGGGCGGAAAAGCATGGGATCAGTCAGGGCTGCAGAAGGGGAAGTGGATGGAAGGGTCATGGGAGAAAGAGACCTTTGGAACTCCGTACATAGAAGGATTCTGATTCAACAATGCCCATGGGCCTGTGAGGATGCTGAGGGTCTTCCCATGACCCGGTGGCTTTCGTTTATTTACGCCTTTTATGTACGTTGTCAGAAGATAAGATGATGAGTCCAGCAGGAGGATAGTATTCTTTCTTTTTTTTACTTTCTTTCCTCTTTTTTACATACACACGCACGCTCTCTCTCTCTTGATGTGTATTTTAATCAATTTTCAGTTATTCTGTGTTTTTCTCAAAAATATCTCGGATTGGCTTTTTTTTTTTTCACTCCCTCGTTTTTTTGCCCTGTTAACTAATCAGAAAATGTGAAATGACCTCATTGGACTACAGAACCTTGGTACTTGACGGGAGCTACTATGGTTATAGTGGCAGCATCAGATGTGCACCGCCTCGTTTCTGCCTTCTCCCCTCTGACCCGAAACCCTACCTTTCCATTCAGATTCTTTGCTTCTTTCTGCACTACGTACGGAGTAAGTTAGTAGGTGCCTCGGTATGCATTATTCACGAAGACCCACTCGGAGGACCCGTCCAATTAGATGGAGTATGATCGAACCTAGCACTAAGTCACCCTGGCAGACACCGAGATGTGATAACTAGTACATATAGCAGAAAGCACAGGATAAAGAATGCGAAGTGAGTCAAGTCCCACGCCCTACGCCTTATCGATTATCAAGCTTGGTACCTTGGTAGAACCACGCGGTCTCAAGGTAAAACGAGTAGCAGAATTGATATGCAGAAAATAATAAAAATAATACAAACGGAACAGTAGGGAACAATGCCCTAACCCATCATAACCATGGCATATTATTAGTTTTCTGGAGGAAGGCTCCTGGTACCCCACCCATGCCCCTTTCCACATCGGGCAACCCTATCTTCTGTCCCCCAGGTGCCAACTTGGAACCTCGAAATCTATCTCTCTTATTGGAAGTTTCTTAATTTGGAGCCCGGGGCAGAAGATTCGAGAGGTAGTTAATCCGACATTTCGCCCTGATCTTGGTCTTTTCCCCTTTGGGAATGCCCGGTCCCGATTCTGAGAAGTAACTCCATACTTCTCAGCGTATCTTCCGAGGACATGCCGTATACTCATCGATGACCGACTTCCGGTGGAGGTGGGGGAAAAAAAATAAAAAGAAAAAGAAAAGAAAAGAAAAGAAAGAAAAGAAGCCTCGGAACCTCAAATACGTATGGCTTTGTTTTGACAAATCAAATTGTACGGTACCCATCGTTGAATGGAGCCACTGAGAAGCCTAACAACCGGGAGACTTTGTTCGAATGGTGACTAAGGGCTACCATCCAAGCAGCCGTCCCGGTTTTCCGCCTTCTGCTTCTCTTTTTCCTAGCCAAGTAGGTAGACGCCTCTTCGTTTTTGACTCCACCTGCGATCTATGGAACCCAAATCTGGTAAATGGAGCAAGAAAGCTTTCCAAGATTGACTTGTTGTTCTGCTAGTTCTTTAACTTCACGACCCAAAATACTTTTGATAAGTCGCGTACAAACCAATCATCGCAGCATCTCTAATAATATCTCCACTAAGTTGGGTGGTAAAAAAGTTTATTTGGCTATGGATTTGAACCCTGCGAATTCGAACACGAGCCATCGAGGTCACGACCGGTCAGACTGATGATTCGCATGCCCTGTCGTGTAAAACGACACTTCCGTCAGCCCACGATGTGGCGGCGGCTCTGTCAAGACGCAGCATTCCAGATCTATTCTTGTCGAGCAAACCACAGCAATCCCAAGGTGGGATGCCTTACGATGAGATCGGTGCCTGACGATAAGTGGAAAGGAAGGCTAATGTCGACTAGTCCCAATTCTCTCCCATGCCGGGAACCCGTTAAAACGGCAGTGAGTTGAGCTGCATATCAGAGTCGGCAAGGTGCCACCCATACGACCATGCTCCTATCTCTCCTATGAACCAAGGTAAGTCCAGTAGCCCTGTACTATGCTCGTAGGACCCCAGCACGCACAACTTTCATGAATCCAAAAGTTCCCATCAAGGGCACCCGATCGAGCCTAGCGGCCGATCTAAGATGCTAAACATAGCAAGCCTTGCATTGGTTTTCGAGCCATGCAAGGGTGATGAGGAGGTGATTGGTCTTGCCAGTACACGATAGGTGGGACCACTCCACTGACACCTGGTACATTCTGTCTAAAATCTGCTTTCTTTCAAATCCTCCGGCCTCCAACAGCTGCTGTGATTTGTTGCCTTTAATCCGCAGGTGGCACGATGGATGCACAACAGGCCCTTCACCTGGGAGGGTGGTAGACATGGGTACTAGGGTAGTAGCGGCGGACGTGACTCTGCATTGTCACCATAACTCAACAACAAGTCACCGTTGGCCATACTTGGACTAAGTACTGAACTGAGTTGTTGAGGATTCCCTACTAATTCTTACCGCTTCTTGAACAACGAAGAAAATCCTTCTCGGCCGCCTGGCTAAGCCTTCAGGTATGTTGTTCATTGATTCTTATTTTCTATTTCATTTTATTTTTACTCTTGTTGTTATTTGAGTATATTTTTTTTTACCCCTTTGTCCAAGCTCATCTTATGATGCAGTGGGTTCTGTCCTCGGAAACCATGAGGTCATGTCACCACAACCAATCCAACTTCGACGAGCAATTCTAAACTACCATAAATTAGGACTAACACGACTGAAGGAACCCATGGCAAAGGGAAAAATAAACCGACAGTGTGTCCCACCAGTTTCCGATGAGGTCACATTGACAGTCCAAACTCAAAAAGCAAAAGAAGAATTGAAGAAGGCAAAAAGCGCAGATCACACCAGGAACGAGAAACAATGCGCAGCACCTCCCCCCGTCCGTCCCTCACAGATGGCGACGATCATCAAGCACAACCTAAACTAAACCAAATCCAAGATGAAGTTCCGATTCGTAGTCAACAAAAACTCTGGTACAATGACTTCCGATGACATAGCAAATCCCGAGTCCCTCCTAGCTACTCTGGGCAAGGTATGGAACTGGTGGTGGCTTTTGCTGCAGGCAATTTTTTTTGTTTGTTTTGTTTTGTTTTGTTTTATTTTTTTTTTACACTTTCCGAATAGTCGGTCTACCCTCTAACATATAGATACGTACTCGATAGTGCCTCAAAACTCCACATGGAGCACTCCCTCGAATCCGGAGAACGCCGAGCCCTACATTGTGCATGGGAATTCCGGTATAGAGTTTGGAACTTCCCATCCACATGCTTAATTTGCAATGTCCCGTGGGAATAAGGGGCCGTGCGACGGGATAAGAGCGGTTTTCAATTTCGAAGCACGTTGGAAAGCCGTTTTTGCCTTCGAGTCGAGCATGCATGGTTAGGGTTAGATTATCAGTGGTCTGTGGGGACGCCCCCAGCCCGGATCAGCAATCTCTTCAGGTGCTTGGCCCGAATCGGATGCGCGCCGACGATAGGGTACATATGGAATGATCGCTTTTTTAGGTTGACAGATACTACCTCATGATAAGAGCGGCTAATGTTTACTTTCACTACAGGAGTATAGACGGGCGACTAAACAAGGCCAGAAATGTTCTCGAAATTAACTATAAACGTCAAATCACTATGACAATTGCGTGACAAGAGCCTATTCAATTCAGCTAGCATCGTATGGCTAGATGGAGCTTGGAAACCTCGAATGGTCTCCCAAGATGGAAAGCGAAAAGAGACAACGTGAAACTTTGAAGCACGTACCAAAAAGGAAAAAGAAAAAAGACGCAAGAACCCTAACTCGGCGAATGCTCGGGAAAAATCCACAACTAGTTCAGGTTCATAGCCACAAAGACCAAACCTGTTATTCATGCGCCAGTTTGCTCCATTAACCTCTAACCCCCGATACCAGCGCTAATCCGCTAGTCCCTGGTGGGCTTCTCTCGGTCCGTATCGGAAATCTCAAGTTCCGACCCAAGAGGGTATGGTATACGGAGCGCCCTGGTGCTTTCTCATAGGCCCGCTGAAAGCAGACCCGGACGGAGCTTGACCAAATGGGGTTTATGGGCCCCTTACCGGACGGGGAACAAACTTGATCTGGAATTATTACTTTCAGTTCCATAAACCTTCCATAAGCATTGCCTTGAAGTTTAAACTCTATGAGCATTTGGGGGGCATTGCGTTATACAAATGGGGATCTTGAAGAGTAGTACGGAGTATACGGATACGCTACGCCGTATTCGAAACGGGCATGGATTCCCGAGTCTTGGGAACCATATTTTATGGGTCGGATTTGGCCACATGGGAGGTTCCAAATGTTGTTAGAGGGTGCTAGTTTACCGTGTGGGAGCTGGTAGTTGAACTTAGTATAGGGAGGAGGATAAGCTGTTGATGGATCAGGAACGTACAGGCACTAGTTTATCCCATGTCTATGCTTAGCTTCGGAATACCCATACTAGTCATGAAGGTCGCCGACCAAATACACGTCGAGTCATTCGGCATGTGTTCCCCCCCACACCCACGATGTGCTCGAATTACTATATCATTCCTATCTATTTGAATTCCGAAAGGACGAGTACCTAGTATATACTACAGCGCAGTATAGTGGTCGATCGTGGACAGCTGGACGAGCCTGTGGACATATGCTATACAATTCCAGGGCGAAGGCCGATGTCAATCCATGGTCCCAAGTTGATAGTCCGCGAGTGGGTTTGAGCGTATTCCTTTCGTATACGACAATAGTAGGGCGCAAAAAGAAACCGGACATCTGATGGAGCTGGGATAGTTACACAGCGTATGATGATCATCTTGGCTTTGAATCATGCAGCATCATCGCATGACATTAACCGATCGGCATAATCGTATCTCGATAATCAGCAAGGCAAGCCCAGTGCGATGGGTACTATCGTGAAGAACAGAAGCCAGCACAGACATCCCATATCCATCTCATATAGAGAGACCACGGGGCGCGACGAAGCACTCAGGAACAAGGCAATCCCTATATGAGAGGGGGAAAACTATATGTCCTTGCGTGGTGCATCTCCTTGTAAAATTAAACTGAGCTGGATACTCTAATATCCCTTACATACACATACAAGATTGATCCCACTCCCCCTCCCCCCTTTTTCAGCCCAGGTAATCCTCGCGGAACCTTAGACAATCCTATGCCAGGGTGAGAAAGCGACTAGTGGCCTTAGCTAGGAGAAATGAGAAAGAATTAAGTTGTGTGAAATGTCAAAGGTTATCCTCCGGAAACTCGGATGTTTCTTTTCCACACGCTCCGGAACAGTACCGAGCGACGGATGGATACCCATGTACACTGTACACATAATTGGCATACAGGGTACATCGTACATACATCTGCATGCCGCACGGGGTCACAGCTGTGACTTTTTGGACTGCAGCGCAGCCACAGACTAAAGTTAGCCAAAGTGCTTGTCAAACAAGATCACCCCCCATGTCCCCAATCGGGGGCCAGCGAGCCACCAAGGAAAAAACAGAAGGAAGGGGCAAAAAAAAAAAAAAAAAGGAATTTTTATTTTTATTGTTATTTTTAATTTTATTTTTAATAAAATGGAATAGGTGCCAAAATGGTCCACAGCTCCGCGCCGGCCGTTCTGATCGGCACGTTTTGGGGGCTGGGGAAAAAGGTAAGGTTGTCGATCAGATTACTATTACAGATGTAGACATAGGGTGCAAAATTCAAAATGGTCTATCCCGCCGTCGGGGAAATCCAGTCCCATGTTTTGACCATCATGGATTTCCCCATTCGGCTTTCTTGTCGCAGGTTCAGCCAGCCTCGACCGTTTTTCCCTTGAAACCCCGCCCCGGGCCCTTATATCTGGCTGTAGTATAGCCAGAAACACCATGATAGGAAACCGGTTCTCGCGGGAGTCTCTCTCGCTCTCTCTCTCTCTCTCTCCCCCTTGGAAGGGCAACGCCCTGTGTCAATCTTCTGTACCTTAAGCTCAAACGAGGTAGGGAAAGAAAGCCAAGAAGGCCACCACGCTGCATCCATGGATCATCGCTCTCCTCTCTCCTAGGGATAAACCGTACATGTCTCACCAGTGTTCCCCTCCATGCAAGTGACCAAATTTTAAATAAATTATTGGGATTTTAGTCTGGTATCTAGAGTCTTCTAGGCAGTTGTCTAGAGAGTTTAGACTACGTCTAGCGACGTGGTATAGAGTTATAGTTCAGGTACCGTGCAAGGTACAGTAATGGGAGTAAGACACCTATAGAACCTAACTATCTAGGACGACGTCGGTAGTTCAGGTCTGTCCCGGGCAAAATACTGTGTATCGCAACGGACGATCACCGCAACTGGAAACAAAGTTACACCATGCTCAATGGAGTATATATATATATGCTTCTATAAAGTATCGGGATCGATGGTTGTCGGGAAGTGATGTGCGAACCTCCGACGGTTGAAGCAGACTTCAGGATTTTCGGAGGGTAAATGCGGGATGAAACGTTGCTCTCAGCGTCGGCCGGTGGGTCAGACGCTCTCGTTCTTGTCCACGAACAAGACTATTGACCAAAATTAGGTTGGTAGCTCAGGATTAATTAAATTTTTAGTCACGGCCTTGGGTGACTGGGCCATTTAATCGGGAATCCATGGCTGTCTATCCACGGTACAGGTTAATTTCATGTCATTCGGGTAAGAAAAAAAAAATGGCCGGTGAACTGATCGATGGATCGATTTCCGCCTTTATTGGCTGATCTTAACAGGAGGAATTAAGGCTGTCCAATACGGTTTAAGTAATCTTCACGATTGGCACAGGCATGATACTACGTAGACTCGTAGAGAACTCCATGCCTCAGGTATAATCAAGACGGGAATCAGGGAGCGGGTATGGTGTATTTAATTTAAACCAACGTTTGTGACGTGCCGTACGTTACTGATTGATGAGGATCACAATTGTCATAAGTGCCAGTGTTATAGCGATGGGGTCGGTGGAGTGTCGCATCATTTACCTCTGCCACATGGCATGATAGAGGCATATCTTAATGTCACCCGTTATGATGTGTCGTCGGTGTAGAAGAGCCAAGATTTCCGACGGGATCTGGAATGTCCGTTAGTAACAGGAGGGAATCCTTTACTAACTAGCATACTACTATACATATGTACGGAGTATACTAGGACTACTACTACCATAGTACAGTCGTCGGTACCTCAGGATCTCAGGATCCGTGATCCTCTGTCCTCCTGACTAAGCCTGGCGGACTGACCTTTATCCACCTTGTTTGGGTTGGACGCATGACACTAAATCATATATGCATCTAACTCCGACATACTATGTTAAATATATATTCGTGAAACTGAAAGGGTTGCATTGGATGCATCGACTCTGCGTCCAAAAACATGACGACGTCCCTTATGAAGGAATTCAAGCTGACATGCGTTGCTGCTACTGCGGGATTCTATTCTTAGTATCGCTTCTGGGAGAAAGAAGGGTACCGATACCCAAAACATTATCCACTGAGAAACTTACGGTTCGGCTAATATTTTCGTCTAGTCTATCTCTAAAAAAAAACACCCCAGAGGTCTTTGCAAGTGACTGAAGAGAAGAGAAGTTTGGAATGCACAAGACCCCATATTGTTTTGTTGATATATTTAGCAATTGGATACTACTTCGGTGTTGTTCCGTGGGTGAGAGAATGTCAACCCGTCCTTCGCTACGGGGGACCTCCGGAACGACCTTCGGAAATGACCTAAGATGAACCCATTCACACCAAACAGAAGAGACATCAGATCCCCAATATACACACGCTAGTCGCCGAAACAGTTGCAACGAGAGGGAAAGGGGTCGTGCGGCTACTCCAAAGGTACCATCCACTGATCAGCAGAACAGTGTTCAGGCGTACCATTTGGCGACGCGCGAGACCGCAGCTCCAAAATACCCATCTCGACTCCATCCAACGCTCCCCAACAAACGTGGTAGATGAGACACGATTGAGTCTTTTACCGAACAACTTATCGTTCGGAAAAAGACCCATATTTCAGCTCAGAGCGACTCAGCCAGCACCGCCCGGTTGAGAGACGATCCCAGGGCCTACCGGTGCGAACGCACCTCTGAGTGGCTGGGTTTCTGATATTTTTGGCGTCGATGGCTCTGATTGAGCCGTATGCGCAGGTGGGATGCTCGCACACTGCAGATTGGGTACCTATGGTGTAGATGAGAGCACGAGGCCGTCCTTCAGAGACAATCCTTGAGTTTTTTAGTCCTCCTAAAGACTCACTAGTCTGTGTATATTGGGGTGTGGTGTCTCACGGCCACTGGTGCGATTGAGCCTGTATTCCCTCCTGTCACCTCCGATATGACCCACGGCGAACTCCCCCAGCGGGCGCTTCGTGCAAAGGGATGCGTTATCGTTGCAACAGGGCCTACAGCTGTCGATCAGGACTCTCTGCGAGATAGAATAATCATGCTATCTCTCTACAGCTCGTCACTTGTCGGTCCATCCACGCCACGCCGCGATTGGGTCGGCCGCGGTGCTGTAGAATTCCAGCCTGCGTGGCGCTAGAAATCAGGAGTCATTGATCTCCTAGGGCCAAGGACCGACCAAAAATGAGGTCAGACTAATGTCAGATTACAGACAATAGCTTCCATTATAGACGAGCATCGAATATGGGTGCTGTCAGGTATTCTACACCAATCTCCATGCTGTTCAGGCAAACGGACGTTCTAGAGCATCACAGTTCTGTGGCCAGTCAACTGCGTGACTTCGAAGATGTGTAATTGCTTCCATCCTTTGGGGATTTTCTGATTAATTCAGGTCATCAGATTGATTTGAATATCAAGACATTTCCTGTTATATCACCTCATAACCCGATATGAATATGACACCCAAATATACTATAGATAGAGTGATATACTTAAGTTTAATAGGGAATTTATGGCGTCCTGGAGCATCTACTTTAGAAAATAGATATATTTCTCCTCGGAGGTGACTGTACTAGATCCTCAGAAGACATGAAACCAATTCATCTTCCAGTCTGCCCTAATGAGAATACAAAGCATCTTCGTTCTGGCCTCTCGCCCAGGACCAGCGCAATCTCCTCTTTCAATAAACGAGAAACAAGTTATCTAAAATGTCTCACCCAGCGACTCTGAGGCCACAGAGCCGACCATGGATGAACCTTATTGGTGCAACTTCCGACGCTCAAAATAGTCATCGAAACCAGTTGCAGTGGAAAATGAACGCATTAATGAATCAATGAAGGAACTTCCACCCTCTCTCAAATCATTAGAACATCTCTGATGTTTCTTTCACGGTCCGACCGTAGCACAAGGGAAACAATCTGGCCCAGAAATTGAACAAACCGATTTGACCGTGAGTCTCCTTTTGCGACATTAACCATCGAGCGAACGTGCACTCTGAACGAGTCCGATTGATGCTTCGAAAGCAGACAATCTACAATGAGGTTAGACAGAGGGAAAACCGAAGACTAACAATGGTTTCAAACAATAGAACACTCACCTCATCATACCTTTGCAGGGCAAGATAGTATTGCACTGAAAGGCCGAAATTCCTCCTCAACGTCTCCTTTTTGATCTTCCGCGCCGCAGTCCTATACAGCAGAGTGACTCTCGCTTCATCCATGCCCTCATGAGAACTGGCAGTGATACCTCCTGGCATCTTCCACCCACTCTGTTTGTACACAACCTCGACGAGACGCGTGAGGATATCGGCTTGCCATGCCATCAGAAGCTCCCCGTGAGAGGCTATGTGGCTTTGGACTCTCATGACGTCTAGCTCGAGCTCAACAAGGTTGTCGCTTAGCTTTTTTGCTCTTCTTTCTAGTAGTCCATTGCTGGCATGCAATGCCTTCAGAGTAGCTGAGTATCTCTGGCAGGCGTTCGAGGTTCGTATGTCTGTGTTGCTTCCATTCCGGATGCCGATTGACCTCTTCGATCTCATCACAGTGGAAGCAGCGACATCCCCAAGTGACATGCCGGACGATCCCACGGGCGTATTCATTCGTGCTAAAGACTTTCCGTGAGCCAGATAAAAGGATAGACCAGGTCCGTATAACTGCACGATATCGTCACTCATCTCCGGGACCCCAGGACGCCGAAGCTTCGTGAATAAAACAACTAATGAATGGAGTGACACTTCCTTAAGATATGAAGATATATGTGTCACAGGCTATAATGATGGCGCTATACTGGTTGTTCTCTGAAAAGGTCTTGCTACGCCGGGTCCTACAGATAGGTCGATCTAGCGACCTGGTAGGATGCGTTCCAAGGAAAGCGCGACCCGGCGGACTAGATCATATCAAAGGTAAGAGTACTCATGACTACAAATAATATCTATTCATCACTCGTTCTAGGCCTTTGTGGTTGCTGTATACCAAGTTCATCGGCAATCACACGGTGAGCCTCATCCATCCCGACCGGGACAATGTATACATACCTCACTATACGATGAGATTCGCTAATGATTCAAGTACCAAGTTAGATCCTTACAATTTGCATCCCGAAGCCTTCCCGAATTCGACGACCAACTTCCCGAACTGCTTGCCTTCCTTCATATCCTGGAATAGCCCGTCGAGCCCGGCGATGTCACCCAGCTCGGTCTGCAGAACGCGCGAGATCACCGGGTGGATCTTGTTTGCTCTGACGAAGTCAACCATCTCTTCGAATTCCTTGCGGGAACCCATAGTCGAGCCACGGACGTCAATGTTCTTCAAGACAGCCTGCATCAAGAAAGGCATCTTGGGGGAGACAGTCATTCCATAGACCGAGAGCACACCACCAGCCTGGGCCTGTCAGTGACATATAAACAAATATGATGCATAGATATCGAGAGGCTCACCTTGAGCAATTTGACCGCCTTCTCAACCGAATCGCCACCGGCGCCATCAATAATAGCATCGAAAGCCTTCTTTCCCGGGGGTAGCATCGTAAGGAGCTTCTTCTCCCAGGCTTCTTCCTTGTAGTTTACACCACCCTTTGCACCTAATTCGATTGCCTTCTGAATCTTCTCTGGGCTGGAGCTTGTCACGTAGACATCTGCGCCCTTGGCCACGGCGAACCGAAGTGCCATCAGTGCAACACCCCCTCCAATACCAGTAAGCAAAACCGCAGCCCCCTTGCCCGAGTTTCTCTCGCCCGCCTTGACCACCAAGGCTCTCCATGCGGTCAATCCCGTCAAGGGCAAAGCAGCGGCCTCCGCATCGGACAAGTGCTCGGGGGCTTCTTCGACCTCGGACTCGTCGATGGTGAGGTACTCCTGCATGGTTCCCTTATTGTAGAGCTTAGTACCGCCCATGATCCGATAGCCCTTGGGGTCTTCCGGTCCATCAGGCGAGTCCTTCCAACCCGTTCCCGGGTTCAGTATCACCCGCTTGCCCTGCCACCGCTCTAGGTTCGACACCGCGGGACCAGCACCGACGACCACGCCCACCCCATCGGCCCCCAGAGGAACGTCGAATGTAATACCGGGGTAAAGATGCTGGCGCAGGAAGACATCACGATGGTTCAGCGACGCCGCGGTGATTTTCACCAGTAACTCGCGACCCTCTGGTGTCGGCTGGGGTAGGTTTTGCACGGAGAGGGGATAGTAAACCTGCCCGGGTTTACCCTCCGTTCGGGAGAGAAAGACTGCTTTTGACATTTTGAATATGGATGTGCTTTTGTTTGTTGTGCTCTACACTGTGGATTCGTAAAGGAAGTAATGGATGCCCTTAAATTTGGTGTTCTTCGGTGTTGCTTAGTCGTGGTGCGGGGAATATATTTAGCTGTATATAAGCTCGGGGGTTGGGGTTATCGATAACCGATGACTGCCGGGTGTCCGATTACAATATCTGGTCTGGATAGAATCGTGCACAATCCAGATGACAAGGGATTGAATCAGTCGAGAGTTCTATATCAAGTTATATCTAATTCAGATCACATCGATCCTCGATCCGAACGAAGGCGTGTTTCTGGTAGGTTCGTCTTCTGGCACCGCAGCTTGGCGGCATTGAACCGAGGTTGAATTCATTAGCTTGAACATGTCGCTCCTTTCCTGTAGAGTTTTATAGACAAAGAACAGCTGCCTATTATAGTCTAATAGGTACTTTACTGTAATCAACATACTGTGTCAAAGGTTCGCAGACGATCTCATCTCAATACCAAATCCAGCCTGTCAATTATGCATTGGCTACGCTCCAGGTATTCTATGCCTATACACAGCTCACAAGTATTGAGTGAATATTAGATTCTATTACCTCTCAATCCCAGAATAAACCGCAATGATCACAAGACTAGATCAATTTCATTATGACCCACTAAGTCTTTGTTCAAGGGAGAAGCGCAACCAGCGCGGCGACAAAAGATTCAATACACTGTCTACTGGAAGACTCTCCGTTTGTACAGTTCCCGAGGGACTGTAGTTCTACCTGGTTACGTTTACCTCAATATAAATGGGAGATATCATACTCATTCAAGACCCTTTACCTGCCCTCTTCCTTCCCCTTATCCCCAATACCTAAGAAGAGAGCAGAAGATCTCCAGTTCCTCCATATCAACCAGGACCCAAGATATCGATTGATATCAAGTCACATGCAGCCCGGTATGCCAGGTCACCGACATGAGCCACGAAAACAGCCCCAAACAAATAAAACACTGTCTAGAGCGGTCTTCTGTCAGGAGAGAAACTGCCGGTGGCGTGGGCACAAGGGCCACATAAAAAAAAAAAAAAAAAAAAAAAAAAAAAAAAAAAAAAAAAAAAAAAAAAAGGTAAGCTGAATGCAAATGCAACGGATGTTATCTAGGGAGGCTGATCTGCGGAGGTTGGGGGGAACCAAACATGAAGCAACGGTATGTGGGAATGGAAACAGTCCAAGTCGATAACGTCACTTCCCGTTCATGGCCCTTACAGTGTGTAGCAATGCAATTGTAATTTCGATCTGGGGGATTGGTCAACGGACAAACATTGTTCACTAACTAGCTGAGAATTGGTGTACTTTCTCAATGGATGGATCATTTTGTGGTTGTATTTTATGTTATTTTATTATTATTTTTTATATAATGATTGGATTCGTTTTCTAAAAATACCGGGTGGTGGGTGGAAGTTGAAATGACACGCCGAATTAAAGGCCAACCGAAGCGTTTGCGGCCAAACCGCCATTGACGACCCCCGCGTGGCGGTAGTCCCTGTAGGTTGGTCTGGGGTGCTGTGACCACGCACCCTCCCCCGGAGAGAAAAAAAAAACGAATTGACGGGGATGATACCAAATCATGGCGGAGGGATTGCAAATGCGACCAACGGGGGAATATACTAGATGATCTGGAAGGGAAATGCCAGGAGAGAATTCGGAACGCTGTTCTTTTTCGTTTGTACTGTTTCTCTTAACCTGGGTGGGCACTCTGCAACAGCAATATCAGAGGATCGCGGTGATTGTGTGGGTTTTTTTTTTGGTATTTTTGTTTTGTGTGTTCTGGTAATGATGCGGTAACTTTGGGGGTGGCTGGCAAAGGGAAAACATGGCCAAGCAGCCATGGACAACTGTTAGGATACTGGAACGTACCCAACTAGACTCAATTGGGAGACAAGCCGTGCGCCGTGGTAATTCCACGACCCCTTGCTAATTCGCCGCAAGCCTCTTTCATTTTTCAGGAACTCGTCGAAACTCGATCTTCTGATCTTGACTTGGATCTGTCTAGCGTTCTTGCTGTTGGCCTGTCCTTAATTCTCCCCTTTGCTACGAGAAAGCAAACTGCTCGAAAGTCGCCCCAAGTTCAAAAGTGCCGGTGCGTTTGCGTGCCACCCGTCATTCACGGTTACCCATTTTCCCTCGCTCTAAAAACCCATAGCTGATCTTCTTCCCCCCGACTAACTAGCTCTAATCGTCTCTTGCGTCGTTCCACCTCAAAACGTTCGCATCTCCTTCCCTCCCACGTTCATCCACCACCAAAAGAACGACAACGCTCGACTTGGATACTTCTCCTGCTTTGGGTTCGGAAGTCTTTCTCCATCACCCAGCGATCCATCTCATAATGCCTACGCCACTTCCTTCTAGTTTTGCTTCGGCCGCTGCTGGCAACACTGATGCCTCTCGAAGAGGCGATGGAACTGCCAGTGGAGAATGGTATGGAAAAAAAAATTTAAACCACCTTGCTATCCCGCCCTTGTCGTGACCTCTATCCCTTCCCTGCCAGTCGGAGATGCCACGCTTGCCTTCTCTCGTTCCTTGCAGCGGCGTGATCGCCTCCCCTCCCTCGTTGGATCGTGATTGAAACTCGACCACTCCTAACGCGCATCCCAGGGCTCGAAACCGCATGAACGGAGCAACACAAACCTTCCGCCGCCCCTCAGTTGCGACCAACCCTTCCCACAGTCGGGATACCAGCCAGCCCGCATCCGCTACGACGCCTACGGCCGGTACTTACACTCCCCCACATATGCTTTCCAATTACCAGTCTAGCGCACTCCGCAACGGGGCAACCAATGACACTCGGTATTCCAAAGAACAGCTGTTAGAACTTTATAAGGCTCAACGGGAGACGGGTATTTTGGGTAAGAACCTCGCAGAATATCTCGCCGCCGACTGGAATCCGCAGGTAGAGACATCCGCCGCCAACGGCGCTTGGGGCCGACGGGAGGATTCGAAAGACAATCCCTCTGGGCCTGGAGTGTGCTGGGATCACGGAGGACAGATGGAACCGTTGAGCCTAGTGGACATGACTGATGATGAGAAAGAGGTGCGTGTCTTTTGTTACCTTTCCTGTTTGCGAATGGGCCGTCGTGCCCTTGTTTGGGAAGAAGCTGTGCTGAACGGGCGTAGTTGTTTTCCCTCTCAGTGAACTCCCCGCTGAAGCCGCCACCCACCAATGTACCCAAGGAGAACACAGGCGCTACTCCGGGAGGACGCAAGGGATCGATTTCTCAGGGTCATATGAACAACTACAACACCTCGTCCCCAAGCTCGAATCGCCCGGGGCCTAGGCGTCGGGAGACCGGCGATTCGATCGGTAACCCTATGTCTCCTACCACGGGCGGTTCTCGATTCTTCCGTGACGAGCCGAATACGGCTACCCCACCCCCGTCTCTCCTCCGTCGCAAAACAGATTTTCGGGACACGTCGTCCACCGCTCGGTGGGAAGAGAAGGAGAAGGAATCGGCTCGGGATGTGACCTCGGAGGCCTCCTCGCCGTTTAATTCCTTGAAACGCAGCTCGACTAATCCTCTGAGTGCAGCACCGGGGACAACCAGTTCGCCGTGGGGCTCGGCTTCGCAAAATGCCAGCTTCTCGCCCATGGGGGCCTTCGGAGCGTTCTCTCTCGGCACGAACCCCACGGAGAAAAAACCAGGCTTTGGCAGCCTTCGCGGGGAAAGTCGCCTGAAGGGCCTCTTTTCGAAGGATAGCTCGGAGGATATATCAGCTGCGGTGAAGGAAAAGCCGTCCATGAGCAATCTGGAACGCTTGGCAGGTGAGGGTGAGCCGCGCTCGCAGTCGCCGTGGGGGGAAACTCTCAAAACCCGCACCGGACGGAGTGAGACGAACCCATTTCAGGAGGAACCTCGGAGCGGCAGTGCTGCACTGGGGGGATCTCAGGAACTTCCATCCCAAGGCGCCGACCCGACCGGATTCGCCGCGTTTGGAATGACGTCCAGTATCCCCGGCTTTCGAGAGCTGATCCAGAGCCACGAGAACTCGCGTAATCCCACCCCCAGTTTACTCCAGGGTCATGAGCCCACCAGCCCGACCAATACGAACCCGTATCAAAGCCCCCATGGGGACAGAGGCGACGTCGATGATGTCGAGACGGACGGCTCTGATATCCAAACCTCGCACCATCCTGGCCTCACTGGACTGCGTGACACGACTGCGTTTGGCTCGATCAGACGAGTCGGGTCGGGCATGGACTTGCCTTCGATCGATCGGAGCGCGACGTCCAGCGTGGCCGGAAACCGCAGCTTCTCCAGCTTGGGTGGTTTGGGTGGCCTTCCCTCGATTGGAGGGGCGGCCGGATGGCCTGCAAGCGGTGCCATTGGCACTCCAACCAGGGAACGATCTGCTTTTGGCGGCGGCGGCGGCGCCTTTGGTGATCCCATCTTTGGCACGATGGCTGATCTCCAGTCCCCTAGTTTGTCGACCCTGGGAGGAGGCGGCCTCTTCAGCCCTGGCATCAGTGGCACCGGCAGCATCGGGCGCTCGAGCAAGCTAGGGTCTCTCTTCCCTGCGGCGATGCAGGAGCAGATGCAAGGCGATCAAGCACGGGCTGATCTTGGCAGCCTGGACGATGGCTCCCGGCAACCAGGTATGATCCCCCAGGGGTCAACAGTACCACATGATATACTAACCCACGGTGAAGATCCCCAGCAGGCAGACAAGTCTGGTCAAACCAACCCACCTACCACCGCGTCTACTTCCCAGACTCCTGTCTCTGCCGTGGGCTCCATCCCCACGTCCATGGCCCCTGACGTACCTCCACCTAGTCAGACTCCCGGACAGCCTGGAAGCAATGGCGGCTCTGTTCCTCCTGCTCAACAGCGGACTATGGTGATGCCCGATCGTATGCGCTGGATTTACCGCGACCCACAGGGGAACATCCAGGGTCCTTGGACGGGCCTTGAAATGCACGATTGGTTCAAGGCAGGCTTCTTCAGCCCTGACCTGCAGATCAAGAAGCTCGAGGACCCAGAATTTGAACCGCTGGCTCAGTTGGTGCGGCGCATCGGCAATTCGCGCGAGCCCTTCTTGGTTCCTCAGATCGGGATCCCTCATGGACCCGATCCGAACCCTGGTCACTGGACCGGAAACACGGCGGGTGCTGCTCAGCCTCCCTTCCCTGGCAGCTTCCCGAGCTTTGGTACGACGTTGACCGCCGAACAGCAGAATGCCTTGGAGCGGAGGAAGCAAGAGGAGCAGTACCTGATGGCCAGACAGAAGGAACATCTCGCACAGCAACAGGCCATGATGAAGCAAATGCAATTCCAGGGACTGCCCCCCACTATGCACCCCCATCAGCTCCAGCATCATTCGAGCGCCCACAGTCTTCACAGCCAGCCCAGTTTCGGTAGCATTGCTTCGCCTGTTGGTTTCCAACCATCGCCAATCCAGGGACCCATCCAGCAGCAGCAACAACAACAACAGCAGCAGCAGCAGTCGCAGCCGCAGCCGCAACCTCTTGGTGGCTTCTTCGACGCCGCCGGTCCGATAAGGCAGAGCGCCCTGCCCAACGTTGGTCCTGGGATGATTGGGACTGAGCTAGGCGGCAGTCAGGATCAGCTCCCTGCCCTTCTGGAGCGTCTGAACGTCAACCGACCGGATCCGTTCGCTTTTGGCAGTGCAGCGCCCTTTGCCACTCGGCAGCCGGACAGCCTATTCCATCAACAGCAGGTTGCCACCATGCTCCAAGATCGGGCTCAGCTGCAACAGGAGCAAGAACAATTTGACAGCACTCAAGGTGACAACTTGTTCGACCAACAGGCCCGTGAAGAACGGCTCCGCCAGTTCCATGCTTTGAGGGCACAGGAAGATGAATTCGGCATGCGCACTGCTGAGGGACTTCCCACTCATCCAACCACTGGTCCTTCTCCCCCGCCGGAAGCCGAGTCGGTCCAGGATGTTGACCTCGACTCCCCCCCGGTGGACGCAGAGCAACCTACTGTAGAAGACGAAGAACCGATCCTCACTCTTTCCCAGCAGGTTCAGAAGGCTGCATCCGCTCAGAGACAGCAGCAGGAGCAGCAGGAGCACGAACAGCAGCAGAGCCAGGCCGCGAATGACGCAGCATGGGCCGTCAAGGGTGATCCAGCCATGCCCCAGCCGTTCCCTCCCCCACCGTCCGCATCGCCGCTCCCAGCTCCCGCGGCACAGCGCAGCCGTCAGAATGTTGCGGAATCGCTCGCAGCCAACTCGAGATCTCAGACCCAGACTCCTGTGGAAGCCCCTGCCACGTCCATTGCCCCATGGGCCAAGGAGGCGCATGAGGTGCCCAAGGGACCGTCGCTGAAGGAGATTCAAGAGGCCGAGGCTCGGAGCGCTGCTCAGAGAGAAGAACTGGCTGCCGCTGCTCGTCGGGCTCAACTGCTCGCAGAGCAAGAGCGTCTTAGCCAGGCTCAAGTCCAGACGCCTGGTCTCCCATCGACTGCCAACTGGGCCAGTGCTGGATCTCCGTCTACTCCCGCGTCCACCGGGTCGGTGTGGGGTAACAACAAGGCCCCGGCCACTGCTACCGGCGGTGCGAAGAAGACCCTCGCGCAGATTCAGAAAGAGGAGGAGGCTCGTAAGCAGCGTGCCGCTGCCGCTGCCGCTGCCGTCGCTGCTCAGAGTGCCGTTGCCGCAGCGCCCAGCCCCCCAGCCCCATCTTCTACTGGCAAGCGGTATGCGGATCTGGCTAGCAAGGCTCCTGCTCCTGCTGCTCCGACCACTCCCGCCACTACGGGTGCTTGGACCACCGTGGGTGCCGGCGGTAAGGCCCGAGCTCCTCCCGCTGCTCCCTCCGGACCGCGATCGACCACCGCAACGACTCCTTTGGCGGCCTCTCCCGTGAAGCCCAAGCCCGCTACCATTTCCACTCCGCGTGCCGTTTCCGTGAACACCGTGACCCCGGCCAACCCTAACCGCGCCGTCGAGGAGTTCACCAAATGGGCCAAGCTGGCACTGGGCAAGGGGTTGAACAGCAACATCAATGGTATGTCTTCGTTAAATTAGTATCTGTCTTATGAAAATGCACTAACGTTATTTAGTGGATGACTTTGTTCAGCAGCTGCTATTCCTGCCGGCCGAAGCGGAGATCATCTCGGACTCGGTGTATGCCAACTCGCAGACGCTGGATGGCCGCCGATTCGCCGAGGAGTTCATCCGTCGTCGTACCTTGGCCGACAAGGGCATCGTGGATCCCGTCGCCGCCAGTGCATTTGCGGAGAAGAGTAGCGGTGGATGGAGTGAGGTGGCCAAGAAGGGATCGTCGAATGCGCACCGGGAAGAGGATAGCAGCAATGCCGCGTTCAAGGTTGTTGCTCCTCGCAAGAAGGGCAAGCGGTGATTGTGAATAGTGGCATAGCTCCTTGTGAATATTTGCCAGAGATGTACTAGTAGTTTTTGCATTCCGCATGATTGGTGATTGAATGGTGATGAGTTGCATGCTTACGTTTGCTTCGTAGATGTCCTCGTATACCTCCAGTAGGACTTTCCGAGGTGGATTGCCACTGGCTTGAATTGTATAGGGATGTTTTAAGTTGGGTCCACTGATCCAGTCCGTCTGCATCTATCTTCTCCCAGACAGACAGCCGCACAAGACAGTCAAACCAGAAGAGTTCGGACTAGCCGGTAAATATCCTAGAGAGATCCCATCCCTCAAAACCAGGAAATACTAAACTGCACCGCAGAACTCACCAAGTAAAATGCGACGAAACACCCAGAGCATGCCGGAACTGCACATCAACGGCCAGGCCTGCGAGGGATACAACATGTATCGCCTGTCCATCAAGCGCGCCAGCGAGGCGGTCCCCCCCACAGACAGACTACGGTGATATCTGACCTCCGACGACCGACGATGTTATTCCTACGCGTAGTCCGCCGAGATCGTGTCGTTTACGGCGCAAGCTAGTGCTCTAGATGAGCGAGGCGGCCATTGGGCTGAGAGTGTCTCCGCAGCCTGCAAGGCCAATACAACCATGCCTTTGGCCGTCCGCGGAACGGGGTCCAGATCTTGAGCGAACTGGGGTGGGGACTTGAGGCCATTGCACGAAGGGATCGAGTACACGCTGGGATACCGTTCTGTACGGTTAGTCTCGGAACAGCCAATCTAGAGACTCTTCGCACCGGTTTGTACTGTTTAGAAGAGATACAATATAGAACTATGATCACTGCTAACTAAGCTAGTTAGTTGCAGCTGTCAGCCAAATCTCGTATCCGATACGACAGGGAATCAATAGGACGATTGTTGGAAATACGAAGCCTGACTTCTTCTATAATCCATTGCATAAGTAGATGTTGACTAACCACACTAGTACGATCGACATCGTGTTATCCATCCGTCTCCGCGCCGTGACTCACTACACATCACTTCTACTAGTATATAAAACCAGTCCAGCCATCTTTGAATCAACAATCTCTCCATACTCAATCCAATTGAACCACCACCAAAAATGACCACCCCCTTCGGCCACCCCATGAGGGAGCACTTCCTCTTCGACGCCAACTTCAAGAACCTCAACCATGGTATCGTAGCAACAAACAACCCTCCCAGCCTTAATATAATTTTTAAAGAAACCAACTAACAGACAACGCAGGCTCCTTCGGCACCTACCCGCGCGCTGTGCAAACCGCACTGCAGCAGCACCAACAAGCCAGCGAATCCCGCCCAGACCACTTTTACCGGATCGCCCGACCCCAAGGCATAGACGAGTCACGGCGCTTGGTCGCCAAGCTGCTCAACATCCCTGTAAACGAGTGTGTGTTCGTCAAGAACGCCACCACAGGCGTGGGCACCGTGCTGCGCAACCTGGCCTTCCAGGCCGGCGACGCCGTCGTCTACTTCGACACCATCTACGGGGCCGTGGAGAAGGGGCTGCACTCGCTGATGGAGGCGAGTCCCGTGGTCGCCCGCAAGGTCGAGTACCAGTTGCCGGTCAGCCATGAGGAGCTGGTCAGACGGTTCCGGGCTGTGGTGCGTCGCGCGCGGGACGATGGGCTGAACGTCCGCGTTGCGGTGTTCGATACTATCGTTAGTATGCCCGGGGTGCGGTTCCCGTTTGAGACGCTGGTGAGCGTGTGCCGTGAAGAGGGGATCCTGAGTCTGGTGGATGGGGCGCATGGTATCGGACATATACCGTTGGATTTGGGGGTGTTGCGGCCGGATTTCTTTACGAGTAATTTGCATAAGTGTGTTTATCTTTCCCCTCCTCCTCCTCCTCCTCCTCCTCCTCCTCCCTTTCTATCTGTTCTTCTTGAGTGTGATTGACTACTGGGTATGTATTGCACTGGGGTTGATGGTAATACAGATGGCTGTTCGTCCCCCGCGGTTGCGCCGTCCTGCACGTCCCCCTCCGCAACCAACACCTAATCCGCACCACATTCCCGACGTCCTGGGGTTACATCCCCCCAAACCAGGTCACCACCACCACCACGCAGGGGAAATCCGCCTTCGAGTATCTCTTTGAACAGACCGCCACGACAGACGACACGCCATGGCTGTGCGTGCCCGCCGCGCTGCAGTTCCGGGCCGAGGTCTGCGGCGGCGAAGACCGCATCTACGCCTACCTGGAGAGCCTGGGGCGCTCAGCAGCGGACATCGTCGCGCACGCACTCGGGACGGAGGTGATGCAGGAGCCCGGGCTGCAGACAGGCGAGGTCAGCCAGCTGCGGAGGTGTGGGTTGGCTACGGTGCGATTGCCGATTGCCGTGGCTGATGGTGATGGTGCTAATGCGAATGCGAGGGTGTCCGGCGAGGATGGCACGTCGTCGTATCTGCAGATTCACTCGTCGCTGGTGCCGACGGTGAGTACCTGGTTCCGGGATACGCTGTTCGAGCAGTATGGCACGTTTGTGCCGGTGTTTCGGCACGGAGGGTGGTTGTGGACTCGACTGAGTGCGCAGGTGTATCTGGAGAAGAGCGATTTCGAGTGGTTGGGGGGTGTGTTGAGGGAGTGTTGTGAGAGGGTGGAGAGGGAGGTTGTTGGGCTGGCGAAGCTTTGATCTTTTGTTTTATTTTATTCTATTTTAGTACTTGGATGGTGGTAACAGGCCATGCAATATCATATAGTTCATATACCTGTTCTACCCTGATATAACTCCACCAAGCCTACATGCGAAATTTATACAACACCCACACCATGCTATCTATATACAACACATATGTACAGAATACACAGAAGCAACTACTCCCTCCGCCACACCCGCCTTCCATCAAACCACGTCTCCCACACCTCCGCCTGCAACAACCGCTCCGCCTCCCAAGCCATATCGACCACCACGAAATCTGCCTTCTTGCCCACCTCCAGCGTCCCCGCGAACCCATCCGCAAAGCAACTATACGCCGACCCCGCGGTAGCAGCCGTAATAGCCTCCAGCAAACTCAGCTTGAAATGCTCATTCACCGTCTCCAGCGACTCGGGCTCCCTCGCCGAGCGCCGCGTCGTGGCCGTATACAAGTTCCGTAGCGGCAGATGCGGCGCCGTGGGTGAATCCGTGCCAATGGCCAGGTGCGCCCCATGGTCCAAGAAATCTTTGTAGGCAAACGCCCGGCCACACCGGTCCGGCCCCAGCAACCGTGGCCACGCGCGCAGGATAGCCGGGTCGGCATGCACGGGCTGCACGGAGGCGGTGATGCCCAGGTCGCCGAGTCTTTTTGCGTCCTGCGGCGCCGTGAGCTCGAGGTGTTCGATGCGATGGCGGGACCCGGGCGTGCCCTCGCTCTCGAGGGCGTCGATGGCCAGCGTGACCGTGGCGTCGCCGATCGCATGGAGGGCGCACTGCAGGCCCGCGCGGTCCGCCTTGCGCACCACCTTCTTAAGGATATCGGCGTCCCAGAGCGGGGCGCAGTTGTCCCCGTTGGACGCGTAGGGCTCGGTCAGGGCCGCCGTGCAGGCATCGACGACGCCGTCACAGATGACCTTGATGCCTGCGATGCGGAGATCGGGGCTCGTGGCCGCGTTGTACAGGCTGTGCAGCTCGATGGCGCGATCCACCTGGCGCAGCACCTCTTCCTCGTCATCCTTCGGGGAAATGATCCAGTGCGCGGCCAGGCGGATGTTGACCTCCTCGCGTTCGCGGAGGGCCAGCACGGTGCTCCACAGGTTCTCGTCCGTGGCCATCTCGACGACACCCGTGTAGCCGGCGCGCGTGTACTCGCGGATGCCGGCGCGGATGAAGTGCAGTTTCTCGTCGAGGGAGGCGACCTGGGCGACGTGCGGCCAGACGATGTTCACGGCGGCGGCTTCGCTGAGGAGGCCGGTGGGGGTGCCTGCGGCGTCGCGGTGGATGACACCGCCGGCCGGGTCGGGGGTGTGGGCGACATTGAGCTCGGCGAGAGCGGCGGAGTTGCACCAGGCGGAGTGCAGGTCCTTGGAGTCGATGAAGATGGGGCGCGGGTCGAGGTCGTCCAGCATGGAGGCTAGGGCTTCGCCGTTGGTCATGGAGTGCATCCAGCCGCGGCAGAAGAGCCGCGCGGCCGTCGGGTTGGCGGCGGCGGCGGCTTTGATGGTGCTGCGGATGTCGGAGAGAGAAGTGCAGTTCCCTAGGTTGATTTTGGACAGGCTTGCGCCGAAGAGCAGCAGGTGCATGTGTCTGTTTTGCTTTAGTCTGGGTATGCTGTACAGCTGTACAATGGGGATTGGGGGTTGTATCTACCCGTCAATGAAGCCGGGGAGGACTTTACGACCTCCCAGATCGTGGATCTCGCTGTCGGGGTGGAGGGTCGTTGCGGTGGACTCCTCGCCCAGGTAGATTATGCGGTCGTTCTCGGTGACCATGCATGTTGGGTTGGGGGATTGGGGAGTGACGAAGTGGCCGTTTCTGTAGAGGGTTTTCATGGCGAGGGCTGGTTCTCAGAGTGCTGTATAGGAATTGACCAGGAGGAAGGAAGAAGGGGAGAGAGAGAGAGAGAGAGAGAGAGACAGAGAGATATTGTATGAGGGGTAGACGTAGATCTAATCTTTGGTAGGGCGCGATTAGGGCGCAGGCATGTGGGGTATCAATCTATGTGGAGCTTCCATGGTACAATCTGATCCATCAACTTATCTATAGGATAACCAAAAGAACGGTTCATTACTGCGTAACACTTCCAGAGTGACTTGGGTATGTCCATTCCATCCAGTGTCCAATTTACCAGGATCCCAGCTCTATATCGTCCCTGTAGCTGAGCAAACAAAGCAAAGAACATGAACCGAGACAACGCCTACGGGTTGCCTCCGCCGAAATGGCTGCGAACCCAGCCGGCAAAGCCTCCGCCTTGATTGTCATTCCGACTGGATCGTTGATCCTGTTCCTGTCCTGTCTCGGGTCCAGTCCCGAACCACTGTGGCGGCGGCTGTCCGCTATGCTCGCGAGCAGCGCCACTCGGTCGACGGGGTGACGTCTCCGGACTACTGTTGATGACCACCGGGTTTTCGCTGCTTCCTTCTGGTCTAGAGAGAACAATCAGTGACGGAAGCAGACACGACGGATTGAAACTTACTCTGCTGGAACGTTGATGCCTCGCCGGCAGTGAGGACACGTATTGTGTTGGCTCAGCCACATCTCAATACAGCTGTAGTGGAACCAGTGCTTGCAGGGGAGTTCTGTGACCTCCGTGCCCAATTCTACCGGGTCCATGCAAATCGAACATTCCGCCTTGCCTTCGCTGCCCAGCATATCCTGGTCCACCTTTTTCTTCGGTAGAGACTGGATCGCACTGGGGGCCGCGGGAGGCGGCGCCGTCCCCCGTGCATTCTGATCAATCAGCTGTGATATTACCCGGTCTAGTTCTTCTTGCGAGTAGACCGCATCCCCATGCCGATCCAGGTTGAGCAAAGTCGACAAAATCGCAATGGGGTTCGGTCCGGTCATGACACGGACTCCGGGGCTACCGGGTGAACCGTTGCTTCCAAAATCGTTTCGGAATAGCTCAAGAATACTATCCAAGTCAGTCGCCAGTTAGAGCTCACTGCCCGAAGGAGAGAACATACTCGCCCAGAGTTCGTAGAGGAGTACCCATAGGCTGTGGACTATCTGCATCACGAGGATGTAGCCCCCCTGCCGTATGGAACTCGGACCCCATGCCCCCATTGCTTCGCGTGTTCATGTCGAAATCAAACGACGTGCTGTATATCCTCGAACCATTTGGGCTGAACCTTTGCTGGTTCTGCCTGTCGCTCCTCCACGGTGCCGGTGGTGAATCTCGCTCATTGGGTTGCCTGTACTCCGTCTGTCGGTAGGTGTCGGCTAAACCATGGAAGATCGTGTCCAAGCCGCGTACCATAGGCATCAGAGGATCCGGCGGCATTTGCTGACCAGAACCACGCCGTGTGAATGTAGTGCTGGAAAACGTAAACCGGCCATCCGGAGATCTGTAGGTGTGGTGACGGTATCCATTGCCTGAGCCCCAGTCGGTGTCTCTGCTCAAGTCGTCATGATCCCAGGGGTTGTGGTCTGCCCATGGGTTTCTCGGGGGAGCTGGCCGGTCTTCAGGGACAGACGTTGGAGGATCGGGGAATTCTCCTTCCGTATCTGGCGGGATTTCGATCTGGCCCGTCAGCGTTGGCGTCCTTAGTCAACCGTGGTATAGCATGAAAAGGAGGGAGAAGGGAGGATGACACACAATTTCGGTGAACTCAGAGTGACAGTGTGGGCATTCCAGCCCATGATCTCTGCGTAGCCATACCCCGCCACAGGCATGACAAAACATGCGATCCCCCACGTCGGCCATGATGGATGCGTCAAGGTAGGTTGTCGGGGTGAAGATCAGGAGGTGAGACGGCGTGCAACAAGACAGTATTCAGATATAGTATCACTAGGCAGACGGAATCGATGATAGTACAAGAGTGTCAGCCGTCGGACAATTGTACGGGACTAGTAGTTGAGGTGTCGCAATGCTTTCAGTCGAACTGCAACGTCACTCATTGTTTCAGGGCTACCATGCACAAGTTGCAGGCCAGATCAGTTGATCTGTTTGTTGACTAGCTTCAAAACTGCATTATAAGGTGAGGCGATGGTTTTCGAGTCGTGTAGAAGTTGGTGGAGAACGAAAGAGGACAAATGATTGGGGAACGTCGGAGTTGTCAGGCGGATGACGTTTACCCTTGTCAAGTGACTTGGATTTAATATATCGTGATTTGATTCCCTTTCCTTCGCTTCCCTTCGATGATTATCATTATAGAGAATAACAACAAAAATAGCAGACGTTGCCGGCCATTCAAAGAGTCATGTAATAATCACAAAAGCCAGCATGACCATGGACAATACAACGCCATCGCATGCGAAACATCCCAATAAAAGAGCAACAAAGAGCTACCATATATACACAGCGTAGATTCCCGACTTCAGGGACAAAGCCATTCACCAAGAGAAGACTCCCCATTACCGTCTCTTAGCGCCCCGGAACACCATGCCTCCCACCACACCTGCGGCGAGAGCAAGCCCACCCACGATCGCAAACCCCAGCAATCCTTCCTTGGACACTCTCTCATCGATCAGGGTGCCGAGGCTGGCGGCCTGAAGGTTGGCGGGCTCCTTTTCGAGCAGAAGATCGTTGTATCGCCGGGCTTCGCCGTAGTTGCCAAGCTTGTAGTTACCGAGGGCCAGATAGTAGAGGCATTCCCGTCGACGTTCGGGGGCAGCTCGGAAGATCTCTGATAGCAAACGAACTCCTTCCTGTTGGTCCGTTCGTGCGTTGGATTTGATCAGGCCCTAAAAAACGACCAGTAGTTAGTCAACATGAATAAATAAGTAGAGCCAAAGCTAGCTAGACATACCCAGGCAAAGTTGAACTTGGTTTGAATACCAACATAGTCACCTTCCTTTTCGTACTGCGACCGCAGGACCTGGAGCTCCGCTGGCTTCAGCGGACTGCAATATGTTAGCTGGAATCAACATGAACAAGGAGCGGCGACATATCACCAACCTTTCAGCATCGGCGGCATCTGCAGAGCCACCAGTCAGTAAGTACACCAAAACAATAGCACGGGTAGGGTCATGAACGTACAGGGCAGGTTGGAACCCATGTTTTCAGGTAGATAGCCTTTCACAAACTGTATAAGGAAACAAAGAAATAAGGAAGAGTGAAATCCGAAGCAATCTTGCGTCTGTATCGAAGAGGATAGGCCTCCAATTCAAGCGCATGAATCTGACCTTCCGTCACGGGTGGCGGTGCAAGTGGCGTATGTGGCTGACCCAGCCAGTTGCTCCCCCAACGCCGCAGATCAACATTATCATCCTGTCGGGATCAACCCCCCGCATATATCGATCCAGGCCCACTACAGTCTTTTTGTGTTGTCGACATCAACTAAATTAGCTACAATGTTGCTCGACGAGAACCCAGGCACGGTATGTGTTTCAAAATGAGTCTGGAACCTGGACTGACGCGTTGCAGCTCATCCACCATACCATTGGAAATTTCAACATCCAACCAGACAAACAAGCTGTCACCCGCATCAATGACTCCTTATCGACCCTTCAGCAGTCGCGCGAGCTGCGTATGCGCGAGGCCGAGTCCTCGCTGCGAAAGCTCTCTCGGCACCTCCACTCCTTGAACGCCCAGCATGAAGAAGCGGTAGCGGCACATGATTCGAGTAAACACGCGGCGGATATGGTTGAGCTAGACACGAAGAAATTCCGCATCGCAAAAGCAGCCACGGAGCTTGAAATCGAAAGTGAAAGACTGGAGAGCGAGCTGGAGATGTTGAAGGAACGATTGGCGGATTTGGAGGCTCAGGGGCTGGAAGGAGACGAAGCCACGAGACGGGAGAGGGAGCTGGACGACGCGACAATGTGGGTACCCAGAATGCTGTATACCGCTTGCGCACTGCTAACCGAGGCAGCCTTCGCCTTAAAATTTACCGTTCCCTGGGCGTTGATATCGAGGCCGACGACGCGGGCAATTTCAACAAGGCCGTCATCCGCAACAGTCGCAAAGGGGACGTGCACGTCGTTAACATTGACCCCAAGTTCTCGCGATTCTTCTACTCCAACTACTTCTGGTCGACCTTGCAAGGTTAGCGGGAAGACTTTGTCAGGTACCGGCGTTTACTACTTGCGATGCTATGTCTAGGCGTTAACTGGTGATGATGCTATGATTTCGTTTTGTCTGGATATACCCTGGTTTTGTTCAAATAATATACACTATATACACATTACCTTTTAGCGGCTCTTCACCGTCGCAGCACCAACGTGCCCTTTTGTCACGTAGAAGTAGGCTTCATGTCGGACACAGCCTCAACCGGGGCAGACTTGCTGTCCAGAAACTGTATGACCTTCATCCTATCCGCATCAGTCAGGGCACTGCAAGCCCCTGTTCCGAAAAGAAGAGGCTTCTCTTCCGGGAAAAGCTTCTGAACAGCATCTAGCAGCTCCGACTTGTTCCTCTGGCCCCCATCATCCCATGACCGCAACCAGCTATCCTCAACCGCACTGACCCGGCTTTCTACCTGTTCCATATCGGGAATCTCGTCCCCGTCCCAGGTGAGAACAACGCCCTTCGACGAGTCCGCATCTTCGTCCGCCGAATATCTCACCTCAACGCCCAAGTTCACCAGGCCGAGTTGCTCGGCCTTCCCATTCCACAAGACCTGTCGTAATGCCCCATCCCGCTCAATCATCATCCACATCAGCGGATACGTACTCCTCGCCAGGGTATCTCGAACGCCCTTCGTCGCTTCCCGCGGACTAACCAAGATGCCAACCTCGTCGCCTGTCCGCCAGCCCACTGGCGACAGGTTGAATGTCCCTTCCAGTTCGCGGACCAAGTTCGGGCCCAGTTTCGTCTTTAGTGATTTGCATTGCACGATCACGCGAAGCGGGTGTTCGCGGTGCGGGAGGTGCCAGGTTCCCACGAGGTCGATGCCTGCATCGTCGCGGCCGCCGACGCGGTGGAGCGTGAAGGCGGAAGAACGGAGGGTTCGTTGCACTATATACTCGTAGTGCATGCCTATGTAGGCCGTAGTGGTCGGAGAGAGAGACGTCCGCTCTGCGTAGGAGAGGAAGGAAGGGAGGTCATGATGGTGCGCGGATGGGTGTGGCGGAGGAGAGGGGAGCTTGAAGAGACGGCGCGTGAAGGAATGCAGTTGGCGATGACATTGGCGGCGGACGACCGAGGTGAGAATAAAGGAAGAGAGGGGACGATGGAGATTCATATCAGCTTCCCATGGTATGTTAGACGTGTGAAGTACTTAATGTTTGCTTATGCGGGTGGCCATTCAATTGACAAATTGGAGAAAGTTGGAGTTGAATAAATCTAAAGCAAGGAAATCTTATCGCCGGCGATCTACAATTTATCGCCGATCAACCTCCGACAAGCTACAGGAACCTCTTTTATTCAATGCTCACCACCTTAACTGCATCTCCAACCTCGCCTTTTCACCTCTTTTCTAAATCCGCTCGACATTTTCCACCATGGCAGACATTCTAACGCAGCTCCAAACCTGTCTCGACCAAGTAAGCCCCCCCCCCCAAAACCATGATTCCACGCCACATCCACACAACGTGCAAACTAACCACTGTGACAACCAGCTCGCAACCCAATTCTACGCCACAGTAGGCTATCTCGTAACCTATCACGATAACTCACCCGCAATTCCACCGCAAAACGACCCCACAGCCGCGCCTGCCCTCGCCAAAATCACCAAGAACTCGACCGCGCCGCCCGCCCCCGCCGGCGCGCCGGCTGCCTCCCAGGCATCCCCACAACAAGCAACGGCTCAAATCCCAGGCCAACAGCAACAAGGAGGCGGTGATGCAGGACAGACACCCGGAGCTGGAGGGACGGCCGCCGACCCGAATCTGCCGCCCGCGCCAGATTCACCGCGGACGTTTGCTAGTCGGCAGCGGGAATTGGCGAGGGATTTGGTGATCAAAGAGCAGCAGATTGAGTATTTGATCTCGGTTCTTCCAGGAATTGACTCGTCGGAGGCGGAACAGGAGAGGAAGATTAGGGAGTTAGAGAAGGAACTGCGGAGTGCCGAGGAGGACAGGGAACAGAGAGTTCGGGAATTGAGGAAGTTGCGAAAGAAGCTGGAGAATGTTTTGGGCGGTATTGAGGTGGGGATTTATGGGGATCGTGGAGTCGTGGCGTCTGGCAGGTGAGGGAATTTTCTTGCAATGGTTGGGAGGTATTCCTCAGTAAGAAGTGTGTTCTGTTTGATATCCATCTTGATTTTATAGACTATGGAGATGTTGTCCCATATATGTTTAATGTCACTATGAAGCTTTGGACTAAACTACTGTGAATGACTCCGGAAATGTTGAGCTCATATAGGCCATGAGTATTACATGTTGTAGAATGTAGGTCAGGACTCTGTACGGGCCTGGTTTGGCCTGCGAAGACTTCAACCTGAACGACATGCGGCAGACGATGTCTTGATCATTACTGTAACTAGTACGCAAGACAACGATACAACCAGCTATATTTGCAGATCCAAGGAAAGGAACCAAAATTCGATGATGGTTTTCCCGTCAGCTAGCCCTCACGAAAGTCAGGCCATATCTTGTGAGAGGTATAACTGAAGATCTAGAACGGTTCCTCTCCTAAGTGATCGATTCGACCCTCCTGCCGACGCAATCACACACAATATCATGGCAAACGGTAACCTGAAAAGACGAAGTGGCAGCTGTGCTTTTCAAGGAGTGGAAACCCCGAACCAAGAAGTGGAATGTATACAGTGATTGCCGGTCTACGAAATTATAACTTCTGTCTTGTTGCTACGCTTATCCCCTCCTTTGCAGGACATAATGTCTTCCTGCACACCCCCGGGTGATGGCCTGCATATCGGTGATTTCAAAGAGTGACTAGCGTACATGCTAATGGGTGTTGGTGGTTGTCTTGCAACAGGTGTGACATGCTAATCAACATCGACTATCACCCCTATGCAGGGGGTAATCGTTTCAGAAACTCACTGGGTGAGGTGCAGGCTCGTATTATCTGGGTGACTGTCTCATCTGATGGAAACTACAAGATATCCACAACCTTTAAGCAGTTCTAAAGTGCTCTTTCTCAGGGACTTGCCGGAACTGATATATCGAGTGTGCTTCCCTTCAAATTAATCTGAATCACATTCGGGTCTCGTGAGGGCTTGCAGTAGGACCGTTATCCTGCCGCCTATGAGATGGATGGCAGCGGATGGATTCATATCCTTGTTGTAAGGGTCTTGATAGTTCCGAAGCCCCGAGGGGCGATGACGCATAGGATGTCCTGGTGAAATGCTTAAATAATTGCTGAAGCCTAACAGTCACTGTATAATCCGGTTCGTTCCGACACTGAGCTGCTCATTTGATTTATTCTTGTTACAGTTACTTTCGATTGAGTCCGAGCCCTGTTGGAGACGACTGACACCATGTCTGAAACACGGTGGTAATGACATGGTGATCTGCGGAATGCTAACCCTGAGAGAGATTCTATTTCAGGCGGCATGATGGCTATGCTAGACTAGGATCGAAAAAGAAAACGAAGACCCTGCCAATGAATGTAACATAGGGCTATTGTTAGGGTTTTGGGGGGACTCATTGGCGCGGTCTAGCGGTTAGTCTCCGCGACTAGAGGCCGCCGGCTGTCGGTTGGGGCCTCACAAGCATCTCAATACGCTGGGTTTCTCATTAAATTTTGGAGCCCTTTTAGCGATGGTAGCAGGTTTGGGGGCCGTCTCCACTATGTTCGGCCTTCTTTCGATTGATTACTACTTAATATCTCGCCTGCCTTCCTCGCCTCTCCATACGACATCGTCATTCAATATCAGTACTGACTTGATATCATATATCACCAAAAGATGAAGCTTTTCTCAATCTCGGCCGCCTACCTGGCCGTCCCCATGGCCCTGCTTGTCTCCGCCCAGACGCAGCAAATGAACAAGCTCGGCTGCTACACCGATGGCACTGGTTTCGAAAACAAGGGCTCATACACGTACCAAAGTCTGGGATATTGCGCCAAGGTATGCAGCCAGGCGAAGGCACCGTATATGGGCCTGCATGATGGTGCCGAATGCTGGTGCGGCACTTCCCTGCCGGACAAGAAGTCTCTCCAGCCAGACGACAAATGCAACAAATCCTGTACCGGATGGCCCGAGGATCATTGTAAGAACGGCACCTGCCAGGAGACGTACTCAACTGGGGTAAATGCTAATGAATGACTACTATAGGTGGCTCTGATACGGCGTGGTCTGTTTATCAACTTCCTGCCGTCCTGAAGGACGCGACCGAGTCTGTGTCGGCTTCGACCAGCCTTGCCAGTGCTACCCCCGGATCGAACAGTACTGCGTCTGCCACTACTGCGTCTGCCACTAAGTCGGGAAGTGCATCCCAAAGTGCCTCTTCAACCGGCGCTACTCCCACAACCTCTACCTCGGCTGCGACTCGTCGGTTCAAACTTCCTTTTTTCCTTTGATATAAGAGCACTGGGCATCCTTTAAGAAGCTCTTTGCTTGGTATTCATCTGAATAGTGACTGATCTGCCTGGAGCCGCTCAGCCTTGAATCAGCTGTAAATTATACCTTCTCTATTTAGTTTCTCTGTCCATCAGATAAAATCTATCACCAGCTCTTTTGCGTACAGAGTATAAGCCTACATGACCTTGGAGGTCTATATAGTGGAACCAAGTCTTGAATGGCGCCTCGATGAGGGAACGATAGAACATAGGGAAGGGCTGTCTTTAGTGAGCGATATCTAAATACATGGTAGCCTAACTGAACGTAATTTTTTATGAAATACTTCAGATTTCAATGCCCAAGATGTTGTGTTCACTTCTGAGCCCGTGATTTCCTACTCAAGTGATATAACAAACTTGGTGTCACATCCTCCATACTCGACTCTCAGGGTTCTTCTCAGCGATCGAACTTCTTTTTGGTTTCGTTTTAAACGTAATTGTCGATATAAATAGCTAGAGATGGCGCGTGGGGTAGGAGAGGTTATATACTTTTGTTATATACTCTCCGTCCATCATTTCTATATTTCTTTATTCCCTGTGGGGCCTAAAAGTACGGCGTGTATGTTGTCACACCAACCCACCTGTGATAGCTCTATTGGTCTGCATAGCATGTACCTTTACATTTCCCATAGCATCCTTGACGATCCTATTTCAAGTTGAGGAACGCCTCCAGGTCCCACTATATCTCTGGATCCTGTAGATGATCAAGCTCATCCGAGATGGCCTCCCTGGTCCAGCCTGGCATACTATCAAGAAAACAGATCCTATCCACTTGACAAGCAACTTGCACGGTACTTATTCAGCCACAGCATCTCCAAAGCGCATCATGGCAAACCCATCTGGTACATGAGTCTACCACTGAATATTAGAATTGTCGTCAGGCATAGTCAAGGTTGATAGGAGGTAGATAGCCATCAAGACCGAAAGAACAATCATCCCCGCCAGCGATATTGTCGACGCCTGCGTATCCCACAGGGGCCTGCTGTGACGCTCAACGAGCGTTGCATATAACCACGCTTCTTAAATAGAGCCTTTTCTAGAGACAGTTCCACAGTGAACCCATTTTCCGCATTTAACAGGGTTATTCCCTCTGTTTGGCCAGCATTCGCAACCAGATCATTAGTGCCCACTCATCGCCGTTGCCTATGACTGCTTTTGCAAGCTAACGATGCGAACTCTGATGATGTACCGGTTGAATAGACTCGGTAGGGGCTGGGGTGTACAGTACTCGACTCCGTTTTATAGGGTGTAGTTGCCTAATTCTGGATTATGTAGGGTGGTTTTGCATGTCATTGTGAAGGAGTCTCTGGTCTAACATGGCGAATCCAGGGTGAACCGGGAGTTTGAGGTCCCGGGTTGGGTAGTGGAATTAGTCGACATCACAGGATCGACTATAATTTGGACGCTAGTATACGTTGTAAAAGAGCTATGCAGATACCACTCTACCAACTGACAAGTGACGAGGACATTCGTCCTAACACTCGCGACTAGATGTGGCGGCTGGGTCTCGGGATAGAAGAGTCTGCTACACCCGAGTTCGTGTAGTTTGGCAATTCAGATACCCAGCAGTCAGAACCGCAGTGACCTCCAGTAGGCGAGAGAACTTGTCAGTTGGAAATTACGATCTCCAGTGATATTCGCATATAGAACTTCCGAGAACGTTGACGGTCTCGTGATTGTAATCTATGGATATTCTGTTTTCTGGAACTAGACATACCAGCCAAGTGGATTCGGATGCAGTATCTTTTGAATAATCGCATCGACATCTAGAATGAATAGTTCTTGATATCATCTATGGTCAATGGTAAATAAGACGGGGGTTACTCCTAAGAAATGATACCCAAGGAATCAAATAAAACGTCTGTCCAGCACACCACGACCAAGTTATCGAATAAAGAACTTTATTATAGACTGAAATCAATACACCTCAAAAGCCATGAATATCATGATGAGCTATAAAGAGCTGTACCAAAAGGGTAAATCAGTTGATACAAAGATGTGTATTGTCTCGAGCGCCGTGCGAAAAAGATAGGAACATCATCAGAAGAGCACCGTTATGGCTTTCTTCTATAGCATCATCAACAGGGTCATATGTATGGGCTGCCCAAGTCTTCCAAGAAGAGAAGAGAGCGTCTGTCGTCTACGACAATCCTTGAACATGCCTGAAGTAGACACCAAATCTTATGCAAGTGTATTCCTTGAGCCACGTGGCTTAAAATTATGCAGCCAAATAATGACCATGGTATAAGAAAGATGTGTGCTGTATTTGTAGGTATACCCATGACTTGTGAGTAGCCGGACCACAACTAGAGAATCGACCGCGCTCAGAAAGCCCTGAAATTGATATTCAAGCCAAACAAATCTAGAAGTCTGCCTTCTAATTCTAAGCCAATCCGTAAATTACTAATTTTTACCCTATATACCTTTTTATCTTTATTTCCGAACGTCTACTTTTTAATCGGGTTTTCAATATTTTGCTGGCCTGGCGGGTAAGTTAGGATCAATGGCTTCGCACTTTTCATGAAGCAACGACTCTCTTCTAATAACAAATTGTAGTATTAGGGGCAGACCCACCATATTTTCGATCGTCTACCCGGTAATTGGTCTGAAACGGAGCCGGAATGTTATCGGCATCGGCCGCGAACCATCCTCTCGATGTCCGAAGGAGGCCATTAGACTTCAGTAGTTAGGGCTTTTCAGGCATGGATCGTCGTCAGCAATGCATGAAGTGGGGCGACTATTGGGGGTTTGCGCCAGGAACGCGATCAGTACCTGATGATCGAAGGCTCAATCAAGAATAGTTCGTCAGTTCCAGCTGAAAAGTATTCAGCCCCAGCTTGGCCGGCATTGGAAATATAACAGCATGGATGGCACGCGTCCCCACCTCTTTCTCGGTCTCTCTTCAGTCTGCTTACTGGTGTTTTGCTGCTCTCTGATTAATCCCACCACCCCTCTCCACCAGCATGGGAAACACAACCAGTATTGCTGGGCGTGATTGCCTGGTCTCTGCCCTAGGAGGCAATGCGGGTCTTGTCGCCTTTCAAGACCAGCTTCTGTACCAAACTACCGCAGTTCATGAATACAACCTCAACATTCCAGTGACCCCGGCGGCAATCACTTACCCGGAGACGTCAGAGCAGATCGCTGCCGTTGTCAAGTGTGCCTCTGAATATGATTACAAGGTACAGGCGCGCAGCGGGGGTCATAGCTTTGGAAACTATGGTAGGCTAGCCCTATAATTGCCATGTAAATCTCTTTGTTAAAACACAACTGACTCAACTGGACACCAGGACTTGGAGGAGCGGATGGTGCTGTGGTTGTAGATATGAAGCACTTCACCCAATTCTCGATGGATGAACAGACATACGAGGCTGTCATTGGCCCAGGGACGACCCTTGGCGATGTAGACACCGAGCTATACAACAACGGGAAGAGAGCAATGGCGCACGGCATCTGTCCGACGATTAGCACCGGTGGACATTTCACAATGGGAGGCCTGGGCCCGACAGCGCGCCAGTGGGGACTGGCCCTGGACCACGTCGAAGAGGTTGAGGTCGTGTTAGCGAACTCCTCCATCGTGCGGGCCTCAAATACCCAAAACCAAGAGGTCTTCTTTGCTGTCAAAGGTGCTGCCGCCAGCTTTGGCATTGTAACCGAGTTCAAGGTCCGCACCCAGCCGGCACCTGGACTAGCTGTGCAGTATTCATACACCTTCAACCTCGGCAGCAGCGCCGAAAAAGCGCAATTCGTCAAGGACTGGCAGTCTTTCATCTCGGCCAAGAACCTCACCCGTCAATTCTACACTAACATGGTCATATTCGACGGAAACATTATCTTGGAAGGTCTGTTCTTCGGCTCTAAAGAGCAGTACGAGGCCCTGGGACTGGAGGACCGTTTTGTGCCAAAGAACCCGGGTAATATCCTGGTGCTGACCGACTGGCTCGGGATGGTTGGCCACGCGCTTGAAGATACCATCCTGCGGCTGGTCGGAAATACTCCAACCTGGTTTTATGCGAAATCACTCGGGTTCACGCCTGACACGCTGATACCCTCCTCCGGGATCGACGAGTTCTTTGACTACATTGAAAACAACAAGGCCGGCACGTTGACTTGGTTCGTGACTTTGAGTCTGGAGGGCGGAGCGATCAACGATGTCCCTGAAGATGCTACCGCGTATGGGCACCGGGACGTGCTGTTCTGGGTTCAGATCTTCATGGCCAGTCCCACCGGCCCTGTTTCCTCGACTACATATGACTTTGCCGACGGTCTTTACAATGTCCTAACGAAGGCAGTGCCCGAGAGTGAGGGACATGCCTATCTCGGATGCCCAGACCCTAAAATGGCAGATGCGCAGCAGAAATACTGGCGACAGAATCTTCCCAGGCTAGAGGAGCTCAAAGCGACTCTTGATCCCAAGGACACTTTCCATAATCCCCAGGGTATTTTACCAGCCTGAGTTACGATCTGCTACCTGGTACTTTTGTATGCTATTTAGCAATCACCTTCTCTGTACACAATTAGATATAATTGTCCATAAAACAGCCTTGGCTCCGTTACTTATGCAGCTCTTCTGCTACTACTAAGTGTTTTTCTAACCGAACGAGATGTTATTCACAACTAGAATGTGGAGTCTTATGGAATCGATACCGAAAAAAAATCACTGAGACTGTCAACGGCCGCAGTTATACCCTGCAACTTCACCTCACGTAGCTAACGGTATTTGCATCACAGATGGCAAGAAAGGACAAGATAAAAACGTAGGAATCTACGTTAGATGCAACTCCCCAGTAGTTGTCCCCAGAAGCAAGAGTATGAATGCGTGTTGCGCATGAAACGCTAGAGACAAGTAAGCAAACCCTATCCAGCGTAAATTCTCCCCAAGCCAATTCTAAATCTCACAGCTTTCCCAACGAATCCCCCAGCATTAGTAACACCAATGATGATTCGAGGAGCATACAAAGCAATCACTATAAGTTTCACACAGCGCATGCGTATAACAACGAGGATGAGAACACGAGTGCTCATCGCTTCTCCCTAGTTGTCCCTCATGGCTCTGGAGGGTAACCTCCTGGAACTCTCCGCTATATGAATCCGGGCGCGAGCGCTGCTCGTGGACTCTTCTCGCCGATCTCATCGAAACGTCGAGCTCTGCGCACAAGCCATCTGCTGCCACGGCCAGGACTTCGCCGTCGTGGTCGAGTAGGTAATAGCCGCCGTTGCGATCATCCAAGGTCCCCATTGAGTAGGCGGCTGCCATGTCGTTGAGCTGCTGGCGGGTCTGCAGGATGAGGGTTCCTGCTGGTATGGGGACGCTGTATCTGGTTACGGTTGCGAGGGCCGTGACTACGAGCAGGAGAAAGAGCACGAGGGGACCAGAAAGGTGGGTTGGAGTCATTTTATGAGTCTGCTATGTTGTGAGATGATGGGAATTTGATTGCGGGCTGGAGGTGCCGCTTACGTGATTTTCGTCGATGCTAACGAATCCTTACCCTTGCTCGAGTCTTGATATACCAAGCTTTGTGTGCCAAGATTGTACCGAGTCAAAATTGGAATGAAGCTATGGAAGAGAATAAGCAAGGCTGTAAGGTTTACGGTGGACATTAAATGACTTTCCCGGAACAAAGATGGCGAGGCTGAGGCGTGTCTGTGGAGGCTAGAAAAGAGCCCGCTTATCTAGTTGGATAGGCGTTAATATAACGCCAGTCTCCAATAGGTCATAGACTAGCCAATAGGCAGGAAGAAAACCCTACGCTATAAGACGCAGAAATTAATTTGACAGCTGTCGATGCTACCCTACATGTGGCCCATGGCCACAATCTCCCGCATGGCTCTAATCCGTGCAGTTTTGGATCCACAATGTAAACTGTAGTGCTTAGTGGAATTGGAACTGTGTTTACATACTTGCTTCGTAGAGTAAGTGCTTAATTACTTAGACTAAACCGTTTTGCTCGTTCTAGGCTATCACCAGTTTACAGTTAGGGTTAATCTGTAACCACCCTGATACCCATAGAAAGCTTTTTGTTTGCTGGTTAACCTTCCGAGGTCTCAGTATAGGAAAGCACTGGGGGGTTATAAAACTAGATAACTTCAAATTTTGTATATTTTGACATTCCAGTAAAAAGAAGATAGGGATTTGTTAAACATAGACACGGCAGTGACAGGAAATGAAGGAAAATAGTACATGACAGTGATCATAGCTTAAATCCCCAAATAAAAGAAAGCTGGGCCTCTTGCCCTGATTTGTAGCATTGGTTGGCCAGCGTATATCAGCATCATTCCTAATTCTACACCCATGCCCAACACATAGGTACACGCCTCAAGTCCAGTTACATAGAAGACATACCACCATGGACTCACCGGTGTGGAGCTGGGTACAAAACTGGTCGTAGCACATCGCAGCTTGGTTTCTAGTTCGATTCCCTGGACAGCACCAACTCCTTCCGGCTTAGGGAATAGAACTGCCGGAGTATGGACTACGCTGAATTGCACTGTCATACTGTTTTTCTGTCCCATCGGTTGATAAAAGCCGGTGTCACTACCGATGAACTAATTGGCATCGTGACTGAAGCCGGCTTTGAGCATATCGTTGCTCAGGCCGCAATCATTTACGCCGGATGCACCATTTCTAATGCCGACCCCATGCTTCCTGAGACTCAGGTGCGGCATCATTTGCCCGGCGCCCAGATTGTCCTGGCGGACAAGAAGCACCTCGGCTGTCTTGATGGTTACAAAATGATGCCAATCCATACTAACTCTCTGACCGAAGAGGAGCTACAGATAGGTCTGCAATGTCCTCCACCTCGCACGACCAGAAAAGACCACCGCACTCATTTAATGCACACAGCAGGGTCTACTGGCAAACCCAAGGCGGTTCCGATCCAGGCCAAAGGACTCATTCATCTTGTCAGTGATGACCGTGCTGTTCCAATTACCCCCCAAGACCGTGTGGCCCAGTTGAGCATGGTCAGTTTCGATATGTCCATGTTTGAGATCTGGGTGACTTTGCCTAGCGGCGCCACCATTCTCCCTCTGCCCTGGAGCCTCCTGAAGGACATATTTGAGCTGGCACGATGATAGATAGACCTTGAAGTCACTGTCGCGCTGGTTCCGCGTCTCTTGTACCTGCATCAAATATGGCAAATTCCGACCGTCTTCGCAAATATGAATGCCATCTACACTGGCGGCGAGAGACCCAATTTACCTGCGCTGAGAATCGCCTTGGAGCAGGAGCAACCTGCAATGCTCCTCATACGGATCAAAAGAGAATTTGCCGTCCAAGTTCCAGCGGCAATGGTATATGTGGCAGCACCAAATATACCACCCACGATTCCCACAACAAAAGTCTATTAATGCGATGTTGATCTGTACAAAACTCTGAATCTGCGGTTACCTCCTCAATCTCCTGCTCACTGGCACTCTGAGAGCCGGATCTTCCTTACGGGGGCGACCGGCTTTGTGGGTGCGTTTACGCTGCGTACACCTCTCTCTAGACCACAAGAAATGGCATCGATCATCTGTAGTATGGTTCAGGTTCCACCCAAAACCCGACCCGACCCAGCTCTAGGTTATGTATGGGTAGTGAAGTCGGAATCTGTTTTAGATTTTGGATTTTAGAATTAAAATTCAATTTGACTTAGTTTATCTAGAAAAGTTAAATTTAGTATTTTATCTTTTTCCCCAGTGGAGAAATTTCAAAAACTTGTTCTGTATAGAAGTTGTTGTGTTTTTTAGCAGGTCGTTGGACAGCCGTGAGCTGCCTGTCTACGAGTCACCCGGATCGTCTTTAGCAGCCGGTAAAGGGCATTCAATAAAAAGAACGAAGAAACCCCGATAGTTGTACTGAATACAAAGGTATACAAGATAGGTACCTATCTGTCACGGTGAGATAGATAGACAAACTATAATGACTGTGCATCGACAATCGGTTCCATCAAAATCCGGAGAAGCTAGGATGTCGTGAGCAGTGGGTTGAAAAAAGAAGTTAAAGAAAGAAGCACTTACCCACTGTTCGAGTTTTGCCTGGTTTTCGTGGAGGTCTTTAAACTTCTCGTCCAATCGGTCTAGGTAGTGGTTAATTAATATTATTAGTATTGAAGAGGCATGGAACAGAAACAGAAAGGCATACCGCTGGTAATATAAAGGGTATCTTTCAGGTCCAAGTCATCTTGTAATTTGTTGAGGAATTTCTCTGCCTCGGGGTCGTCTCCTATCTGGCTGACTTGGAATCGGACCACTGCGATATTAGTTAGATAGAGCAGAAATAAAGAAAGGAGAAAGAAAGTTACCATCACGTTTATAACCATGATACTCCAATGTCCTCCCACACTCTGCAATAACCCGCTGGAGGGTTTCGGTAGTTTCCTTTGAGTTTCGGTCTCCATTTGGTTGTCCATCTGTGATGATCGACACCAGTACTGGACGCTGAAGTGTCCCCGCATCTAGATGTTTGTAGACGTAATCCTGCAAGACCTTCTTTTTGAGATTGGTTCCGATTTCCGTCCATCCATCGAAGGGTATCTTCTCCATGATCGTATTGATTTCCTCCACTTTCGGCTTTGACATCTGGCCCGTCGTTTTCGCGTTGATGAATCGTAGTTCAATTCCTTCATTGTCCGGGACAACACGCGTGGTGATGCTAGTGATACGCTGGGCAAGGTCGTTGAGACGGTCTTTTCGTTGGTCATCCTTCATTGACCCACTGTCATCTGTTGTTGTTAGACGGATGGAGTGTCTTAGTACAGCATAGGTCCACGTACCGCAGTATAGGATGGGTTGGTAAAGCGCCAAATGGGTCAGATCGTTGGGGTCGAGCGTGTTGGTTGGATCTCGGTTGAGGTTCACAGCTCGGTCCACCACCTTCTCAAGGAATGGGTTGTCTTTGGGAAAAAATCTGTTCAGACCTTTGTCTTCGATGATTTTGTTCATTCTCTTCTTGAGTTGTCGCTTTTCTTCCGCTTTTGCGTCGCTGAACAATTCTTCTTCTTTTATATACTAGGCGACGGGTGGTATTAGTGTCAGTTAGCTCAGAAGAGGAAAAGCAACATACCTTTTTCATTCCCTCATCGACCTTACCAGTCCACCCAAACCTTTTCTTGATGGCGTCCTTTAAGAAATATCCCGCCCCGACCACAACAGCCGTGCCAGCAGCAGCACTAGCAGCAACCTTAAGGTTCTTGTTGGCCCAGTACACAGCCGAAAGGACAAAGCCTGTAACCTTAGCTACCTCCAAAACACGCTTGGAGATTCGTTTCGAGCGAGGGAGCATGGCATTCAACGCGTCCAGTCTGTTTTGTTTCTCTGCTAATTTCCGCGGCGACGAGCCACCGACGTCTGCATCGGGGTCTGCACCATGGTCAACAAGACTGCTGAGGACATCGGTTGATTTTCGGGTCTCGACGGCTTTCATCAACGGCGTCGATCCTTCATCGTCTTTGACCTGGGATCGGAGATTCGCGCCCGCATTTTTGCTCAGGAGGAGTTGGATTAGTCGCTCTTCGACGTTCGTTTGGCTCTTTCGGCGACCACAGGCTACCCAGAGTGGTGGACGACCTTTTCCGAGACCATTCGGGTCGTAGCCGTGCTTTAGGAGAAGTTGCGCGGCCTTGAGGTTTCTCTTGAATACGGCGACGCCGAGGGGAGTCAATTGATCGTCCGTGTTGAAATAGTTAAGTTTCCTAGAGTCGAGGTGCTTGAGGTCCTCTTCCTTCAGGCCACCATTTTTGGCGAGTTCGTAGATTTCCATGCTGGTTTCTGCGGTAGTTTTTTTGATGGGGGAGCTTCGTTGTCAGTCAATGCTATATTTAAGTATTGACAGCTTCTCGGATACAGAATCCCTGATGTGCCGTTGAGGGGCGGAGATTTCAGCCAGCCAGATGGTTCACATATGTTCAGCCGCACAAACAGACGAGGCTATACGGATTTCTCCGTAGATGTGTCGACATATGCATAACTTGCAGAGATCAAGCGGGTACACTGCCGCCGATCGTAAGACAACCTAACCGACCCCTACACCACAGTTCCGGGGTTGGTGAATTACTAACTAATGTCAGCTACTGCAGCGCCATCACACGCTAACAAGATATCATATTCAATGAAAGATACTTCCAGCCAACAGGTCATTTTCTCTCTCTCCACGCCACGTCATCCAGCCCTTATCCGTTACTGCAATGTACAAAACAAAGGGTGATAAGTGCATTTCCCGTCCTTAGCGAAGGACATCCTCTGTCATAGCCAACCCCTCACCATAGCCACAATGAACTCTCTCATCTCTCGCGATGAAATCGGCAACTCCGATGCTGCACAAGACCTGTACGGCCTGGGTGTCCGCCTTGGGTTCTACCTTCAAGCCTTATCCATGATCGTGTACATCTACGGGGACAAGAATAACTACGGAAAAGGCCTAAAGATAGCATCAGGCACTATGACAATCTCCGTCCTGGCATCATGGTTCTCATTTGCCATCGAGCAACAATTTAGTCCGAGCGAGGCCATTGTTGTGCTCATGATCCTGGTGGGGCTTATTGTGCCGGCAAAATACACTCTTCTTAACCCAAACACGATTATGGGTGAAATGATCGGGGTCATCGCCCTCCTCTTCAGTGAGCTGGCCATATGCGCTGGCCTATTATGGACCTTTTCCACCCTAGTTCATACCCTCCCGAGATTAGGTACACCTAATCTGGTGTTTTTCTTCTACCCCGTCTCGCTGACGGGTTGGTTCCGGTATTTGGCGCTGGTCTATTTTGTCCTTGATGCCGCATCTTCCCTGTATGTTGCTTACAGAATGCTTCGCATTCTGCACATTGCCTGGGAATGCTACATGGACGGGCGTACTGCGGCAAATGCAAAAGAAATCGAAATGATTGTCGAGACAGTCAAATGGAATAAAAAGGGTAACGATCGTCCGGATGCAGGAGATAGTCTGGATAGTTGGAATAAACATAGGCCTCCGCTCCACAACCAAATCATGATGTGGCTAAATCTGACTTTCATGATCGTCGCGGTGGAAACTACTCTCGTTTGGAATCATCTGACGCCATTGACTGATCTGCGGTCACCGGGGCAGTTGATCCCGTTCGTGACAGGCATTATCTTGCTCATTGATAGTGTTTCTGTTGTGGGCAGAGAGTATGTTTCCTGGTATAAAAAGTATATTGTTCCGATTCGAGAGCAAGGGATCTTGATTGGTTGGTATGGAAGAGTCTTGGGGATGCCAGATACTTTTGCTCGACTGTCCAGGAATGCACGGTTGCTTCATTGGACCAAGGCATCTATGTCTACATCTACGTCGGAAGGCAGGGGAGACTCAATTGTATGATGATGCTCGAATGAAAACTGTCTAGATAAGACTACCCCTGTAACTCCTCCCAGTCGAACGTGTAATACTAGATGGAATCAGTCAATGCAGTTCGGGAGAAATCGGAATGAATACGTAGAATACACACACCTTGTAGTCTTTACCTTTCTTGTATTTCCTAAACTCAATCCTCGAGCCGTCAAAGTCCCCCATCCGTCGATCCAGCTCACTAATGTCGTCTCCATTCATCACCAAACATTGTAGATCATCTGTATCGTCCATCTCAAACACAACCATGAAAATCCGGCGCGCCTTACGTGGCTCTTTCAATCGCGGAAAACAAAAGCTCTGCGGAGTATCAGTGAGCTTTACTCCCCCGCTAATCACATCCCACAAGACCCATTTCTCTTTCTTTCTTTCGCCAGGCCAGTCATGCGGCTGGACATGCTGAAAGACATACAGTGTGCTAGCACTAACCAGAGGCGTGGGTGCATACGCAGGAAACACATTGAAGGTTGTGTTTAGCCCCTCTGTTCCCCAGTGGGTACAGGCATATTTTTCATAGGGCAGAAAATGGAGATAGACCGGGTCTGCGAGTTCTACTGCAGGCTTTTTTGCGAGCGAAGCGACGGCTCTGAGAGCTTTGTTTCGATGAAGCGCGCCGGTGGAATCGAAGATCCATTCGAGCATGCTAGCGTTGACTCGTGCTCCCTTGCCAGTTCCGGTCCCAGTTCGAGTCCCTGGTTCACCGTTGTTGCTATTTATTGTCAATACAAGTACTTTACATAATAAATAGATGGGAATTCCTTACTGAATCGCCACGACGGTCTCATGCCCATTATACGCCATGTAGACCGGTGATCCACTCCAGCCCTTCTCGGTGGGAATCTTATAGTCCAACTGGTTCATGGACGCCCTTGAGCATTTCCCTGTATTTGTGTAAACACTTGGCTGGTTCGCGGTCCGCCCCGTCTCATGTGGGGCATAACCGCTAACGTGGAGTTCCTCACCACGGAGGTTTTCGTACCCCAGACTCAACGCAAAGCCAAACCCATGATCCGAATCATCAGAGCATCTAGGGAACTTGATTAGACCGTAGTCACTTTTTGGGTCGGTTTTGCCAGTATAGTGCGGGCAGACGAGTGGTTGGATGGGAGGTTGTATAGGTCTGGTTTCCCTATCCCCATATCTTTGTATGGAAAGGTTCTTTGAGAAATTTCCTTTTTTATCGACCAAATTATGTGCTGCGGTTAGGATGATATGGTACGAAGCACCGGGGAGATTGAGGTAGAATCCGGTGCCGACCTTTTCCTCATCTGTTCAGGCCAGTCTGTCATCCAGCTGTAACCAACTAGAGGAGGAGGAGTATTTACCCGTGCCCGCTTGCGAGAAGCGCAGCTTGACCACCCAATTCTCACGACTTTGAGCCTTGGATCCTTTCAGACCACCAGTCTCCTGTTTAGCGGGTAATTGGCTCCATGAGCGATCCCACATTAAGGGATGGAGAGCGCCGTCATCGGCCATGTTTACAGCCACGTAGAAAACAGTATAGATTGGCGACCACTCTGTACAGCATTTTATAAGACCTCAGTGGGATGTATCAAGAGACTCCTAATGTCAGAGGAATCATCATATTGATACATTCGCTTATTTCGTCCTGGTTCTGTGCGGCTGAGTGTGATGGTGGCTGCATTGCATTGCATGACAAGTCGAACAGTTCAGCTCCTCATTTTAATGCCTTACCCCTCATCAAAAAGATTCGTCCGAGCATACTCCGTATGGAAGACTCATGTGCCTTAAAATTGTACAAAATCTCGTGAAAATCACCCACATAACTCAAACCTCTATCATTTCAATCTAAGTCATCAGCATAATGGACATTTCACTGTCTGACGTTGCCTATTTGCTCACCTTACCCGCTGGAGCCCTATCACTCGATCGCAAAGTCATTTACTTCATTGTCGACGAGGATGGGGAGCTGACTGAGAAGCACTGGAACGGCAAAGAATACGAGGACAACGTGTTTATCTCGTCTGATCTCAGAGCCTCCCCGTCCGCGAAGTACCTGATCAACCAGAATACTGTACGCTTATTCCTTCTCATATATACTGTATACGCTAATAATTCACTTCGTGATAAGCGTCGTGTATTTTTCCCCAGCAGAGACAACGCGCTTAAGTATGCTGAATACGACGAGGACGAGGAGGAATGGACCGAGACTTTCGTCGATCGCGATGGCCCTATCCAACTACACCCGGATACCAAGATCAGCGGCTGTTTCGATGACTTAAAGGGCCAGATCATCTTTTTTCAAGACCCATCGGGTACGTTGCAATGTATCCGTATGGCCGAGAATAACGAATGCACTCCTCTTCCTCCCCTCCCAAAAATCAACCAATCCGGCAAGATTATCCACACGGCCTACACAACAGATGATGGTGTCATTCATGTCCTCTACATCGATGACGCTGGTCACATCCATGTTGTCAAATTGGCCACGCCAGAGAGCCAATGGCAGGGTAAGTCCTTGAATAGCCTTTACAATCAAGCTCAGAGGCTTATAGCACTCTACTATCCAGACATAATCCTCGAGACCGCCAATTTCGGAAGCTCGCAAATCACCAACCTTACAATTACCTCGACCAATGAGGCAGAACGAGGCTTTTTGGCGGTCGTTTCAGGAACAACTATCGTTTATATCGATCCGCAGGGCGAGCTGATGGAGGTTGGCGCAATTGATAATAAACGCTTTGATCCGTCGTCGAGTGAGGAGTGTGCGAATGAGCTTTATCGGCTAGGCGAAAAAATTGTCGGGGCTTTGGGAGGTGGAAAGAAATGATCTGGTTGTTCGTGCCGGGAGATATATATTGAGGGGAACTGGATGGTAGACTGGGTTGCGTTTGTCTATATAGAGAGAATTCATGGTATATATCCACTGTAATAAAATATCTGCACTATATATATCTTTCCTTATTATATAGAGTCAGATATCAGGATTATAGATCTTCAATCCAATTATTTTTATCTAATTTTATTAGGCCTAGTTAGGAAAGGACCGCACTAGATTATATAAATATTAACTTAACCACTATAACCTAATCTATTCTAGCCTATATAGTTCACTGTGGTTAAGAGATTAAGTAACCTTAACCGAACCGAGGCTGGTTAGGTTAAGTTATGGCTAGGCTACGGTGGTTAGATTATGCCACCCTAAGCTCGTACATGGATCACGTTGGTGGCACTCCTGGGGATCACATTCAAATTCTAGCTCGTTCAGCATTCAGATGTAATTCCAATTATTGAGCACCTAACCCACTCAGGCAAAAAAGGCCTACAAATGAATGCTGAACGAGCATTCAATCAGTTAGGTGATATATCTGGAGCCACATCCTCCCCCAGTGTAATATAAGTAAGCTGTTAGCGTATTTTTAATAGCATCTAAGATCTTGCTAGATTTAACTCTTTATTATGCCTTTCTAGTATATTAAAAACTAAAGAATTAGTAAAGTCTGAGGGAAAGGTTCTATTAAATTATTTTTTCTATAGAGAATAATAATTTACTTAAATTACAAAAGCTGGGCCTATATATATTATCCTACAAGTAGTTAGGACTAGTCTTCTTCAGGGCCCACGATGGGCTTTCAATAGCCCCCCCCTCCCCCCCAAAAGCGTACTTTTATATAAATATTGATCTTGGTATTCATACAGGTATTTACTAAGTATAATAAATCAAGTTTTTTTTTGCATAAAGCCCTATGTTTGCACTGTTTGGGGCCCAAAGCCCAGCCCACCGTGGGCTTGGGCCGGGATGGGCTGTGAAGAAGCCTAAGGCTGGTTTCGCAGGTCACTGTACATTGGCGTAACAATCGAGGATATCTACCACGATGGGGTGAGCTGCCCGTCGAACAATATCTGATTATACTTATCCCTCTAAAGAACATCCATGTATTTCTTTCTAGACCGCTAATATTCCTACCAGAGACACTGGGACCATGCAATGACCGTGAGGGAGTCACCCGACCAACAGCGCATTCGACTCATCCGCCAATTCCTCGATCTGGATGAAATTCCCCAGGAATGGCTTCCCACCCATGAGGGTGGGCCATTGCCGCGCACGCCCACAGAAGAGGAGGTCAACGCTATTCTTCGTCCGTGGCGACCGGCTGATCTGCGCCGGAGAGCGTGGCACATATACACGAATGTTACCGAGGAACCGATCTTCCTCCGAGCACACTATAACCCGGAAGATGACGAGAAAATGGAGCATTGGGCTTGCGTCTCCGAAGAATTTGCCGATCAGGCTTGGTGAGCGTGTTTGGATAACGCCCAACTCTATAACTTTGGATCAGATTGGCAACGAGTGTATGAGCTTTTACCTGAAATTGCTGGACCGTCCACCGAGGGATCTGTATCCTTAGAAACTCTATCGTCGATACGGGCGCGTTGCAAAATATGGCTTAGCGAGGCAAAACAAAATGAACCTGAGTTTTGGAAGAAGGATCCGCATTGTTTTATTGAGTCTAAGGCAGCTGGACTTCTCCGCGCAGTGACAGCAAGGTATTTTCTTCTTGCGGATCAAGAGGCCTTTGAGACAAATGGACGTTTGCGCCTGGTGTACCTGGATAATCAGCGGAATATTGTCCGGGAGACACGGGTTGACGCTGATGAGCAGACTATTACTGATGTTATTATGGCTTGGTTTGAACTGACTGACCCTCCTGAGCTGGAGGATGGCATCACTGGCGATAGATACCGGGTTACTGGTGATTTGGGCAGAGAGTTATATCAACTGACAGAAGCTGATTTGGCAGATCCTTAGATTCAGGTTCTGATGGTTTTGCAGAGTTTCTTTACAGCGAAATGTGGCTTCAATTATATCTGTGGATGTGATCAGCCTGAGAAATCTGTCCGCGGTACTAATCTCCACCGATGGCATGCATTTGGTATTGAACTTGTCAGAGATGCAGTGCAGTTAGACTCTCTCTTCCTTGAAATGTGCATGAGGTCTGCTTTTATATTATTTACCGTAGTCCAGAAGAGCTTCACTCTGTTGGGTCGGCCCACTTCCAACAATTTCCTCACCTTGTTTGACTGGAAATATGATCCCCGCAGACGGGTCTATTTACTACGAGTCATAGTAGATGTTTAGTTTTACCATCAAGTTCTTCATCTCTTTCATTGTCTTGCCCACTAGAACAACATCCATCTCATCCATCAATCATGACTCTACTTCCGAACACTGGCAATGTAGGCAGTCAGGTCTAGCACCCGACGACTGTATCCCCATTCGTTGTCATACCAGCTCACAAACTTGACGAAGTTCGAGTTCAGAGAGATACCAGCCTTGATGTCAACAATTGACGAATGAGGGTTTCCCTTCATGTCACTTGAGACAACGTCATCCTCGGTGTAATCGAGAATACCTACTCATTCTTAGCTATGATATCCAAACAGAACTATAGTCAGCTTACCCTTTAAATGTCCCTGTGCAGCTTCCTTTATCGCGGTAACAATCTCCTCATACGAGGCTCCTTTCTCCAGGCGACAGGTCAGGTCAACCACGGACACATTGGAGGTTGGCACCCTGATAGACATTCCGGTCACTTTACCCTGGAGCTCAGGGATCACCTTACCAACGGCCTTGGCCGCCCCTGTACTACTCGGGATCAGGTTCTCGGCGGCAGCACGGCCACCACGCCAGTCCTTCAGAGAAGGTGCATCGACTAACTTTTGCGTGGCAGTGTAGGCATGAACCGCGGTCATCAGGCCTTCAGCTACACCAAATCTATCATGTAGAACCTTGGTTAAAGGCGCCAAGCAGTTGGTAGTGCAGGAGGCATTCGACACCACGTCGGCCCCTATATAGGTCTTCTCATTCACCCCCATGACGTACATGGGTGCATCGGCAGAAGGAGCAGAGATAATGACCTTCTTGGCACCACCTTGAAGGTGAGCACTGGCCTTTTCCACAGTAGTGAACACGCCAGTTGACTCAATGATATATTCCGCCCCAGCATCCTTCCATGGAATTTTGGAAGGATCCTTTTCCGCATAGAACTTGACCTTCTTGCCATCCACAATAAGGCAGTCGCCATCAACGTGGATATCATAAGCAAAGGTGCCGTGGGTAGAGTCGTACTTGAGCATGTATGCCTAAGCGCCCGAGTGATATCAGTGATCATGTCATTCGAACTCAGGCCATCCAAGGAACGTACTGCGTATTTGACCTCGATAAAAGGATCGTTCACCATCACCACTTCGGTGTTGTCATGAGAAAAAGAGTTGCGGAATACAATCCGACCGATACGGCCAAAGCCATTGATACCAACTTTCGCGGCCATTTTGTCTTCGGGTAGTCTTGACTTACAACAGTAAGGGGGTGATTTGGGTAGAATTGATGAAGAATGACAAGAGATCAGCAGGTGACGAGGAGGAGACTAAGTAGTAGCAAGGGCACCCTTTTAACCCCTCGTCGATATTCGATCACAAGCCCAGAACTTGCCACCGTCAGAACATGATTAGTATAGGCTGTATGGTCGGGCTTACCAAGAAGCCTTGCCGGTGTGCTCCGGGGGATATTGTACGTAGTCATCACTAGCCGGATGTGGACACCGGATCCAGGATACAGTGTTGTCAGTATCTTCGAATATACTTCGTACCCTAAGGCGGGATATCACTTGACTCACTAAGTAAGACACCCGATTTTAGTGGCATCCACCAGTGCAAGGCTTCGCCTGAAGTGGGGGCCATGATACTTGTTCCTTAACCGGTGTCCTCTTTTCCTGCTTATTCTACCATACTCATCATCTACCGTCCGTTCTTCCAGGTTAACCAGTCCACTTCAGCGCCGATCGTCCGACTAGGTGATACCACACAATTCAGTATCATGGATACTACAACAGCAGTTGTTAGGATGCGAGTGCGAAAAGACCGGTCCCTTTAGAACCCTGTTAGCATGAGCCACAGAGATATTCTGCACAATGGAGTCATCTCCCCAGACCCTATGATGTTAAAGCCTTCACGGTGGTTTAATCAGCAGCACCGTCTTTCGTACCTTTTGGAAAAGGAGCCCGTATGTGCATTGGAATGAAGTAAGTTAGATGCATAGCTCTTTACTTCTGTTGCTGATATATTTGGTTGTCAATAGCTTCGTGAGATTTACACGAGTCTTGCCATCATTCTTGCTCGCTTTGTTTAGGAGCTATGTGACACCAGATGGGAAAGAGGCGTGTATGATATTTGTGATTGCTCCTAGGCGAACCAGACCTGGGCAGTCCTGGCATGTAGGTCAAGGTTGTTGCTGACCACAAGACATTTAGTCGTCCTTGGAAATTACCAGTATAAAGCGAGAGAGACAGAAATAAGTACGGACAGCAGATTTTCGAAGCGAGATGACATTTGCTCTATGAGAATATGCTTTCGGCGTCTCCCAAAACTGTGGTCCATATCTTGAAAATCATACTGCAAGTACATCTCGTCAATTTCTCTCCAGGTTGAACTCAACAAAATGCCCTATCTAGAGCTACATCCATACCATACAAGTGTCCTCTGACCCACTTCTGCGAATCAAAGTTTCTTTGTTCCAGCTTCTTGCCTAGGCTTCGTGGTGAATGTCTATATCAGGATTCGCATCAGCCGTGCCGTGTATCTCTTGACTTGCATCGTGGCTGTTGTTATGGATCCGGCGCACATGATCTCTCATGTTGTCAATCCTGCTGAACATCCTCGAACACCGCTCGCCTCTCTCATTCAGACAAGGGCATTTAATCCTTGGGTCGTGCTTTGCCTCGTGCCGGGCACGGTCTTTTCTGGTCGCGAAGCCCCGCTTAGTGGGGGGATGACGGCCCTCTGGACCTGGCCCCGCCTGCGGACAATGTGGATAGCGGCAGAAATATCTTTTAAAGTGTTGTCTATAGTGCCGTTGAAGCTCCCGGGATCCGGTAAACTGCAGTGTCGACTTGCACCCAGGAAACGGGCACGTCACAGCACCGGGTCCCCGAACTTCAAGCTCGCCGCACTGCATCCATCGGGACTCCGGGTTGGCCCTTCTCGTCCAATCAGGTAAATGAGTAGAAGGGGCAACCCTTCCGGGATTCAAGTCAGCGGGCAGTTGTAGCTGACCTGGCAGGTTGTGAGGATTAACTTGGCCGGAGTTGTCCCTCTCACCGCATTCTATAGAAGGTTCTACAGATAGCAGCCCAGTGCTTGCCGTTGATAACACATCCCGTGATGATTCTGGAGAATTCTGGCGGTTAAAGAGCGGAAGAGCCATCCATGATTCAGCCATGTCTAGACACGGCAGCGATACGCTTGTACCGGCCTTGAACTTGGTCCCCTAGAAAGAGGAAAATGGCCTCGGAGGATCTGTTAACCGTACTAGCCCTAGAATACCACGACTATCACCTAAACGGCTAGGTGGCTGATCTACCCACTACCTCCTGGACAGTCAGCTGACCTACTCCAGAGTCGTATATTGATTCTTAAACCGATCAAACCCGTGGGACTAGCGTGCTTAGCGGGGGCTTAACAGAGACGACTATAAGTTCCAATACGACTCTCTGGATGTGCGCACTAACCTGACCTTGCAAATGGCAAACCAACTAAATTCGGCTTATCTTCCAAGGTATTTTAGTAACCCGGATGACGGCTGCAACCCGCATCACACCCTACACCCCAGGCAGCGCTATTTGGCTCTAGTATAATGGTCTTGGTTGAACCGGGTTCAAGGATTAAGGTGGACAGGGTTCAAGGCGTCATCCCCGAGGCCGTGAACCCCGTTCAGCCAGACGTGTGATTTATCCATCCCCTTAATCCTGTACTGCGCCTAACCATGTCCCCGGATGATCGACATACTGTGTCTGGATTAAGTTTATCTCACCAAAACCGGTCTCAATGAGTGTGGCTAAGAAAACGCAGGAAAGGGAAATCAGCCTTCTGATGCATTATGTGGACGACGTGTTTCCCCATCAATTCCCTTTCTACCATAGCCAGTATGTGGGAAAAAGAGAATGGCTCTTGCCCTTACTGTCGTCAACAAGATCGGTCTATTACGCTACGTTATGCCTCAGTCTACTGCACAAGGAGAAATGCTTCAATCTGGACCAGCCAGAGTCGGTATCCTTTTGCCAAGAGGAGAGACTGCGATATTATATACTGGCGCTGCGAGAAACACAGCAGCTTTTACTGAAGTTGAGCCCAGTATATAACCTAGACACCATAAGATACTGTATTCCTTCCCTAGCAAGCGCTCTACATCTGATCAGTTATGAGGTAAACAGTCCTTCTCCAACAGGATACAGTGAACTATACGTTAACCTGTCTATCTTAGTCCACCTGTCCTGTATATGGAGATTGGAAAGTTCATCTGCAAGCTGCAACATCACTGATCCCCATTCTCGTAGGGAGCTGGAACAGTATGATCAAACCGATCAAACACACTTCCTCCCTTTGGACAGGCCTAACCCTTTCTGATTTCCATGACCTCCACACAGAAGGGTCTCTCTCTTACGAAAATGCCGGTGCCTTCCGGTTTCTAACGAATGCACTGGCTGTAACTGGCATCCTGTCTTTCATTTCAACTGGCCCGACAGCTGCACTGTCCGACTACCGATATCTAATGGATTCCACATACGATATGGTTCAGTGTGACCAGTTCCTTGGTTGTGAGAACTGGGTGCTGTCGGCTATTCTAGACGTGGGCATGCTGGACCGGTGGAAAAGAGAGGAAGAAGAGAACCGACGCCTCAGCTTCAGGGAGTTAGCGAGCCGGGCAAAGAGGGTCGAGGACAGCCTAGAAAATGGAATCAGAGCGTTATCAGCTAAAATCACCAGTTCTCCAGATGCAGTCATCTACATCACCCGGATTTATGCCAGTTCCACACTGACCTACCTGCATTCGGTAGTCTCAGGTCTCAACCCGGACCTAAGCGAGATACGGGACAGTGTCTCTCGAACCATTGAGCTCCTCAAAGAACTCTCAAACCGGCGTCTTCTCGCCAGTTTGACATGGCCCCTGTGTGTCACTGGATGTATGGCAGACCCGGATCAAGGCGCCTGTTTTCATAGTCTGGTTATCTCGGCGGAGATCAGTCCGCAATCATTGAGGCATACATGGACTGCTTTACAGATAATCAAGGATGTGTGGAAAGCCCGCAGCTCTTGGTGGGGACAGACATTGCCTAAATGGGAACAAATTCTTTGTATTGATGGATCTCCAATACTACTTATATAAAGAAGCTAAGCCAGACACACTCTAGTAGCCAATGCTGCTCTAGAAAGAATGCAGATAGCTCAGCTCGGCCAAGGTTTGCGAACTCCACCTGTCGACCACAATGACCATATATAAACAGTTCTGACAACTTCCATTCTCCATTGCTAACTCCTAATGCATTCTGGCCCGTTTCATTTACTCTGGAATATTGCGAGGGATATACGGCAGCCCACCTTCGATGGCTTCCATGACGCGAGTGAACTCCTGATACGCATATTTCTGGCAATCATGGTCAAATATCCAGCTAAGGTCTGGAGGCGACTGATCGCCTTGTACCTGTTGCGTTGCCTCCAGGTCTTGTCGACCCTGGAATTCTGGATCGAAATCTCTCGAGAGCTCCGTTTGAACGAGCGAGGCTCGTGGATGCCTAGGTATAGCAAATCGATCAGCCAATCTCTTTCTGAATCCTTGAACTTGGACATTACAATACCTGATTCTCTCCGCAACAGCGAGCCCTTGAGACACCTTCGACTTCCCAGCTAGCTCAAGAGCAATTGCGAGCGTTGCAGCATCTTCAATAGCTTGACTCCCTCCTTGCCCAGTAATGGGAATCATCGCATGGGCCGCATCGCCTATCAGCATGATTTTGCTTCCGGGAGAGAGCCAAGTCTTGAGCGGCTTTCGAATGACTAGTTTCTGATCAATGAAAGCACCTGGCGGTACGTGACGAATTACAGCATCCAGCTGATTGCGGACTGGCCAGCCTTTGAGAAACGCTAAAACCTGAGTGGGATCCTGTACGCTCCCATGCCAGGAATCCATGCTAGTCTCCGTATCCTTCAACGGTCTTCGTGTTAGTTCATTCTAGTTTTCAAATCCTTCATGATTGCATACCTTATGCTGGCAATAGATAAGAATGGATTTCCCTCGACGCAAAGTCCATATAGCGATGTAGACATCATCTTTGGTCCACTCTCGCAGTTGATCCTTGGAATCTGTGCCCTCCAAGACCCACCTGGCCTCTGGATCATCCGCCACCGTCTCGGCGGATAGGTAGCAGCGAAATGCAGAGAGGCCTGTCTCGCGAGACTCAAGGGTGAGTCCGAGGGCTCCAATTCCTCGGCTATGAACTCCATCCGCCAGAATGACACAATCGCCTTCAATTCGGCCACCGTCAGTCACCACTCCAGCACCTTGGTCGGTCTCCCAATACTCGGACACAAAACAACCCAGTCGGATGTCTATACCAAGCTCACAAGCGTGGCGGTACATCCTCCAGACCAGTGCACCTCGGTTGAGCGTATATCCACTGCCTCTTTCATATCCAGAGAGCGGATAAACCATCAGAAACTTGCCCGTGTCATCGAAAACCTGGAACTCGTTTCCCTCAGACCGCAATTCTTGTAAATCATCGTGAACCCTCCCGTTCGCCCATCTCCGAATGACACGAGCGCCATTCGCCCCAATCGAGATGCAATCTCCGCCTGGTAGAATTAGCCGTGTGAGTTGTTTTGGTGTGTGTGTCTATCTCAGCAAGACCTACCGACTGGGCTGACTTTGGGCGACTTCTCCAACGCAATGACTGAATGGCCCTTTCGGTGACATTCAATTGCAGCACTCAATCCAGCTATTCCGAGACCGACGACGACCACACGGATCCCTGACGAGTGTGGCCGGGCAGATCCATCAGCGTCACCTGCAGTAGGGAGCGTCATGTTTCAGGCTATGAAGGAAATGAACTACAAGACAGATACCAGCACTTCAACAAAGAGACTGCTGCTACCTGGCCATGAGAGACGGAAAAAAAAAGAGGACACCCCCCCCCAAGTAAATAACCTGGTGAAGAGCAGTGGGCTCCTTCCATTTGGATGTCTGCGGTCAGCAGGTATAGCTGCCTAACCTTGCATGCTCAGCCAGCCTTTGCATCTGACGAGCGATTGTTGTATACGCGTACACCGCTACGGCTGATCCACAGGGGGCCAAGCTGGCACAGTAGGGGGTGAAATGGTGTAAGAAAATCCTAGGAATGTGGACTATCTGCCACACCATAACATATGCAGAGCGTCCGTTCTAAAATACGATCTGTCATGCTTATATCTAATATACCAGTCATATTCATGCACAGTTCACCGCCAGAAGTACTCCAGTCACTGGTAAAATTAGATCTATGATCTACAGTATCGTCCACCGAGAGTTTGAGTTTGGATAGGCGCTCCTAACTGCCCCAGTCCTCTATCTTTGGCCTTCTCCCTGGAATGAACTGGGGGATAGAGTTATCCAAATTTTGTCTTAAGCTGACCCCATACATGCTCTCTATATAATGCAAGTTACAGCCAAAATGCCTAGAAAGCTTATATAGAGTGCCTACTTTCGTATACAGTATAACGTAATTCTCGAAACAATGAATAACTGATATGAACGAGTAAATAGAGTAGAAGCTTGGGATCCAACCCTATGTATAATGCCAGGCTGCATGGCGTATGGCTTTTTGTTGCCCGTCATCCCTTTTGTCCTTATGGCATGCCATTGTAGTAAACGCTGAGGTAAACCCCCGTCGTCTCCGAATAGGCGAATGAGATCCAAGATATAAGACTCTCAGATGTTTCAAGATCATGGTCCGGACTGGAAAGGTTAATCTCGGTGTTAGTAAGCTACACACACAATGGAAGGGGATTCATGTTTGGAACTGACAAATATGACTCCACGGTCCTGACATAGGAGTCTGCGTAGGCGTCCATTCCGACTTCGCGGAAGAACAATGCAATGGACTGGGCAACTTCGCCGTCGTTCTTCCCTTGTACAGGTATGTACAGCTTGGTCGCTGGGAAGGGATTGCCCGATTTCATTTCGTAATTCCAGATGAGAGGCGTCTTGGTCGCATATACCTCATCCGTGGAGACCTTGACTTGGGATGTCGGTTTGCCGTAGCAGACAATATTCCACAACTGCCGGAAGTATTCCAGGCCTCTCCGCACAGAGGGACCGCCATTGCGACCCCCCAGGGTCCAGATGTCTTCGAGTTTAGCCCATGTCACACTGTCGTACGATCCATAGAACTTGAGACGCGATTTCTGCGGAGATACGCAATCCCAAGAGAAAAAGCAAAACGTGTTGTATCCATCGGTCTCCTCCATATAGTCATTGACGACGGTAAATGCGTCGGAGCTGTCGATGCCGGTCACTTTTTCGTGTATAGAATCTTTCAGCAACCGCGCGAGAGGTACGCCTGACAAGAGGCATTTGACTCCGGGAAAAGTGTAGCCTTTGACGGATATGCCAGACTTTTTCAAGTCGAATCCAAAGGCTGCCTGGGAGACGGAATCAATCTTATCCATTTGGGAACTCGTCAGGCCGCTCTTCTGTCCGTTCCCGACGGAGTGCTCCTGGATGAAGTGATTCAGGAGTGTGGCATCAAAGCCCTGAATCCCCATCTGGCGAAGCCTGGTAATTAGCCCTCTCATTGGAGTCTGGTTGTACGGATCTTCTGCCGTTCCGCTGGAGGAATTAACCGCTTCAATGCTGATTCGGACAACCGGTTGTACGGAGGATTGTTGATAGTTAACGCTGAACTCCAGAGGGAGCCCAGTGAACGTAATGGCGCTATGGAAACAAGATGGAAACGGACCCAGGGCTGGGACTAAAACTTTTCGATAGAAATCAAGGTATTGATGTTGCAAGTCTGGGCTATACGACGCGTCTTTTAGGATTCTTTCCAAGAGCGCTCCAGTCCTTAGCCACCATGCCTTCTGGTTCTCATCCATGGGGTCAAAATGGCCACTCGGACCTTCACACATCGTTGATCCCTGCGGGCTTAATGCGGATGAAGGAACAGTATCGGCCTGGCTCGCTGGTATGGGATAGGTCGTTGCACCGGTCATTCTGGAAATTTCCTCCAAAGGAAACAGTCAGGGCAGAAGAAGGTAGCAGGTGGTATAAAAAGAGTAACGGGCAATTCAAGGTATTCAGAATGTTCGCTGTAGAAAGAGAGCCTAGAATCCAGGGTGGTAATGTTTGGTATCGGCCACAGGAATGATGATCTTTTATGGATTTATGTGATTTTACGGATGCCTGACCATATAGCATAAGACCGGTCATATTTCTATGATATATCACGTTCGCCAGACATTATATGATCTGGACCATGTTTCTTTTCTGGTCGAGCAGCATCAACGTCGCAAAGCTCACCGCCACTTTGTCAGATGTACAAAGGTCCGCATGTCCCTCTTTTATTGTACCCAACCAAGGAGCTTCAGGGTATTCATACAATGATGGAAGAGAGACATACTTGTACACTGCAGGCAGATCTACAAAGCATACTCGACTATTCATTCCCTTGCTTCCGGAGATCCTCGGCATGGGCCCTTCTACTATACAGGGGCTGCGCACACTAGTCTGCCCAAGATCACGTCATAGCATTGAAGGCAGGGCAATGCAATTGCATGAAAGGAGATTCATTTGGCAATGCGTAGTTGACCAGTATTTTTTTTTTTTTTTTTTTTTTTTAATACTCTGGCGTGGGTGGGTAATCCTAATTTATTGGTCTGTTTGTAACATACCACTCAGCTCAGCCACAAGAAGGCAAATCGAAGCATGTACTAGAACTATATCCTTATGCTTCATGTAATGGACCAATGTTTGATCAACGTATGCCTTCACAAAAAAGCACTAAGCTGTGCATGGACTGGTTAAGTGCCTAGATATATTAATACCTAAAGGATCAACATTTGAAATTGTGGATTCAAACGATTCAAAGGACCCGACCCCAAATTCCCACTATCAACCTGAACCATGTCGTGCGAAACGCAGCTTTCGATTTTCCATGACAGAAGCAACCCTCTTGCTACCACTTATGAACTGAATTCAAACGCATCGGGCAAGCCAGTCCCAGGCGTGCTCGGCCTTACCTACGTGCGAGATGCTATGGAAGCGCCATCACGAAAGCTCTTCAACAGATCGGCGGCATCCACCCTCAAGATCCTGCGACTGCTCACAAGGTCGCCAGCATCAAACACTAATGGTCCCGGGCGTCTGAATGTAGATGGCATCCAGGTGCTTTACGGGGAGGACGCTTTAGAGGAAAGACTAGCTCCGAGCCCAGGGTCTAAGGCAGATACCGTCATCAATTATTTCTCTGGCATGCGTGTATACCATCCCAACGGCTATTTTACGAGCCAGTTCCTCAACTGTCGTTCTTCCAACATCAAGGAGAGCGACATTTCCCCGATAACCTCTGCAACCGCCCATCAGCCAATCATTATCCATTCGGGGGTGTGTCTTTTCTCTGCCAAAATGATAGGCTTTGTGCCGACAAAGGGCTCGCCAGTCAATGGTGACTACGCCATTCCATCTCTCCCGGATGCGTCGAGAGCAAGCTTATATGAGATCGAGACGATAACAAGGCTCTCCAGCCAGATCGCAGACCTCATTGCTATGGTCACGGCGGGTGCCAGGAGAAAGCAAGACATCCAGGTGCGGTTGGATATCCCACGGCTGCAATATTATGCCTATCCACTGGAGCTCTACGAGAGGGGCATCGTCGACAATGCCTACGTCCAGGAATGGATGAGCCGAGTCAACCAGAGACATAGTCAAATCCTGGCCATCTTTCAACAAGCGGTTGTCGAAGGGCTAGCGCAGCGTAGCGCTCCTGCCAACATCCAGATTGAAAGCACGAACGGGACAGATGTGTTAAGTCGATATATCCAAACAGAAGTCGCTAGCTATCGCTCTCCGTCTGTTGTGCAAGCGATGCATGTCCTGCAATGCCATGGGCCCGATCAAGCCAAATGGAGGCGGTTTTTCTCACACATTGGTGAAGACCACTTACCCAAAGATCTCCGGGGGCTCGCATTGCTGTCCTACGTATACGAGGTCTTGCGGCCAGGCTTTGATGCAGGCATATGCCACGAAAGTCACGCGCGCCCTATCATACTCCAGGTTGACGACATAGCTGAATGGCGCATTTACGACACCGCAGACAAGCTGGCCAAGAGGATTGATGCCCAAGCTCGACCGATGCTGATCGGCATGTTCCCCTTCCATCAGGTCCTCACATCCGAAGTGAATGGGCGGTCAAGTCTCTTCCTTCACGATCCAGGACATCGTGTGTACAACACGGTGGATCCAGCGAGTCTCAGTCCAGAGTATGTACACCCAGTCAAAGTCGTTGAGCAAACGTATGGAAAGCCAGCTGGCGATATGATGAATCAGCTTCTTGTCCTGCATGGGCTTTATGGAGGTGAATCGAGTGCCCTTTGATGGCACAGGATGGCTGCGGTTGCATTTGTCCTCTCCCTTTTTCGGGACCCCTTGGTGAAGTCAATTTACCGAGGACACTATTAAATCTTAATACAGGCAAGCAAAAATTTCGGTTATAAAACACACTGTTTGGCCATGGAACCAGAATTCCAGGTGTATAAGGATAGGTGAAGAAAAAAGAATGGCGCAAGCTTTGATCAACACGACTTAATGCAAGGGGAAAAAAAAAAAAAAAAAAAAAAAAAAAAAAAAAAAAAAAAAAAAAAAAAAAAAAAAAAAAAAAAAAAAAAAAAAAAAAACCTCTCAATATACGTAGGAATTGTGTAGAATCGTGTGTTACAGTGCCAGGTTTAAACACTTAGAACGGTTCCGATAGAAGAATACAGCTATATGAAAGAACCGCGTTCTCATATGATATGTCTGTCTGAATGTATGTAGGGGGGGTCCATATGCATCCAGCAAAGTCTACATTAACAGCCGTAAAGTAGAATAGATCGAGATCGACGATCTCTCTTCACAAGCGGTGTAACCACCTCGTCCACTTTTCATTGGAGGATGTATTAGCTGTGGAGATACTTGACGTGGTTCCACATTATGATGCATGAATGTAGTAGGTGCATGAGGTATATCATCTTCTGATAGAACGGGTTGGTCAGAAAGAGCGTTTAACCTATCAAGGGCTAGGATGCAAATGTGGGAAGGTATTAAAGCGGATGTCGAAACCCTTTCCCTTGAAACGATATCCAGAAAGCTCGTTTACACATCAATGCACCCATTATCTCACGCGAAAACTATGGAGGTCGACTACGTTACCAAGGTGCCGTCCGTTGAGCTGCCAGATGGAATGTTTCTGCACTCCGCTGCTTCTCGCCCGGATCTGACCGACATCATCTTCGACATGAACCACCCTTTGATTAAGATCTGGCCAAAGTTTATTCTCATGGCCGATTCGAACGCGGACTGGGGGCCTATCGTATACAAGACACCGTACCTTGCTCAATTCCAGCTGTTTCTGGTGAAGAAGGCACCCACCGGCGAGGAGTGTGTGGTGGCTCGAGCCGATTCTTTGCCCTTGTATTGTGCGCGAAACCCCTGCAAACAAGGCCAGCATAACCTCAATATACCAGGGACCGAGGGCGCTTTGGCTGGAGACCTGTGTGAGGCCTACGACCTCCCGACTGGCTCGGAGGCCGTCGTGGGTCAATCGGTCTTGCAGTACTACACAAGACAGGGGTGGCCTCTACCCTTTGAGGACCCAGAGCTCTGTAATTCCGCCGGCGCGGTCACCACTGCAAATCCCAATGTACTCTCAGCGCTGCAAGTGGCTGTGGACCCTGAATACAGGGGTCTCGGGATGGCCGAAATCATGATTCAGGCAATGAAGGCCTTGGCCAAACAGGAAGGGCTGGATGCATTGGTCGTTCCCTTGCGACCCACACGAAAAGCGCAATACCCAGAGGTCGATTTTGCAGAATACTTACGATGGGGGGTCGATCGGAACGGCCACACTGAGCCCTTTGACCCCTGGCTGAGAAAACATGTGCGCCTGGGTGGGAGACCGCTGAGAATTGCAAACCCGAGCATGTCCGTGAGAGCCAAGGGGGCAGTGTGGCGTGAATGGACGGGCCTGAATCTTGCAGCCATCGCAGCGGAGACTTCCTGTCAGAAACACAGTGGCGGCCGTGAGTACGTGGAGGTCCCGATTGCCGGGGGACTCGTGCCTCTGAGGTACTATCCGGAGGAAGATCAGGGTATCTACGACGAGCCAAATGTGTGGCTCATCCACTCCTTGATCTAAGTGGAGGATTTTCATGCAGCCCATTGCATTGTAATTGAAGTCATTGTAAAGCTTCACCAGTGTCCATCCTTTACAACCCCTCGTGATATGCAAAGCATCGAGAGCCCACACCGCTAGTTAGATGTAGTTTGGGTTCTAGTTCTTCTTCCCCCAGTCTAGTAACGACTTGCATATTACATGTCAATGGCGTGACCAGTCCAACAATGTCTGATTCACAGTGCTAAAAGTAGAGTTTAGCAAGGTTCTATGCAAATGTGTATAGGGAAATAGATTGCCGGTGGTACATCCTGACGTGAATTTGACTTGAATTGAAACTGAGCTGTTGTTGAAGAATCTGAAATGCCACCTAGGCCGTTTAACACGTCGACGCTGCCAATTTGCTTCGTGCACCATCACCCTCGTGTACTAGGGTCTCAGGAATGGCTTTTTCTCAACTAGTGGTGGCTCTAGTCACTTCATGGCTGACGCACCGTGTCTATCTCATTGTATACCGTTTGTATTTTCATCGGCTGGCGAAGTTTCCTGGCCCTCGACTTGCTGCGATCTCAACTCTCTACCGAGCGTTTTATCAGATATGGAAAGACGGCAAGCTGATCGAGCATGCCACAGAGCTCCATGACCTATACGGTTGGTCGTGTCCTCTACCAACATGCGCGGTGTTCTAATTTGATCGGGTTCAGGTCCTGTTATTCGCATCTCGCCCAACGAAGTCTGTCAACCCGTGTCCACACACACCATTGAATCTCGTTATAGACTGCTCACCTTCCCAGTTACACTTTCGAAGCGTCGCCGCGTATCATGATATCTATTCGGCCAAGTTCCAGGGCACCAAAGACCCCGACTACTATGAGCATTTGGGACAATCGACCGCTCTGTTTGGCCTTGTCGATCCCATACAGCACGGCGCTAGGTTTCGCCTGGTGGCCCATTTATTCTCCAAGCGCCACTTTGACTCACTGACAGCGCGTATAAATGCGCATGTATGTAGTGCAACATAGATAATTCCCTGCCGTACGACTCACTCACTGACGAGGGCGCACTAGATCTCGCGCTTCTCCCAGCTGCTGTCGCTATCCGCGCAGAACCAAGAGATTTGCAACTTATCATTCGGATTCAGATCGGTCGCACTAGATATTGTGAATGATTTCATTTTTGGTGACCTTCCCCACAAGTTCCGCCAGCTGAAAAACGAAACGTTTTTAGAGCCTCTGGCCGTGGGGACGTACGACGCCATGAACTGGTGGATCTGGCTCTCACGCAATTACCCTACTTTGCTTTCTCTCATTCAGAAAATGCCTTCGTCTTGGCTGCAGTCTATGACTCACGCATTCGAAGCACCCAAAATAGTCGTCGAGGTAAGCACACGGAAACACACTAGCTTCCACGCAAGCAGGGAGGAGAGAACGACTCACATCGTTTGTAGCTTGTCACGTCGATGGTGGATGATGCTCTCACAGTCCGTCCAAAGGATTGGCATGAGCGCTTCTTTTATTGCATCGTACATGGCCTCGAGGGGCAGAATAGGAATGGGTCGGAGTCAGCCAGCGTACCGTCTTCGGTGCTAGTCGAGGAGGTCATGGGCACAATGCTGGGCGGCGTGATCGATATTGCGAATATCCTACCCTACGGAGCATTCCAGCTTTCACAGAGCCCACAGCTCCAAGATCGTCTTTATGAAGAGCTCCGAGGTGCCTGGACGAACATCACCGACCCAATACCCGACTATGAGACCCTTTGTACCCTTCCACTTCTGAATGGATTGGTGAAAGAAAGTGTACGATTGACGCACGGCGTGATCTCAGGACCTCCTCGTGCAGTAGGACCGCTAGGAGCTGTCATTGATGGGTACAGCGTTCCACCGAAGGTGAGTTTCCCATGGAACCTCGACTGGGAGTTTCACTGTGTCCGCTCACTGATAGTGACTCGCAGAGCGTCGTGACCACGACTTCACTGTACCTCCACATGGATGCCGATGTCTTTCCCCAGCCCGAAACCTTCGACCCTCTTCGTTGGGTGACGGGGAATCCCAAACAAATGGAAAATGCCATCGTCGCCTTCTCCAAGGGGCGACGGATGTGCCCTGCCAAGCAGTGCGTCGAGAATCCCAATTCATGTTTCTTCGTTCGTCTGATATCGACGCTCGTCTGCTAACTACATTCAACCCAGTTTGGCGTATATGGAAATGTTTTCTATCTTTGCCATGCTGTTTCGCAGATTCCAGGTGTCTTCCTATGAGACCGAGTAGGTGTCTCTGAACCATTCTTTTCGGGACGAGAGTGTTATCTAATTTGCGCGCAGCATCCATGATTTCGACTACAGTGAGTATCTTTCTCTCCATTTTCGGGGGAAGCCTCTGCGGGTCAAACTGCGAGAGAGACCTTCGTAAGATAGCGTACGTAGGTAAAAGCAAGCTAGCTTGGGGATAAGTCTCGAAGCAAGGTCATTTACACCAACCACGAGCAAAATCAGAATCGAAAGATGATCAATTCCTACGCTCTCTCCCCTGTACCGTAGATAATAGCCCCAATAGCTAAACTGTGTTGAATTCGGAATGAGCGTAAAATAGGACATCCCCGGGAGGCGTGTGCAGAGGATGTGAATCCTACGCCGATGGGAAGAATGTCCGCGAATGATCCCCAAAGCATGTTTCTCTGTTTCTCTGTTTCTCTGTTTCTCTGTTTCTCTGTTCGGCCTTCTCACTGGGGATTTACAAGGATCTGAAAACGGCTTGCGCTAATGCAGTGAGACATGTACGAATTGCCAACAGCAGAGATGGTTAGGGTTAGTCATGTGAATAGTACGCCTCAGAGCCGTTTGGCGAGAAGCCACAGAGTATAGTCCTTGTCAGACATGTTCGACATAGGACAGTTTTTGCGGTTTTCGCGAGTTTACTCTACATACAGTGTTTTCCTGAACAGGTCGATATTGATTTGAGAGTATACATGAACCAACACAGCCGTTGACTAACACTCCCTCACCGTCACCAAGATTCCCGGCGTGTCGCGCGCCTGCGCCCCCAGAATATAATCACGACTCACGTCAATGTCGCGCTCCCGTCGAACAGCGGAAACATCGAAATCAAACTGACGGAAGACTGCTGCAAGAATCAAAACGAGCTCTGCACGGGCCAGATTCACGCCCAGACACGAGCGCGATCCCCGATTGAAGGGCACCAAGTATCGTTCCAGCCGCTTGCTGTCGGGTCCCAACCACCGCTCGGGACGGAAAGTGTGCGGTTCGGGGAAAATGGTCTCGTTGAGATGGATGAGCATGGCGGTCATCCCCACGATCGTGTTGGCAGGGATGATGATTCTGCGGCACAGCAACTGGATGTCGGGAAATTGGCGGCTAATCCGGTGGGTGACCGGATTACACAAACGTAGTCCCTCCTGTATCACGGCTGTTAGGTAGGGCAGCTGCTCGAGTGTGGTCAGTGTGGGAAACTGCTGGGGATCTGGGATGTTGGCCACGAGTTCGTCATGCAGTCGCTGTCGCACAGACGGGTTGGCGGCAATATGATATGCCGTGCCTCGCAGCACATAGGCTCTATAGAGAGTTAACCTGAGAAACTGCACTACAGGAGAGAGTTTCGGGGATGGAAAGGCTTACGTTGTTCCAGAGCCTGCAGTCACCAAGCTAAACGCTTCATCACGCAGCCGATCCCGCCGCAGCTCTACCGGGGGAAGTTTGCTGTCTAGAAGCTCATGAAAGACAGTGCGATGGCTGGCATTCTTGTAGGTCGTATCCTCCCCATTTCGAATAGCCTCCACCTGCCGAGACAAGTCCTGTACAGATGACCGTTAGCGACTGTATCGTATTGGATCCCCATCCGATGGTCTTACCCGACGGAAATCTAAAATATCTGCCATGGCAGGAGCCAGGATCTTATTCACGCGGTCCTAGACAGTGAAGGTTTCAAGTTGTTAGTGTATATATTTCCATGACTCCAGAGCTGGGAATGCTTACCGGCAATGAATACGTGAAACGCATGGCCCACGGAATATGGATATTCAGCAGGCTCACCTCCAAGAAGCTGTCCACGTCGTCAAACCCCTTGCGGCCGAAATCTGGCTGGATCACATTCTGCGGCTCATGGGCAAAGCAGTAGGCATTGATGATATCTAGGGTGACGGCGGCGTAGAAATATTTCATATTCAACATGTCGCCGGTCTGCGCAGCTTGTTGCAGACGCTCGCGTAGAATATGGATGGGCCGCCACATTACCGGAACGAGGTCGTCGACAGATTTCTTGGAAAAGAAGGGGTTCAGAGCGCTGCGTCGCAGGCGATGCAAGTTATGCGACTGGGTCCCAATCGTCTGTCCTTCTTAATTATACTGTTCTCCATAATTTCTCTTGGGGGGGGGGGTTGTCACAACAGGGAGGCATACCGCTGGATATGGCCCAAAGGCCTCGGCGACGCGCAAGGGCTTCACAGCACGGCCATTAATCTGGTTGAAGAGCTTGTCGAAGTAATCGGGGTCATTGATGTGAACCTCGTCCGGGTTGATGCGAATGACGGGGCCTATCGCCGAAAGATTAGGCTGCGTCTGTCCATCAGGATGTGGAATCCCTACCATATTTTTCATGTAGATCCTTGAGTTGGAAGGTGAACTGGCCACCCTGGTAAAGGTCATAGTACCATTCATAGAGATAGGTCACCTTGGCCAACGGAGGGCCGGGGATGTGCGCCAGCGGGTGGAAATAGACACGGTAGGCGACGAGGGAGATTAGGGCTACCAGCGCCAGGGATAGAAACAAGAGGACAGCCATGGTGTCCTGTTGTCAGCTCATCTAGTTTCTGAGGGGGTGGGCTGGACACACGGCCTTTATCTAGAGTACTAATAAAGCCAGACCAGGCAGTAGAATTAAATTAAGACTCCTTGTTTGAATGGTTGAAGGTAGGGTGTGGCGTCGGTGTCCTTTCTCTTCCCAATGGTTGTCTTCTTTTGTTAGTCATAGACTCATATTCGCAACCCCCCGCACAGAGATCGGAATTGATCAGCGGGGAGAGGAAGGGAACAAAGAAGAGTTCCAAATGCGTTGGGATTCTAGTCTGTCAGCCAAGAGGTAGTAGTCGTCGTTAGGCCCTGCATGATGGTACAGGGATTCCTCCCGCTGACAGGCCACAATGCTAAGGCGCCCAATAGGCAAATTGTCTTTGCACAAGGCGCTCGGGATGGAAAGAAAGAGAATTCGTCTGAAATGAATGGTCTCATTTCCGGCGGTCTCCTCGTTGACTAGAGGAATTACTAGTACGGAGTACTATGACGACTACTGCTGGTTCGTTATAGATGACCAGGAAAGGGCACCCTTCAAATTGACAGTATGCTAACCACTACAAGCTAGATCGGCCCTCTTGATGGAAGGCCGGTACTTTATAGTCATGGGTCTTGGTCCACATCCACTGCTGCGCCTGTTGTACCGTGAACGGCACCAGATCCTCCACCACCAGGGGTTCCGCCGTCAGACCCTGCGCCCGGATGAACTGAGCACTCGAGGGCGGTCGCTCCCCCTGCCCAAATCGTACGATGGACTGAGCCCATTCCGTCAGGATCTGCTTTGTCTGCGGGGCCATCCGGAACACGAAGAAGAAAGTGTGGGGCATGTTCTCGTACTCCTGGAGGGTGATAGATCCGCCTGCGCGATGCACCTCCCGGGCCACCAGTCGTGATGCGTCAACGATCTGCTCCTGACCTGACCCCAACCAAAGGGGACAGGCGCCTGTCCAGTCGTCCGCAGCTGCGGGGCTCGCTATTGGATGCGCTAACATGCCTGCCTCACAGTAGAGGTTGGCACGTGGCGGACGTGTAGGCCAGGCCGGACAGGTCGGGAACGTCTTTTCCAGGTAGGGCAGCTTCTCGATCGGGGTGGGGAAGATGTCGCAGTAAGCATTGCGCTCGAACGAGGGGAAGGCATTGGTGAGGTCAGCCGTAGGACTGAGGAGGGACATCCCGGCCGGCACAACGGGTGCCTGTTTCGCTCCATGGAAAGTGATTGTGGCATCCCGACGCTGCAATCGAAGCAGGACCTGGAGGAGGCCTAGGGCTAGACAGGAGCCGGAGCTATCACCGGCAACCACAATCGAAGGAGGCCGGCACAGCTTTGTGTGGACTGCCCCCAGGGGGGCTCAGCAAGGCCAGGTAGGCTTGGAAGGCGTCCAGGAGGGCAGCTGGAAAGGGATTCTGAGGGGCTAGTCGCTGTCGCACGAGCAGAACCCTGGCTCCTGTGGCCTGTGCCAGTGAGGCGGCATGTTTGCGATAGCTAGAGGGGGAGTTTAATCTAGTGGCATGGATTGATAATTGTCAGGACCGCTATACTGATACATAAACCATAGACGATGGAAGCACAAACACAAAGGTACCCCCGTAGAGGTAGAGTATAGTCAAGGGGCTCTTGGTCTCCGCCATCAACTTCTCAAACTTCTCCTGTTCCCCAATCGCGGGCTCCGGCGTGTCCTTCTGGACATTGCTACGGTATCCCACCCATTCAAAGTCCAGCGGAGCCGACTCCGGGCGATCGTAGCGTACCTGGTGCTCGTTTGCCTCGTCTATCAGCTGTAGGAGAAGCTCGCGCGAGTTATCGTCAGTTGGTCTGGGGAGGGAGAATTTGCTGACCCAGAAAGGGCCATTGACAGGATCGTTGCGGCAGGTGGCCTTTTGCTGGACGGAGATAGAGGTGGTATGGGCACCCTTGAGGTATTCTGCGCGCACCTTCTGGGCGGCGGCCACCAGATGTTGGGCGTTCTGGAAGTCCATCATAGTTCAGTAGACGCGATTTATAAAAGGATATGGTCGGAGAAGAGATTAAAGGCATGGTCGATTGACACTGTCCGTGGCTCTATCAACGCTTTATGAAGTAAAGGAGAGCGAGATAGAGTGCGGTGAAGAATTCACATGGAAATAGCGACATACTCGCTGAATCGCCCATCCTCGGATGTTGAAGTGGAGGTGGAGGACAGTTGGAGGGTAAGTAAGGCTGGGCGATCAGGGATCAGTCTTTGTGGATTCAATCCCTGTCTGGTGGCTGCATCAATCCCCAACTACACAGGGGCAAGCATTGGTCAGTGTCAGTACACCCACAAAACAGTAACAGGAGACAAAGAAACAGAGTGAGGCAGTGAAACACACTCGGTACAAGTATGACCAATGGCACAGGATCACTGTGGGCCTTCTGTAACATGACCACGGAAGTGACAAAAGGCCTGAGAAGGGGATGGATGAGAACGTTTTCCGGAAAGCTTTGGCCCTATTCGATTCTTTGGTTCAAATGCCTCGCAGCTCATGCCAAGCATAAAGCCACCAAGACAGGTACACCAGTTCATCTCCATGATTGATGTGCCACCGATCCCTAAAAACCGTGCATCAGACTTCTCGAACACCACCAGCAAATAACTGATTCGAAGGTGCTGCATTCTTATCTCGCATCTTAGCCGCTGTCTCAGCGCCTGCCGCAGGAACTCAAATTCGAAGGCTTGACCCGGGGCTGGCCCCTTCCCGTCTGGAAGTAAATAAGGGTAAGGTAAATATTCCGGCATTAAGCCCAGCTGGCGCAGCACGGTAGCCTGGTCCTACGCTATATGTTCGTGGTAGAGACGGTCTCCTCGGATATTGACAGCCGCCACAAAAGGGATCTCAAGATGGCGACCAGTTGGAGGGATTCCAGGGATCCTACGAAGATGAGTAAGATGAACAACGTAGTCTAGAGACGGTGAGAAGCCCTACAGCCAGTCAATCTCCGAGTCATGGGTCAGGGTCATAATGAACTTGTCCACGACACGGTCGATGCCTATGGTCCGGCTTATGAGCTGGTTGTTGGTGTCGTGTGGGTTACTGAAGATAACGTGGCCACGGTAAAATCGAGTGAGTTGGTCACGGCCAATTCCCCCGGTCATCTTGGAGATGTCAGCTGGCAGATTGCTGAATCGCCGACCATAGGGCGTATGGTACTCACCGTGGGAATGTGACTAACATAAGGCTCTTGTACCATTGTTTTCATAGCATGCTCAACAGATCGGTTGTCGAATTCAAAGTATGTTCTTCCCAGATAGCCTCCAGATCGAAGTAGGGACCATTCATATGCCTCTTCAGGAAGGACAAGGTCCGCGTGTGAGAGACTGCTTCTGTAGCATAATCAAATTCGGCGGAAGTGGGAAGGGCAAACAAATCGGTCTGAATCATCAGATAGTTATGTTGCATTATATTGGCCGTTCTCTGCAGTGACACACTTGTGGGCTCATGAAGATGTTGCACGGTGGGTATAATGCTCGATGTCAATTTAGCAGCATCAGCTGCTACCGGATAGATGGCGGCTGCGGGTACCTTGTTGATACCGGGAATAGATTGTACCTTCTCCCATAACTGATGGCCATATGCTGTGTCTCGATATCAGCCAGGTCGCGCTAAATTGAATCGAAGAATGAAGCAATCTTACCTACGAGACCGATAGTATGCTTTGGAGAGCACTTCTCGTGCCGAGTCACTGCCTCAATTGCCTGGTTTATTATATAACGGTGATCCAGTGCAGATTTCCGGATCTCGATAACGGTGTAGCCCTTCTCAGCCTATTTCAATGACGGCATAGGAACTCCGTCATCCAAAAGTAGTACGCTTGGGGCGCGTCGGAAAGGACGACGATCATTCCAAGCCCTATACCCCTGCGGGAGAGAGGAGGAAGCAGGACAACGCCCGACTTGATCTCGTGGATCTTTGGGGTGGACAATGCTTTCAGCGGAATATCAATCTGGGCATGGTACCTGACTTGAAAGACGTAGATTTTGCATGCAATGCCGAATATGTCAATGTCTGCTTACTTGCCAAAGGGCTCTCCCCAATCCCATTAAATAGACATGCCATAACTTCCTCCACTCACCCAGATCAACTGTACTCTCCGCATGTTTAGAAATATCCTTGCAGGCCAATGCGCGGGGTTGGTTTCGACTATGATAATTCAGGCAGCACCTATATGAGCCTTCAGGGCTCGGAGAGCCGAGTGCTTTCGGCGTCAATGAACTTGTAACTATCATTCGCCGCAAATAGTGCGCTGACAGATACTCTCCTCAACCTCAACATAGGCTATTCTTCTCCATAAACAATGAGGTCCTAACTCTCGGGTCAACTGCATCAGCTTCGGAAGTCCGACCATGATAGGGATAACGCCATCTCGGTCTAATCTTTGTAGTATTGTCCGACTTGATTTGCTTGACACTTCTATCCTCTTAGCTGGCAGCACTAGACGTCATTAGCATGATAATGGACTTCTATACTCTCCGGTAACCCTATACTAGGTACTATACTTGACCTTCCCCCTTTAGGTAAAAACAGCCCTGCCCGTCTACTGATCTGGGTATCTCGCCCAAATATGGTTAGTGTATGGCTTAAGTACGGGAGCGGGCGGGAAGTCCAGAGTTCCACATCCTTTGGTCGAAGATGTATAAGGATACCGGGGCTCATATCACAGTAGCACGTATGACGACTGAGGAGAGGTGTCTACATAAAGTTGACACATCACCTCGAAGGCCATGGAGTGAAGACTAAAGTAGTACTCACTCCATAAGTGATCTTCTCGTCTTATGAAATTCTAGTCACGTGAGATTGGCCTTTTTCAAAAGCCGACAGGTATGCCAACTATCTATGAGAGGCGAAGAGCGCACAATACTCGCAAAATGGTTGGTTGGCAATCATTGGACCCCGGCAGGGATAGCTCGACAGAAACAGAGTCGCAGACCAGCAAGGCTCCTCTTAAACTAGCACAGCCATGCGAACAGAGCAATCGAGCGCTTATACAATCTGACAACGAGAAACTGGTCATCTCAGCTCTCGGATTGCTGAATTGGTAGCAGCGGAGTCCGGTATATGCTTCATGCTAATATGATTTGGTTTGTATTGACGAGTTGTTCACATTCTTAGGTAACGATGGATTATTATCGTTCCGCTCTATAACATACGCTGCAGGAAAATCTCTAGCCATTAGTATTCAAATAATGGAAACTCCAGATTCTCGTATCATTTCTCCAGGTACACAGCCGATAATCAATGGGCAATTTGAGCATTCCCATTTGAATGTGTAACCGACGTCATGATCTATAACGATGTAGTAAGTTAGCAGGAATAGTCCACTTGGTAAATACTGGAGTGGTGATAAAAAGACATACAAAGTCCTACCACGGCGAAAGTAAATCAACCCCCAACACATATATGAAAGTGAGGAAGTGTTGTTGCGTTCCATGTGTTGTCATTGAGGCAAAAGTGACGACTACTTGAAATCCTGAAGCAGTTTAGCGCGTGATCCGAGATGCAGGTGATCCCGAAGTAATTGATCTTATCGGCGCGATATCGAACGGGGCGGAGTCCCTCTTCTTCTCCAGCTACTGTTACTTACTTACCAGAGTCACGCCCCTCTCTTTGCTTTTGTCTTTCCTCCCCTCGCCTCGCTCTCCCTTCTTCACCCTACTTTCGACGGGGCCCGACAAGCCTTTATGTGGAGCGCGCAATAAAGTGCTTCCACGGGTCTCTCACTACCGTATTTCCCACCTTTCGGCTCATCATAACCTTCCAAGTCTATGTTGCAGCCTCTCGCCCGGTCGCGATTTCTTCGACCGCCGTTAGCGCCAACGAGTCACTTCGCCCCGACCTTTGGTCGTTTTTGTTTGCACTGAGCGACCACGATCGAACTCGCAGGCCTTTGTCGGATACCTGCATAAGGGGCTTGCATCATGGCATCTAACGCCGCCATGCTGTTGGACCCACGGGCCCACAGAAGGAAGCTACAAAGCGATGGTAACGACCCCGAATTTGCTTCTCTTTCGTCATACAGTCACAGCGACGCGGGTTTGAAGGCCGCATATGAGCGACTTTACTTTCCCTCAACGTCCAGAGACTGCCCCTCTCCTCCTCAGGACCCCATATTTATGAACCCTAGTCTTGTCGATACCGAAAGCTCATTTATCCACGAGGCAGGCTCCCAGAATTCAGGCTACTCGGATTCTTCCGCTGCGCCGGCAGGTACGGCTTCTGCGGCACATCGTCTTCTCAACCCGCAACGTCTACAGTCTTCTAATAGAGGTAGCCCGAAGTCGAGATCACGACCACAGTCAGTTTCCTCACGCGGTGGGGATAGTGCGAGGGCATCCCCACAACGTAGCGATACGCGTGGACCCGATGTGGATGTGGTATTTACAACCGCGCAGGAGGAGCTTAGTGATGGGAAGCGGAATTCCGATCATGTCGATGAAGTGCGCCATGGGAATCTCATCGAGAATATGTACGGCGTTGAAAGACGACTAAACCAGCCATACAAGAAGATAAAGACGGAGAAAGACCTGGCCCAGAGTGGGAAAAAGGCGATATTTACGTCGACTGGGGCCAGCGGGTTGGGTGAATGGGTGAAGGATGGTGAAGAGAAGTCGAATTCGTCCACACCGATCACCCCAAATGTTGTTGACTTAACGATTGGTGAGAAAAAGACGGGTTTTTCGAATAAAATTTTATTGCTAATTGCTGTTGTAGATTCCTCTGCTGCAGCAACTGACGATGATGATCTACAAGTCACGGGTTCAAATAATCTCAGCATTCAGAGAGTATGTTATGGCAAGTTAGAAAACGCAATGGTGCAAGCAGTGCTGGTACCAAAGCCTCCAGCTGCAGCCCAAACCGTTTTTGGGGACTCGGCGCATGATTGGCCCTCAATCAAATTAGGAGTACACCGATCAACAAATCAAAGCAATAATCGGATTGAGGTTTCAGACCCCGATGGAAAAATATTTGGGGCAATAGATCCAAAGACCGCTGCAGTGATTGCTCCTCTTCTCGATTCGCCTGCTTTGAAAGTCGACGTTACCGCTCGGTTGGATGTTCGAAGGAGGCTGGCGAACGAATATCCGTGGGCACCTTGCTCAGCTCTGTATCGAGCGTCTATCAACTTGTACGGCCTTCGGAAGGATGCTGAACTAGTCGGGAAGCACCTTGGTCAGAATAATGTCTGGCTTGGTACCCCGTTTTCAGTAGAGCAAGGTGTCCCTGTGTTCAACCCACACGCTGAGAGAAGGCGCGCCCAAGCCGCCGCGTCTTTCTTACCAAATGTGGCTGCGAGGGGCCGATCAACCGTCAACTACGAAGTCCGCACTGCAGAAGAGGTGAACGATGCAGTGATGAAGATGTTCGATCAACTTCAGAGCGCCGAAAATATACCCGAATTGGAACCTCCTTCGCTTTTGTCAACCCCGTTGCTCCGCCACCAAAAGCAGGCGCTTTGGTTCATGACTGAAAAGGAAAAGCCGCGCAAGTTTGGGCCTAGAGAGGAAGATAATAATTCACTTTGGAGGTTGGAGCATCGTTCAAATGGGGCAAGCCGGTATCGCGAGGTTATTAGTGGCATTGTACGCGATGACGAACCTCCACAGAGCCTGGGTGGCCTTTTAGCAGATATGATGGGTCTTGGGAAGACTTTGAGCGTTCTGTCTCTTGTCGTATCCTCTTTGGCAGAAGCTCACGAGTGGGCAAATATGGCACCAAATTCAGACCTTATTCGAAACCTGCCGGGCATCCGCAACACCAAAACGACACTTCTAGTAGCTCCGTTGAGTGCTGTTAACAATTGGACATTCCAGGTCAAGGAGCATCTGAAAGAAAACGCCATATCTTATCACGTATTTCACGGGCAATCGCGAATCACTGATGTGGATGAGCTGTCTAAATATGACCTGGTCATAACGACATACAGCATTATTCTCAGCGAGCTCTCTGGGAGGGGTTCGAAACGAAATGGGAGCCCTGGGAGCCCGTTAACCAAGATGAATATGTTTCGAATTGTTCTGGACGAAGCGCATACTATCCGAGAACAGAGTGCAGCACAGACACAGGCTATTTTCAAGCTGAACTCCCAGCGTAAGTGGTCTGTAACTGGTACACCTATTCAAAATCGACTAGAGGACCTGTTCTCGGTGACCAAGTTCCTTGGTCTGAATCCCTACGATGACAGAGGGCAGTTCGGGATGCACATTCTGAGTCGATTTAAGACCGGGGATGCCACGGTCCTAGCAAGCTTGCGAGTGCTTGTAGACTCATTTACACTACGCCGTGTCAAGGACAAGATCGACATCCCTACCCGGCACGACAAGATTATAACGCTTAATTTCTCTGAGAAGGAGAGGCAGCTGCATGAATTCTTCCGACGAGAGTCAAACGTGATGATGAAAGTAATTGCCGGCGAGGATAAGACAGCACTGAAAGGTCGGATGTATCATCATATCCTAAAGGCAATGGTAATTTTACGCCAAGTCAGTGCCCATGGCAAAGAGCTTCTCGACAGTAATGATCGCGCAAGGATTAAGGGGCTGAGCGTCCATGACGCCATCGACCTCGAAGAAGGCGGGAATGATACACCAGAACTGGTAGATAAGAAAGCGTACGAGATGTTTACCTTAATGCAAGAGTCCTCGGCAGATATGTGTGCCCTATGTGGCAAACGCCTTGAGGACCCAAATACTGATTCTGGTACCACCGACCGTCAAGTACCAATGGCGATCATACTTCCTTGCTTTGATGTACTTTGCCCCGAGTGTTTCTCTGGCTGTAAACAAGCGTTTGACAGTCAAACCGGGCCATCAGTTCATGACATCAAATGCCAGGTCTGCGATGGATGGATCCCTGTTTCATATTCCACCATCACCCCTGGAGGGCTACAGGACTATATGATGGGCCAGGCCCAGGCCAAGCAGAGCAAAAAGCAAGCAAAGACCCTAGGAGAGTACGAAGGCCCGCACACGAAAACCAAGGCGCTGGTGGCGTATCTATTGGAGACGGCGGATGAAAGCAAGGGCTTAGGGGACGAACGTCCTATCAAAAGTGTGGTGTTTTCTGCATGGACGTCGCATTTGGACTTGATCGAGATTGCGCTAAAAGACAACGGCATCACAGGCTTTACCCGCCTGGACGGGACGATGACCCTATCAGCCCGCCAAAAGGCCCTTCAGGAGTTTCACGACAATAACAACATCACTATCCTCCTAGCGACTATCGGGGCTGGTGGCGTTGGTCTCAACTTGACCGCTGCATCTCGAGTCTATATCATGGAACCGCAATACAACCCCGCAGCCGTGGCACAAGCGGTTGATCGAGTGCATCGAATCGGGCAGACGCGCGAAGTGACTACAGTACAGTTCCTAATGAAGGATAGTATCGAAGAGAAGATCTTCGAGCTGGCCAAGAAGAAGCAGCAGTTGGCCGATATGAGCATGAACCAGAGGAAGCTTGATAAGAGAGAGGTGCAAGAGCAACGGATGCGTGAATATCGAAGTTTATTCAAGTGATACTAATACCCTTTTTTACGATTCCCCTTTTTACTCCCGTTATCTCATTTGTTTTCCTTTTCGTTTCTCCTACCTGCTTCCACCATAGAGACGGACACTGCAATTGATACAAACATGGATAATACCTGATACCCAATGGTTTACACTCGGCGTTAATATATCCCCTGTGGTTTCACATTTGCTCTTGCTGGCGCTTGCTAGGAACACAGAAGAC